CTGCTTTGACGATCTTTCGTATTGCTGTTTCTTGCATTTGTAAAAATTGCTTGTCTAACGTTTGTAAACATTGTCTTTAAAAATAGGTTATTCTGCGTTCCTAATTTTCTGCTTGTATAGCAGACGTTGATGCCAGCAGACACATTTTTCAAGTGCAATTTTTATTTCGCTACAAGTTGGGCGCCAACTTTTCTTCGCTGCTTTCTCAATGGAAAAAATGTTTGAGAATGTAAATCAAAACTTAAGCACGTTGTAAGGTTTTATTGTCCGTTCATAACGTAGCATACGACATCCGGTTTGATGGGCGGTGTGGGTGCCAACAGCGCCCGTAATACGCGCGGCGTGCCAAATACTGCCCACTATTGTCGCTCCACTGCTTTTGCATTAGCCGCGCTCTGCCTGCATGGGAATGTGGGAACGGTCTACCAGTTAGCCCGACTTTTGACTATTTGGCTAGATTAACTAAATTTTTTATGTTAGAGGTTTGAGCAAGATTTCCTTTCAATGACGTCGGATATATTTGCATTGCGATTATGGTCCAGCTATAATATCGCACATGAGACAAAACTTGAGCACAAGGGTAGGGTAGTAAAAACGGACTTTTTCCACAAAATCAAAAGAATTTGTTGACAGATTTCGGATTGATTATAGCATTTTTCAAAACTGAATGTTATACCGCGCGACGAAAGCTCTCAATAGCGCTAAGTTGTGTATCGTGACGCTACTTCTACGCTATCGTTTGACGATATAATAGCACTATAACACGGTGATGGAATATATCGATTTAGCACTTTGATGTGTGCTAGGAAAGCGTGGTCAAAGCATCTTAGTATTTTTTATTTTTCACATATTAAAAGTAAAATATAAAAACTAAATTGTTTCAGTAGCAATTGCATAGTAAATTGCTCTTTTCCATCTTTGGCTATATTTTCCTATCAGTGAAGTCGCGAACGTCTTCGCCCCACTGAGTTCACTGTTTTTTTCCCGCGCAGAAAGTATTTATTCCACGCGCCCAAGCTCGGCACGTGTTCTAACTCCCATTCACTGTCTTTTGTGACGTCGTGGACGTAACTTTTAATAGGATGTTCTAACGCTCTTCACGTTAAAGAGTATGGTTTTACCTAAAACAGTTATTTTGGTTTGATTAATAAGGTCTGTAGATAAATGTGCACTTTGTCGCCGTTTTTATACTGGTTTAATAGCAAATGCATAACAAAAGTTGTCTCGAAAAATCTTCGCCCCTCTAATAAATCTCTCTCGAATTAACTTTAAAGAATATTGCCATATTAATAGCTGTAATAAATAAAGTCGACGACTCTTTTCTTGCCAAGCGACCCTTAAAATCGGGAGATGTCTGAAATCCCTAACATTGTATAGAATAAGTATGCAATCGCACACTTGGCAGGCGTCTGGCCGCGTATTGCCGGCTATTGGCATCGGCCTGGCAATTTAATATTATTTGTGTAGGCCCATGCCAAGGCTGCTTGTACTGTCTGGCTTAATCGCGCCGTCCCGCGAGCTGGAAAACTATCTTGGATACAGATGCGGATTTTTGGGGGCCCGTGGATTAACTTGCAACTCTTGCTCGACTAACATTTTAAATCTAAATAGTTCCGTATATAGTATTAACCCTTTAAGTCGAGCCAATCTTTTTAAATTAACTTTTATTAAATTTCATTCATTTTTATTAAAGACATTATTTTTCACAAAAAAATTGTCATTTCTGTTTGCTACTAACATACTGTTGTCTACCATTCTACCAAAAGTCTATTCCATGTTGTATTTAACCGACATTTTCATTTCCTATCCTAAACTTGACCATGCAAAGTAGGTATGCCAAGCGGCATCGCTGTACGGAACCTGTATCGTGGTCATGTCAAACGCAAACTTGGCGTGATTTTCATGCCTCTTGGCTTTCGCATAGGCTCCGCTCGGCTCGTGTGAGCGCGATATGTTTGAAGGCTCGATTATCTGCCGTTGGCTCGCGGCGCACGTTGCCAAATCAAAAATTGATACTTATAAACGGGACGTTTTAAAGTGGGTGAAGATTTTTCTATTTTACTGCACTTCCGGGATACGCACATTTCCTCTCCATATTCTGGTTATTATTTCTGTAATTCCAGGTAGTAGTAACTTAGTAAATAAAACGTATTGTAGTGAAAGAATGTGCTACATGTTGGGCGCCACTTTATGTATCGAATTTTTAACGTGTTATTTGTCTGGCATAAAATTATTCACTTAATTTTAATATTTTGGATCTACGATCTTCACGAGTTACCAATTGTGGTAAACGCGTTTGTTGCCAATTTTGGTCTACGTCTCTTAAATTTGGAAGCCATGTTGGGCGCCAGCTCTTGCTATTGTAAATTATAACGTTGACCACGTCTTTAGTATCGGATAATTTAGCTGTTTATTTATTTTAATAATTGTAGTTTTAATGTTTTGGTAGTTTTCTTTTCGGTTTTATTCGAGATGTAAAATTACTAGCTGTGCTCGCGACTTGTTTACACTTTAAATATTTTTTGCGATTTTCGCAGTATTTTTATTAATGATCTGCTCCTATTGATCGCGTGATGGTATAAAGCCTAAAATAGCCTTAAAAATGGGTACCTATGCTATCAGATTTTTTGATCGGGCTAGCAGTTCTGAGATTAGTGCGTTTAAACAAACTTTAATTTTACAAAGTATTTTTTTCCCGCGGTTTCGCCCGCCTTAATCTGTCCCTGTTTCAAAAAACCGGGATACCCAAATAAAAACTATCCTGTCCTTTCCTGGGACTATCTCTATGCCAAATTTCATCAAAATCGGTTCAGTGGTTTAGGCGTGACAGCAAGACGAGAGTTACTTTCGCATTTATAATATTAGTACCTATAGATGTTCATCAGGGATCGAGCATAATTTTAACTGAAATAATTTTTCAATACGGTCCAGTAGTTTCAGAGCCTATTCATTACAATCAAATAAAATCTTTCCTCTTTATAATATTAAAAATAAAGATATTTTTATTTACCAGTAGGCCTAAGATGTGCGCGTATCGATTTTGCCCATACATTTTAATGTCGATAAGTTATCACGGCGCGCATCTTAGGCCTACAAAACATGTGACAAATATTGCAACATAAATATATTTGGAGTTAGGTTTTGTTAGTATCAACATTTTGTTAGTATTAGTGTAGATTAAATGTTCATTGAAACTAATATTGGTTTGTCCCCAGGATGGCGCGTCGGACAGCGAGTGGCGCTGGGAGGAGCCGGGCAGCCCCGCGGCCGCGCACACGCCGCGCTCCTTCGTGCCCGCCGCCTGCTTCCCCCCGAGGCACCCCCGCGCCTTCGCCAGCTATAGGTAAGCTAATAGACTAAGGCCCAGAACAGACGGTGAAACGCAACTGCAACGAAACTGCAACTGCTAGTTGTTACTTTTGAGTTGCATCTAAGTTTCTGCCATAGCGTCCGTTGAGACCATCAGACCACACATGACGCGACCAGTTTGAAACTTTGTTTCAGTTTCATTCATCAGAATCGTCAGAAAGTTGCAGTTTCGTTGCAGTTGCGTTTCACGGTCTGTTCTGGGCCTAAGAGCTAGTGAACTCCAGACCTACGTCATTTTATAAAAGCTGAAAGTACTTACCACCGTAAAAGTTAGACTTACGTTATACCATAAAAGCAGATTTTTAAAAATCGTATTTGGGCAATAATAATTAGAAGTAGTTTCCCCATCAGCCAGACAGTTTTAACAGTTCCAACTCCTTGTCACATAGTTTTTTTAGGGTAGCTGCCAAAGCCACGATGAACCAAACTTCATAATTCACCAACATTATAATCCTATATTGGGAGCATACGCTGACAAACTTTCAGCTTTTATAAAATGACGTAAATCTACCGTNCGTGCATATACGGCTTAAGAGGTTACCGTTGTTGGTGTTTGCAGCAGAGGTAGCTGCAATGTCTCTAAGTGCAGCGGCCAACATGTGTACCGTGCCAGCATTTTCATCCGGCTCGAAGATTGTAAACCACCAGCTTTTGCACGGAATACTTTTCAACTGACACAGACATCAAACCAAGTTTTTTAATAAAATCAAACCTAAGAGAAAAACCTCTACGGAGGTTTTATGCATCGGCAACATATACGACGCCCGAGATTTTGTCGTTTAGAAATATCTTCAAAACTAGGTACCTGACTTAGCTTTATGAAAAAAAACGTATTGGCAAAACTACGCATTTTTACATTTATTAAAAACTAGCTGACCCGGCGAACTTCGTACCGCCTTAGCGTAGAGATTTTCTTTATATTTTTTTCCGTAAAAACCTTGTACAGAGTATTAGAAAACTACAAAAAAAAAATCAGCCAANGAGGTAACTTTGGGAATATATTCTATCGAGTCAACTTCATCAAATCGTGTTTCCATCCGTTAATAGCCCTAGAAAATATCCTCAACTATGCCCAATAAAAATCTTAGCCTTTAATTTTACTGTTTAGTACCTCAAAAATGAAAAATGAAAACCTCATTTTCGCCATTTTCTCTGCTACCCGGCCTTAAGTCATCCAGGTTTTCGCATCTTTTCACTTGGGTGAATTAATTCCTAGGTGAACAAATGCGACCGCTTTAATCGACTCAATTCCCCTGTAAAATGAAGCTAATAGTTAGGTTTTCACTGCATGAGCACAATCCTCTCTTATTTACTACACTCCTGTCGCTGGTAAAACGGTTTAGGGAAGCTCGATGTTCGCATAGTTGTTCTTAACCGTCTTATACGACATCCACAGGAAAAGTAGGAGAGCTTCTTACTTAATTTACTTTTCAGATTGGCCAGCATCATGAATAAAGCGAGAAATCGGGTTATGTGGCATTGGGAGAGATTTACGTCCAGCAATGGACCGCCCTAGGCTGATGAATGTTACCATATTGTCACCTTGCCATCATGTTCATTTATTTATTATCTAGCAAAGTCATACAGTTATACAATTTAATTTGATTCATAAATCTTGTATTTTCTTGCAGCGACAACTCCAAAGAGCATTCATCTGGCGTGCGCTACATCAGCGCATGCAACTGCGGCCGCACCAAGTGTTCTCGCGAGGACCCGTACTCCGTGAAACGGGCTAACTACACGTTCTACCAGCAAGCTGCTGAAGAGTGCGGCGTGTGTCCCACCCTGCAAGCCATCGACTTCCCCGTTTTTCAGCCTTCTACTCCTACTTATAGGTAAGAGCCTTCTTATAGATAAGTTTTAGGATCACTTGCTACAGGGAGGCATGATTTTGGTGTGTGAAATCTGCACCAAGTGCTAGCGTGAGGATCCGTACTCGGTGAAACGCGCCAACTATACCTTCTACCAGCAAGCGGCTGAAGAATGCGGCGTGTGTCCCACGCTGCAAGCCATTGACTTCCCTGTTTTTCAGCCTTCTACTCCTACTTATAGGTAAGAGCCTTCTTATAGATAAGTTTTAGGATCACTTGCTACAGGAAGGCATGATTTTGGTGTGTTAAATCTGCACCAAGTACTCGCGCGAGGACCCGTACTCCGTGAAACGGGCTAACTACACCTTCTACCAACAGGCGGCTGAAGAGTGCGGCGTGTGTCCCACCCTGCAAGCCATTGACTTCCCCGTGTTCCAGCCATCTACTCCTACTTATAGGTGAGCGCCTTCTTATAGATAAGTTACTCCTTAGGATCACTTGCTACAGGGAGGCATGGTTTAGGTTTGTATAGTCTGCATCAAGTGCTCCCGGGAGGACCCGTACTCGGTGAAACCAGGCCTGTTCATCTCCGCGAGTTTACATCGAAAACAAAATACGCACGATGGCCCACCTACAGGATACTATTCAACAAGGCCTCACATACGAGCGAACATTGACTCACGCACGCGTATTCTTGTGTATGATGGAAGAAAATAAAGAAAATGGTGTACTAAATACTGTGCAGTATTTAACTGCCTAAATAATAATAAAAACACAGAATGTACTTTTTTAAGTAGCCTCAAGACACTGAGAGGTAAATAAGTAGTTAATATTATTCATGAAGCCGTGTGGTGACGGCAGAGTAGAATACATTTGTCACCAACCCCTACTCTTCCCGCGGGTGTCGTAAGAGGGGACTTAGGGACTACACATCAAACAGAGAATGGGCAGCAGCGCTCTCTGAAAAACATCAATCTTTTAAACTGCGATCTCCAACTCGCCTGCCAAGCGTGGAGATTATGGCAAAACCCTCCACTATAGTGGAGGAGGCTCATAGTCCAGCAGTGGACTGTAAAGGGCTGTTGATGATGATGATGATTATTCATGATAATTCATGCTAAAACATGTATTTCCTCCGCCATTTTTCGCAGTTTGGNATTGTCACCTTACCATCATGTTCATTTATTTATTTACACATACAGTTACACATTGTTTAACCTAAATCATAAATCTTGTATTTCCTTCCAGCGATAACTCCAAAGAGCATTCATCTGGCGTGCGTTACATCAGCGCTTGCAACTGCGGCCGCACCAAGTGTTCTCGCGAGGACCCGTACTCCGTGAAACGGGCTAACTACACGTTCTACCAGCAGGCAGCTGAAGAGTGCGGCGTGTGTCCCACCCTGCAAGCCATCGACTTCCCCGTCTTTCAGCCATCCACTCCTACTTATAGGTAAGAGCCTTCTTATAGATAAGTTTTAGGATCACTTGCATTGATTGAGTTACATGATTGGAAGGCATGATTTTGCCGTGTTAAATCTGCATCAAGTGCTAGTAGCGTGAGGATCCGTACTCCGTGAAACGCGCCAACTATACCTTCTACCAACAGGCGGCTGAAGAGTGCGCCGTGTGTCCCACCCTACAAGCCATTGATTACCCCGTTTTTCAGCCTTCTACTCCTACTTATAGGTAAGTTACTTCTTACATATTCCTTCTATAGGGAGCCATGTAATATACACCAAGTGCTCGCGCGAGGACCCGTACTCGGTGAAACGGGCTAACTACACGTTCTACTAGCAAGCTGCTGAAGAGTGCGGCGTGTGTCCTACTCTGCAAGCCATTGACTTCCCTGTTTTCCAGCCATCCACTCCTACTTATAGGTAAATTACTACTTATATACTCTTTCTACAGCCTACCCTTTAGGATTGTAAAGTCTGCATCAAGTGCTCGCGCGAGGACCCGTACTCGGTGAAACGGACTAACTATACCTTCTACCAGCAGCCGGCTGAAGAATGCGGCGTGTATCCTACTCTGCAGGCCATTGACTTCCCTGTTTTTCAGCCTTCTACGCCTACTTATAGGTAAGTTACTTTTACATAATCCTTCTATCATATTTACTATATTTACATGGAACCATATAGGTGTGTAAAGTCTGCGTCAAGTGCTAGCGTTAGGACCCGTACTCGGTGAAACGCGCCAACTATACCTTCTACCAGCAAGCTGCTGAAGAGTGCGGCGTGTGTCCCACCTTGCAAGCCATCGACTTCCCCGTCTTCCAGCCATCCACTCCTACTTATAGGTAAGAGCCTTCTTATAGATAAGTTTTAGGATCACTTGCATTGATTGAGTTACATGATTGGAAGGCATGATTTTGGCGTGTTAAATCTGCATCAAGTGCTAGCGTGAGGACCCGTACTTCGTGAAACGCGCCAACTATACCTTCTACCAACAGGCGGCTGAAGAGTGCGCCGTGTGTCCCACCCTACAAGCCATTGATTTCCCCGTCTTTCAGCCATCCACTCCTACTTATAGGTAAATTACTACTTATATACTCTTTCTACAGCCTACCCTTTGGTAGTACCCTTAGGTTTGTAAAATCTGCATCAAGTGCTCGCGGGAGGACCCGTACTCCGTGAAACGGGCTAACTACACGTTCTACCAGCAGGCAGCTGAAGAGTGCGGCGTGTGTCCCACTCTGCAGGCCATTGATTTCCCCGTCTTTCAGCCATTCACTCCCACTTATAGGTAAGATACGACTTACGTACTTTTTCTACAGCCTACCCGTACTCGGTGAAACGCGCTAACTACACGTTCTAATCAAATCAATCAAATCAAATCAAAAATATTTTATTCAGTTTAGACCACAAGTGGCACTTATGTTCTACTAGCAAGCGGCTGAGGAGTGCGGCGTGTGTCCTACTCTGCAGGCCATTGACTTCCCTGTCGTGCCATCCACTCCTACTTACAGGTAACTCCCATGATATAGGTGTTAAATCTTCAGTCCCGTATATCAGTTTACAGTAAATAAAAGACAGTTCCATTGTAGATGGTTAAAAAGTGCGGCGTGTTTCTCAAGCTACAAGCTATCGATTTTCCCGTCTTCCAGGCTTGGAGTACTATTACAGGTCTTACGAAATCTTCTTATCCCTATAATAATATGATTCGGAACCTTATCGTCATTTTAATTTTCTAACAAAAACAACAATACTACTTCAGATTTTACTTTTCTAAAAAAAAAAACAATATAACTTTACTTCAGAGCGGCGTCAGTAAAAGGCGCATCGTCTCAGGAAGCGGGCGAGCCGGCCGCGCGTTCCCAAGGGGACGGGGACGGAGACGGCGACGGGGACGGGGACGGCGCGTGGTCCGTGGCCGACGCGCTGTCGCCGGGCTCGGCGCGGGACGATGACGACGCCTCGCCGGCTTCCGACAAATACGTGGTGCCGGTTAGAGGAGACTCCACTTCAGGTAAAAGCTCAGTGTGCTTACCATACCNGAAACGGGCTAACTACACCTTCTACCAGCAAGCTGCTGAAGAGTGCGGCGTGTGTCCCACCCTGCAAGCCATTGACTTCCCCGTCTTTCAGCCATCCACTCCTACTTATAAGTAAGAGCCTTCTTATAGATAAGTTACTCATTTTAGGATCAGTTGCTACAGGGAGGCATGATTCTGGTGTGTGAAATCTGCACCAAGTGCTCGCGCGAGGACCCGTACTCTGTGAAACGGGCTAACTATACCTTCTACCAGCAGCCGGCTGAAGAATGCGGCGTGTGTCCTACTCTGCAGGCCATTGACTTCCCCGTATTCCAGCCATCCACTCCTACTTATAGGTAAGTTACTTCTTACATAATCCTTCTATAGGGAGCCATGTAATCTACACCAAGTGCTCGCGCGAGGACTCGTACTCGGTGAAACGGGCTAACCACACGTTCTACCAGCAGGCGGCTGAAGAATGCGGCGTGTGTCCCACCCTGCAAGCCATTGACTTCCCCTTCTTTCAGCCATCCACTCCTACTTATAGGTAAATTACTACTTACGTACTCTTTCTACAGCCTACCCTTTAGGTTTGTAAAGTCTGCATCAAGTGCTAGCGTGAAACCTGTACTCCGTGAAACGCGCTAACTACACGTTCTACTAGCAAGCGGCTTAGGAATGCGGCGTGTGTCCTACTCTGCAGGCCATTGACTTCCCTATCCCTGTCGTGCCATCCACTCCTACTTACAGGTAACTCCCATGATATAGGTGTTAAATCTTCAGTCCCGTAGATCAGTTTACAGTAATAAGACAGATCCACTGTAGATGGTTAAAAAGTGCGGCGTGTTTCTTAAGCTACAAGCTATCGATTTTCCCGCTTTGAGTATTATTACAGGTCCATTATTATTATGGGTTTACGAAATCTTCCTATCCCTATAATAATATGATTCGGAATCTTATCATTTTACTTTTCTAACAAAAACAACAATACTACTTCAGAGCGGCGTCAGTGAAAGGCGCATCGTCTCAGGAAGCGGGCGAGCCAGCCGCGCGTTCCCAAGGGGACGGGGACGGAGACGGCGACGGGGACGGGGACGGCGCGTGGTCCGTGGCCGACGCGCTGTCGCCGGGCTCGGCGCGGGACGACGACGACGCCTCGCCAGCTTCCGACAAATACGTGGTGCCGGTTAGAGGAGACTCCACTTCAGGTAAAAGCTCAGTATGTTTACCATACCGGTCATTGTAGAAGTCATTGGGGTAGGCCTATTTTCAGCAGTGGACATGATGATGATGATGTGCTTACCATCATTAGGCAGATCGATTTTTTCAAATTAGTTTGAGATGCAACTCTTAACGATAAAAATTAAATAACTATGCTTACTATGAATGAATTTACATAAGAAAAATTATGAAGATTGTAGTTCTGGAAAGTAGCCGCTAGGGGCGCCGTACAGTTTGTAATTTGTAACGTAATCTCATGGTAAACACACTGGTGTCATGTCCGATTCTACCCAGATTTATTTCGAATTCAAATGGCTTACTTTGTAAATGCAAGTAAAGATGTGATAACAATATTTCTTTAGCTTTCCAGGGTGCTCCACATTTTACCCTTTAAATTTCCACATTCCAGATAAAGTGATGACCCGGCAGCCGTCCACAACCGAGTACCTTCCCGGCATGCTCCACACAGGCAGCCCGGCCGGCCTGCTGCCCGCCTTCCCGTCCTTCAGCCTCGTGTGCCTCGGGCCTTCCTCGCTGTACTCGCACAGCGCCGGCCTGCCCGAGGCGCTGCAGCCCGGCCTGCTGCCGCACACCAACCACCTGCTGCCCTGGGACGCGCTCGCGCGGTCGGTACAGCTCATCATCATCATCATCGTCCAGCCACAGCACAGCCGCCCGGCCAGGCCCCTAGGCTTTCCATAACGACCGGCCCTGCGCTGCCCGCATCCAGGTTCTTCCCGTGACCTTCACCAGATCATAGGTCCACCTAGCGGGAGGCCTGCCCACGTTACGTCTTCCGACCCGTGGTCGCCACTCGAGAACTTTTCTGCCCCAACGGCCATCGTCTCTACGAGCTATGCGTCCTGCCCACTGCCACTTGATTTTCATCATCACCATCATAATTTCAGCCATAGGACGTCCACTGCTGAACATAGGCCCCAATGATTTCCATGTTGATCGATTGGTCCAGCGCCTTCCTGCTACCTTTATAATGTCGTCGTTCAGCTTGCTAATCCGTTCGGCCATGTCAGCGACTTAAGTTCGTTTGCGGCCAGTACTCGTCATATCGCTCGAGACTTTTTGAGAAAGTGACTATAATGATATTTTGCGAAATGACGTTCTGCGTCAGCACCCATTTATTAATTACCAATAACTTCCCGTTACAAAAATAACCCTGTAACAACTCAAATGTATACCCCATTCGTAATGTTGTAAGCGAGACGAGAGACACGCTCGTGTGCAAGCAGCGACAATTTTTCTTGAAATAAAAGATTATGAACTAGTTTGTCCGTTGTCCGCTACCAGGATAGAGGGCGGTTTGGGCCTGGGCCCGCGCGGGGCGGGCGGCGCGCGCGGGCGGGGCCGGACGGCGCCGCACCACCTCACCGTCAAGATCTTCATCGGCTTCGAGTACGAGTGCCCGAGGGGACATAGGTACGTGTCCTTTGTTTTTTTCTTTCCTTTTTGATCTGATTTTCTAAGTTCTGGTATGTATTTTATGCAGAAGCGTAGCGTACCTTGGCGGGGCCCCCTATCAAAATTTGTTAGGCGGCCCTTAAGAAGGGTAAAGATTTCTCAAAAAAAAAAATGTTTGTGTTGCTTTACTCTGGAAAAAAATTTGGGAAGTTTTTATTAATTTTTGCTTATGCACCTTGGGGGCCGTAGGCCGGGGGCCCCGTATAATTGATACGGCAGATACGGCGGTAGCTACGCCCCTGATTTTATGTGTTGCCCCCTTGCTTCCTTTAAAATTATATAGCGCGGTTCAAAATGAGTTTTGTATTTGAAACGAGACAAATAAATGAAACTATTCCCACCTTTGGTTTGCAATTCTTGTTTAGCTGCTGTACCATAACTTAGTTGGAACTGAAATCCAGCCAGCGAAGGTGGAGTAGTAGCCAAATACAGTATAGGGGGAGTTTGAAGTGTAATATCAATTTCTCTATATTGTAAAGCGGGAGAGGGATGACTGAATAGCTACGGCTGGTAGAGGTTGCTATTTCTGTATATTATTTTATTGGGTTGAGTTGCTTTACCTCTTCTTCACCACCTTACTTTAACCGTAATTATAACAATAATTGGTGCTTGCTTAAATGAAGCAGCAACGCTATGTGCAGTCGAACGCACAGCGTTGAATAGAGCTCTGTGATTGGTTCGTGTGTGTCACTTCGCCACTCAAGTAGGTATTGTCTTTGAATAGGTTTTTGGGACCTTGTGCATCTATCCTGCACACTGAGATTTCATAGTAATATTGTTGAATACGGGTGTTTGAGTTTTACTTCTGTTTTTGATTTTCAAAACAACTTTATGACTCAGCTCTTCACCTCACAAACATACTGATCGTCCGGTCGTCGCGTTCCAGGTTCATGATGTCGTCCCCCGACACCGTCGTAAGCGGCGGCGGCACGGCGGCGACACGTGAAGCGGGCGCGGCGGGCGCGCGGCTGGCGGCCGCAGACATGCCGCTGGCCGCCGCGTGCCCGTGCCGCGCGCCGCACGTGGCGCCCGCCCAGCTGGCGCGCGTGCACGTCGTCACGCCCAAGGCGCCCGTGCACGTCACGCTTGACCCTAAGGTGCGTTGATAAGGTTTCAGTTCCTATGACAATGTAACAGGCAATTTGATGCCACAAAATCAACTGGCGACGCCACAAATCAGCAGTGGGAGAAGGCGTATTTGACTGCACCAGACAGTCTGCCAATAGAGAGAGATGGCGGGAGATCGTGCGGAGAGTTGTATCCGCCTCTACAAACGATGTAAACAACGCCTCAACGTGACCACGACCGCTCTGCCAAGAGCGTAACGAATAAGGAGAATCTACTGGCGGCCGCGTGCCTGCCCAGCTGGCGCGCGTGCACGTCGTCACGCCCAAGGCGCCCGTGCACGTCACGCTCCACCCTAAGGTGCGTTGATAAGGTTTCAATAAGGGCTATCGTTTTAGTGCTCGCCAGTTGGCGCCACTGTAGAGTAAGGTCCTGTCACTTGCTAATAGCGAAGACAGTGGCGCCGACTGGTGAGCGCTAAAGTGGTAGGAGGACGCATTTGCACTCATCAAGATGGCGCCACTGTAGAGTAAGGTCCTGTCACTTGCTAATAGCGAAGACAGTGGCGCCGGCTGGTGAGCGCTAAAGTGGTAGGAGGACGCATTTGCACTCATCAAGATGGCGCCACTGTAGAGTAAGGTCCTGTCACTTGCTAGTAGCGAAGACAGTGGCGCCGGCTAGTGAGCGCTAAAGTGGTAGGAGGATTATCGCATTTGCACTCATCAAGATGGCGCCACTGTAGAGTAAGGTCCTGCCAATCGCCAGGGGTGCCAACTGTTAAGTATAAAAACGATAGCCCTTATTCCAATGACAATGTAGTAGACCATCAGACGCCGCAGACATGCCGCTGGCCGCCGCGTGCCCGTGCCGCGCGCCGCACGTGGCGCCCGCCCAGCTGGCGCGCGTGCACGTCGTCACGCCCAAGGCGCCCGTGCACGTCACGCTTGACCCTAAGGTGCGTTGATAAAGTTTCAGTTCCTATGACAATGTAGTAGACCGTTTGACGCCACCACCGGTTGGCGGCCGCGTGCCCGTGTCACGCCCAAGGCCTGTACAGGTCACGCTCGACCCTAAGGTGCGTTGATAAAGTTTCAATTCCAATGACAATGCAAGAGCGCCTCCACATTACGTCGCAAGTAGTGCGGCAGCAACGCGACTATAGCAGCGCGACAGACGCGCTGCCGATAATTTCATACTATGTGACAGCGGATGCCTGCCTTCACATTATAAAAACGCCGCTGCCGCGCTGCTGCCGCACTGCTTGCGACGTAATGTGAAGGCGCACTAATAGACCGTTTGACGCCACCAATCAATTGGCGGCCGCGTGCCCGTGCTCGTCGTCACGCCCAAGGCGCCCGTGCACGTTACGCTCGACCCTAAGGTGCGATGATAAGGTTTCAGTTCCTATGACAATGTAGACCATTTGACGCCACAATCAACTGGGGCAGCAAGGTTCTGGAATGGAGGCCGCGTACCGGAAAACGCAGCGTGGGACGTCCACCTACAAGGTGGACCGGCGACATCGTAAAAGTAGCAGGGAAGCGCTGGACGCAGGCCACTACCGATCGATCAACGTGGAAAGCATTGGGGGAGGCCTATGTTCAGCAATGGACGTCCTATGGCTGAAATGATGATGATGATGATGATGAATCAACTGGCGGCCGCGTGCCCGTCGTCATGCCCAAGGCACCTGTGCACGTCACGCTCGACCCCAAGGTGCGGAACATTATATTTAAGCAACGTACACACCAAACCAGGTCAATAAAATCATGTCAGCAAATTGTACCCACACGTGTCGCTCGGCGTCTTATGACAACACATCGGCGACATATCTGCGACTTGCATCTCAATAAATTCAATTCAATTGCCCTGCATCTCAATTGATCAAAACGACACCAATCCGACGGTGTCTGCATCGAACTACCGGGGTCACTAACTTGATCTTCGTCGACCACTAGGCTATTTTAATGAATTATTTATTTATTTTTGGGAAGCAATTACAATATAATTTAACTTAACTATAAGCATAACATTTAGTTTGGCAAAAAAAGCTAACGGGAATGTTACTAATTTATGTACTACAAATTAATATTACTCAAATTCGGCCCACGTGAACGTACCAAACCTTATCTTACCGGTAACAATTCTCAATTCCAGATACAGCCAGTGCCGGGCGGGCCGATCTTCATCCCGCAGCCGGTGGGCGCTCCCGCCATCAAGCTGTCGGCGTCGGCGTACTGGGTGCTGCGCCTGCCGCGCGCCTTCTGCGACGAGCGCGGGCTGCTGCCGAGGGACCGCGCCGGCTATATCAGGGCTCCGCTGTTTGGGCTGCAGGACTAAGGACTACAAGACTACGAGAATCCTTTATCCGGACACAGAATGGGGCGTAGGGTACGTCAGGGCTCCAATATTCAGGTTGCAAGACTAAGGAGTACCAGACTCCTCTTTTTGGATTGACAGTAGGACTTGAAGCTTCTGCCGTTGCTGGCATTGAAACGTGATAGGACGTAGCCTCTCTCGTTCCCACCACTACAAATGGAAATTGGAACGTATAGCTGTTCTCGGTCCCACCCACAGATCACAGAAACTAAAGGGAGATGTGACAAAGGGGCGGGGCCGGTGTCGCAGCAATATGCCCAAAAACAACACATTGCTCGTGACAGCAATGATTACAGCAGCGACGTCATAATGTAAACAGTTACGCTTTCTGCGACGAGCGCGGGCTGCTGCCGAGGGACCGCGCCGGGTATATCAGGGCTCCGCTGTTCGGGCTGCAGGACTGAGAACTACGGGAACTACAAGACTACAAGATTTTCGGACATGAATGGGGCGTAAGCTACATCAGGGCTCCACTATTCAGGTTGCGAGAAGCTAAGGAGTACAAGACTCCTCTTTTTGGATTGACAGTAGGACGTGATGCTTCTGACGTTGCCAGCATTGGATTTGGCACTTGATAGTAGGACGTAGCCTCTTTCGTTTCCACCACTAACTTACTAGTGGGACTTATAGCCTTTCTCAGTCCCACCACTGCGCGCCCGCCATCAAGCTGTCGGCGTTTGCCTACTAGGTGCTGCGCCTTCTGCGACGAGCGCGGGCTGCTGCCGAGGGACCGCGCCGGGTATATCAGGGCTCCGCTGTTTGGACTGCAGGACTGAGGAGAACTAAGGCCTGGTCCGTGAGCACGTAGAATTTTGTCCAATGACCCCAAGCTGCCCATCCTTGTCGCTCGCACGTAATTATGTTGCTGTCGCGCTCGCACACTCGCTGCGGGCGCGCGTCGCACAGTCGCGACAGCAATATAATTACGCGCGAGCGATAAGGATGGGTAGCTTGGAGTCATTGGACGGGATTCTACGTGCTCACGGACCAGGCTTCACAGGAACTACAAGACTCTTTTCGGACATGAATGGGGCGTAGGCTACATCGGGCTGCAAAACTGAGGGATACGGTAGAGCTCCTCTATTTGGACTGAGAATGGAGCGTAAACTACATCAAGACTCCGCTGTTCAGGTTGCAAGACTGACGGCTACAAGAATCCTCTTTTTTGAAGTTAGAATGGCGCGTAGGGTCAAAAGAGCTTCCCTATTTGGACTAACAGTGGGACGTGAAGCCTGTTTCGTTCCCACTTGATAGTGGGACGTGTAGACTACACGTTCTCGTTCCCAATACTGCAATGCCTCCGCTGTTTGGACTAAGAGAGAGACGAGTAAATCTATCTTGTTATGCATAAAAAAAAACTACCTATACTATCTGGTCTAAGAGTGGGGTGTATTTTTTGCTAGCGCGCACGATCACGTGCCAGTCGAGAAATTAATAGGTCCCGATAGCCCTAAAGTACCATAAGCTATAATAATGCTTGTATTACGAGTGGGTCCACCACTATAATCCAGCGATGGCGGGGCTTGAACCCGCGTTCCTCGGATTTCGATTCAACAAGTCCGACACCATCACCAGTAGACTTGTCGCTTCGAATATGACCTCTTCGGTTCTTACTCCATCTCCTATCCATCTGGGAACGAGCCAACACTGCACCAAAGGCTAGAATCTTCAGCCAGACTGACTGTTATCCTACTAATATTAAAAATGTGAAAGTTTGTATGGATGTCTGGATGTCAACATGTTTGTTACTCTTTCACGCAAAAACTACAGAACGGATTTTGATGAAACTTTACAGTTTTATTGTTTAAAACTCGGAATAACATATAGGCTATAATTTATGACGCTTTGTGACAAAATAAATATGACGCGGGTTAAGCCGCGGGCAAATGCTAGTCTCTTATGTAACGTAGAAGTATTTTCTCATCATCTGTCATGATTATTATCAGAGTAGATTTTTTTTTATGCAAATCGCACCTTTTGATGGTGATAAAATTGAGGATAAAGGAATTGATTGTACACTGCCAATGCATAGCCTTGTTAAGTAAATAAATGTTGCTTACATTAGAAATGTGGCATGTTTATTGTACTAGTGTTGTAAGATATGATTTAAAAGTCGCAAGTCGCAAAAGACAAAAAAGAAGCAATATTATAAGAGTTTGTATGTGTATTTTTTGCAGATGAAATGTCTGGGTTAGGGAGGGCTGGTGTTTCTGTGCTAGCATAGGGAGTGAAGGCTGAATCCTCCATTTGCCTCTGGTAAATTTGTGAGAGTCTGCTCCTACAGAGTACAAATCTGTTAACAATGTAAAGTGTAATAACAGGGTTACATGAACTGTTTCATTGTATTTAAAAAATCATCATCAGTAGAAACTTCTAGAAAAACCATTCTTTCTAAATTTTTTTCTTATTTAATTAGTTACCTATTAAGCCCGAATTTCAACATCCTTCACTCTTAGCCTAGACGCAGACCACCGATTTTTAGTTGCCGATAGTTGGGCCCGATTTTAATTTGTATGAAGAATCGGCCGATACCAAATCGGTGTATTGTGCGCTCTTTCATACATGTCCATACTGATTAACAGCCCGACTCAACTATCGGCCAACTAAAAGTCGGTGGTCTGCGCCTATTATTATTATTGGTTTTGGGCCTTCATTTGCGCCAGCTCGACCAGGTTTGATCTATTGAGGCAGCCCTTGTGTTTAGAGTGGTCTGCGCCTAAGCTAAGAGTGAAAACCAGCGCCGTGGCCTTCGTCACCGTGGGCCACGGCATATGCTGAGTGGGGTCCCGTTGCAGTGGGCAACTTGCTGGTGGATGGGTGGCACTGCTCAGTTTACTCTTGTTTTTATTTTTTTCTTCCATTATTATGTGCCACTGTCATGTCTATGTAATTGCCTGTATTTGTATGATGTCCATTGTAATAAATGTATCTTTCTTTCTTTCTAAAAACTTCTGTACGAAATAAGCATTGTAAATTATTCTGACACAACGAAAACGTCTATTTATCTATCTGTTAAAATGTATTTATAGCAAACGAATCGGTATGTAACGCTTAATGAAAATTTAAGAAGTAATTTGAATTGTATAAGTAATGCGAATCCATGAGAATTTTCGGAAACAACTTATAGTATGAAGTGTGTTTGATTTGTTTATAAACAAACAATAGCTTTAGTTATAGTGATACGATATAGCAATAATATTATAAATCCTAGAGGCTGTATGCTTCCTAATATGTTTGCCTTACAGTTTACACAATTTTTACAATGAATGTTTCGAAAATAATTGTTTTTACCAATATCATATCATATTTACTGCAAGAGGTCATAGATGAAATGTTTTTATACATTGTAAAAATATATACAGATGCTTTAATGTATTTGAAATGATTCTATTGTTTAATAGTCCATTGGCTAGCTATTATGTGTAGTGTGATGTTCATAAAGTTTGGTATATTCTAGTTACATAATAAATATTTACATCGTGTGAAAACGTCGTATCTCGCTCACGTTTTGTCGCGCTTATTCCACCTGTATTTTTAAGTATACTCTCGGTAATTTCATCTCTTGAGGTGTAGGAAAAAAGAGAACATAACATCGAGCATAAGTGTTAAATATATCCAGGCGTTAGATTATAATCTAGAGAAGAATAATTATTCTTGCTCCATACCTTATTTTATTCAACATTCATATCTTAGAATTATAAGTTAAAAATAAATTACGCATGAATAGCAATAATGCATGAGTCAAAGATTATTTCACCGATATGATTTACAGTTTTTTGTTGTTTATATTAAAATGTGAACTATGCAAATAAATAAATTTTAAAACAAAAAAAAAATTGATGTTTTATTTATACACACTGGAAAATGTATTTACTCGGATAAATGCAAAGTAAAAATATTTTTAAACCCTCCTTCCGGTTCTGTTTCAACCACGCAAGCGCTGTCGGAAACCACGTGTTTCCCACATTTGTATAAAAGTTTAAAACTATTTTCATTAAATTTATTTTTAACGAAAAACTAAATTTTAATATAGTAAAATCAAAAAATAAAGTCAAAATTAATTTAAAATCAAAAATCAGACGGAAAAGTTCGAAACAAAATAATTCTAAATTTAAAAGTAGTGATTTGACTACGGCAGTTCCGGTGGGTGGCGGGGGAGGGTAGCGAAGGTGGGGGCAGGCTCGGCTTCGTGCGGCGTGGCGCGCAGTGTCGTTCTCAGTCGTTTGTGCGCCGTCGCCGCGCGAACAGTCAAGCAGTTACTCTGCCCGAGCGTCGAGACTACGAACGAAACTTTGAAACTTTTGCGGCACTTATGCCGCTTTTGCATCAGGTGAGTGAAATTTATATTTTTTTCTACCAATATCATTTTTCTTTGTTCCTTCTAGGTTTTTCTTACTGCTTTTTTGATTTTGCTAATTGGTCGCGCGTTGTCCGTTATTTTATTTTGTGAACTACCCTCTGCCTGTGAGAAGTGGATATATTGAGACCTCCTATTAACTTTATGCTTTCTGCTTTATGGTAGTTTTAGATTTAGATCATGACGGTACGTAGCCAGTAACTTTTTTTTCTTTTGATCCTTCTATTTTGTTTACTACTTTTTTCTATTTGATAATCTATCGCGCGTTGCCCGTTATTTTATTTTTTGAACTACCCTCTTCGCGTGTGAGAAGTGGGTATCTTGGGACCTTTTATCGACTTTGGGGTAGTTTTAGATCACGTCGGTATTTAGCCAGTAACTTTTTTCTTTTGATCCTTTTATTTTTGTCATACCTACTGCTTTTGTTTTTCCTAATTTATAGCTCGTTGATTGTAATTTATTTTTTGAACTAAGTACCCTTTTCGTGTTTGAGAATTGAATATTTTGGGAACTACTATTTTTATCGACTTTAGGATAGATCTAGATCATGACTGAACGTAGCCAGTAACTTTTTTCTTTTGATCCTTTTGTTTTCGAATCTATCGCTCGTTGCTGGTTATTTTATTTTGTAAACTACCCTCTTCGCGTGTGAGAAGTGGATATATTGGGGCCTCTGTTTTATGGTAGTTTTAGATCATGATGGTAAGTAGCTGGTACATTTTTTCTTTTGATCCTTCTATTTTTGTCGTACTGCCTGTTTTGTAAATCGCGCGTTGCTTATTTTATTTTGTGAACTACCCTCTTCGCGTGAGACGTGGATTTTGGAACCTATTATTGACTTTATGGTAGTTTTACATCATAACGTTACGTAGCCTATACATTTTTGTCGAACTTTTTTTTCGATACTGCAGTGTTCATATTATGAGAAGTTCGCGCCACTGGGGTACTTTAATCGTGCTTTACATGTTATATTTTGCAATATTAATATCGCGACGGTCTTAGGATCGAATTTATATAAAACTAATACCCTCATTAAAACTTAACGTAATAAACCTCCTTGTCTGTTTTTTTCTGGAGGTAATTGATTAATTTGGACTCTTATCAGGAATACATAAATCGGATGCAATTGAAGGTCGTGATTCTGTCGCGTTTAAAATCATATCACCGGTTATCAATACAACATTTTAGATGTCTACCTACAGTTTTCTCAGCCTACCCACATTTGTGCAATATTGCTCACACTACCTATTTCCCAGGACAATTGCCGCGGAGGCGGCGGCTCCGGTGAGAACCGGCGTTTGCTCGAGGACTTCCTGGGGCTGACCTCTCATCAGGCCGAGCCCGCGCCGCCCGTCGGGACCAACCACCGGCCAAACGTGAGTAAACTTCCCATTTTAAAAAGTTTTGTTATAGGAACTTGTAGGTAGGTAGGATATTTTTAGAAACCACATGATCTACGCAAAGTTATTTTACTTTGATGTTTTATGTAGGTAGTTGAGTTTTTAAATCGTGGATTGTCGAAGTCTAACGATTTTTTTGAAATTTTCTTATGAAATCTGTAAGTGCTGGACCAAGACAAATATGGTCGTAAATTACATTCCTGTCCGTTACCATCTTTTTTATTAGAAAAATGGACATTTAAATGACCACGATAACATGTTGGGCGCCATTATTCTGCACTCTAAAAAGCATTTAAAGATATTTTCCTAGACTGCTTACTTGATAAATTGTAATACCATGAGTGCTGCTTTCCGCATTCAATTGTTTAACATTGCCCGCAACTATTGGCTGCATTCCTAAGAAAATCCCCATTCCATTAAGATTAACTATATTTGTCTCTACTCCACTGGCTCTTGAATTTGTAGTACTCGGGGTAATTTAATTTAGTTTTCTATTGGATAGTTTAGTCTGCTTCTTTGACGATGTTTCGTAGTCATGTTCCATGCATTTGTAAAAATTGCTTATCAAACTTTTGTAAACATTTATGAAATTAAAAATTGGGATATTCTGCGTTCCTAATTTTCTGCTTGTACAGCATACGTCAATGCGGGTAGACACATTTTTCAAGTGCAATTTTTATTTCGCTACATGTTGGGCGCCAACTTTTCTTCGCTGCTTTCTCAATGGAAAAAATGTTTGAGAATGTAAATCAAAACTTAAGCACGTTGTAAGGTTTTATTGTCCGTTCATAACGTAGCATACGACATCCGGTTTGATGGGCGGTGTGGGTGCCAACAGCGCCCGTAATACGCGCGGCGTGCCAAATACTGCCCACTATTGTCGCTCCACTGCTTTTGCATTAGCCGCGCTCGGCCTGCATGGGAATGTTAGTTTAACGGTCTACCAGTTAGCCCGACTTTTGACTATTTGGCTAGATTAACTAAATTTTTTATGTTAGAGGTTTGAAACTGAATGTCTTACCGCGCGACCAAGCGCTCAACCCTGCGTTCTATAGCGCTAAGTTGTGTATCGTCACGCTAATTTTATGCTTGACGATACAAATAGCACTAGATATAATATAACTTTATTATCGGTTTAGCACTTTGAAAAGTGCTAGAAAGCGTTGCCAATGCATTTAAAGTTCGTTTTTTTCCACAAATTAAAAGTAAAATAACTAGATTGTTTCAGTAAAAATTGCATAGTAAATTGCTCTTTTCCATCTTTGGTTGTATTTTCCTATCTTGTCTTCACCCTACTGCGTTCACCGTTTTTTCCCGCGCAGAAAGTATTTATTCCACGCGCCCAAGCTCTGCACGTGCTCTAACTCCCATTCACTGTCGTTTGTGACGTTGTGGACGTAACTTTTATACGTATTTTTTTATACGGACGTAATAGGATGTTCTAACACGCTTCACGTTAAAGAGTATTTTGTTAATATTTTTACCTAAAACACCAAGTTCACTTGGTTTAATTCAATAAATCTGCAGATAAATGTGCACTTTGTCGCCGTTTTTATACTGGTTTAATAGCAAATGCATAACAAAAGTTGTCTCGAAAAATCTTCGCCCCTCAAATAAATCTCTCTCGAATTAACTTTAAAGAATATTGCCATATTAATAGCTGTAATAAATAAAGTCGACGACTCTTTTCTTGCCAAGCGACCCTTAAAATCGGGAGATGTCTGAAATCCCTAACATTGTATAGAATAAGTATGCAATCGCACACTTGGCAGGCGTCTGGCCGCGTATTGCCGGCTATTGGCATCGGCCTGGCAATTTAATATTATTTGTGTAGGCTCATGCCAAGGCTGCTTGTACTGTCTGGCTTAATCGCGCCGTCCCGCGAGCTGGAAAACTATCTTGGATACAGATGCGGATTTTTGGGGGCCCGTGGATTAACTTGCAACTCTTGCTCGACTAACATTAATCTTTAAACAGTTCCTTATATAAAGTTTTAAACCCCTGAAGTCGAGACCTTCTGTTATTTAACTTTTATTAAATTGCATTAATTTTTATTAATAAAACTATAAGACTTCACAAAAATTTTGACAATTCTGCTTACTACTAACCCTGTCGTCTACCACTCTACCAAAAGTCTATTCCATTTAGTTTTTTACCGACATTTTCATTTCCTACACTAACTTGACCATGCAAAGTATGCCAAGCGGCATCGCTGTACGGAACCTGTATCGTGGTCATGTCAAACGCAAACTTGGCGTGATTTTCATGCCTCTTGGCTTTCGCATAGGCTCCGCTCGGCTCGTGTGAGCGCGATATGTTTGAAGGCTCGATTATCTGCCGTTGGCTCGCGGCGCACGTTGCCAAATCAAAAATTGATACTTTTAAACGGGACGTTTTAAAAGTGAGTGAAGTTTTTTTCTATTTTACTGCACTTTCTGGATACGCACATTTGCTCTCGATATCCTGGTTATTATTTCTGTAATTCCAGGTAGCAGTAACTTGGTAAATAAAACGTATTGTAGTGAAAGAATGTGCTACACGTTGGGCGCCAATTTATGTATTGAATTTTTAACGTTTATCCGTCAAAAATTATTCACTTAATTTTCATATTTTGGATCTACGATCTTCACGAGTTACCAATTGTGGTAAACGCGTTTGTTGCCAATTTTGGTCTACGTCTCTTAAATTTGGAAGCCATGTTGGGCGCCAGCTCTTGCTATTGTAAATTATAACGTTGACCACGTCTTTAGCATCGGATAATTTAGCTGTTTATTTATTTTAATAATAATTGTAGTTTTAATGTTTCGGTAGTTTTATTTCTCGGTTTTATTCGATATTTAAATTACTAGCTGTGCTCGCGACTTGTTTACACGTAAACCTTGAAATATTTTTTGCTGATGATCATTTTTTATTGATGATCTGGTCCTATTGGTCGTTGATGGTATAATAAAGCCTATAATAGCCTTAAAAATAGCTATGCTATCAGATTTTTTTGATCGGACCAGTAGTTCCTGAGATTAGCGCGTTCAAACTTTAGTTTTATAAAGTACTTGTTTTTCCCGCGGTTTCGCCCGCGTCAATCTCGATCTGTCGCAGAATGTCTTAACCCATCCATATTCTATAGCCTATGTTCATCAGGGATAATGCAGAATTCTAATGGTGCGTCCTTACTTATCCTGCTCTTGAGTGAGCAGGATGTTGAGTTTGCCGCACGAGCCCGTGCGCCCAGTCTGAACGCACCATAAGATAACTGAAAGAATTTTTCAATACGGTCGAGTAGTTTCGGAGCCTATTCAATAAAAACAAATAAAATCTTTCCTCTTTATAATATTAGTGTAAAGTACGGCCAACGAGAAGCGATACCAAATGTAAACAAACCCAATGTCAGTCATTCGGAATAGTAGGGGTGGGTTGCACCACCTATCTTTAACGGTAAATATGACGATAACCGGTGCTTTTTGTATGGAATTTGACTGATTTTTGACGTTTGTCAAAGTTAAAGTAAGATGGTGCAACCAGCCTAAGGGTTTGACTCTGTCAGAGTCAAACCCTTAGGCTGGTTGCACTACTATTACTACTACTATTTTGGCGGGAGAACGAGACATTACGACAAATACACAAGATGGGAAGAGACAGAATAGATTGTCAATTCGAAAGTCGAATCGACCTTTTGTATCGCTTCTTGTTGGCCGTACTTTAGAATAATGTTCGTTAATATTGGTTTGTCCGCAGGATGGCGCGTCGGACAGCGAGTGGCGCTGGGAGGAGCCGGGCAGCCCCGCGGCCGCGCACACGCCGCGCTCCTTCGTGCCCGCCGCGTGCTTCCCCCCAAGGCACCCCCGCGCCTTCGCCAGCTATAGGTAAGCTAATAGACTAAGGCCCAGAACAGACGGTGAAACGCAACTGCAACGAAACTGCAACTGCTAGTTGTTACTTTTGAGTTGCATCTAAGTTTCTGCCATAGCGTCCGTTGAGAGACCATCAGACCACACATGACGCGACCAGTTTGAAACTTTGTTTCAGTTTCATCAGAATCGTCAGAAAGTTGCAGTTTCGTTGCAGTTGCGTTTCACGGTCTGTTCTGGGCCTAAGAGCTAGTGAACTCCAGACTTACGTCATTTTATAAAAGCTGAAAGTACTTACCACCGTAAAAGTTAGACTTACGTTATACCATAAAAGCTGATTTTTAAAAATCGTATTTGGGCAATAATAATTAGAAGTAGTTTCCCCATCAGCCAGACAGTTTTAACAGTTCCAACTCCTTGTCACATAGTTTTTTTAGGGTAGCTGCCAAAGCCACGATGAACCAAACTTCATAATTCACCAACATTATAATCCTATATTGGGAGCATACGCTGACAAACTTTCAGCTTTTATAAAATGACGTAGGTCTACCGTTCACTAGCTCTAAAAAGTAATGTCTATAAAAGTTAAGTCTATAAACTTAGTTTTCTTAAAATACTAAGAGCTCTTTCACATTAGAGGGTTAGAAGCGCGACAGCAGCGCGGCAGCGGCGTTTTTATAATGTGAAGGCAGGCATCCGCTGTCACATAGTACGAAATTTTCGGCAGCGCGTCTGTCGCGCGTTTGTCGCGCTGCTAAATCGCCTAAATGTGAAAGCGCTCTTAGGGTGGATTCGACCAAATAAGAGTAAATATTAATCTCAGAATAAATCGTCAGTTATTCGACATTTTGACATAATATTTCCGATACTGAAACGGTCAATGTGCCAGTTATACCAGGAGTTATTCTCGGATAAGTTTGGTCGAATCGGGCCTTGGTCAAAAATTTTTGTGGAAGATCGCTAATAAGGGCGTTAGAAATTAGGTGGTTAGATATCGTTGTTTCTCATTGTATTTCTCGTAATTGTTTGCGTTCTAGCCAACATTTCGAACATTTTAAATACCTAAGTTTGTTTATCAAAATTGGTGAACCCTTTGTATGCCTCAGTGTTTGTGGATAGTCCACAACACATGATCGGATCGGTCATATCCTTTTCAAGATATGTAATTTTCATGATGAATGTTTTATCATCCTTAACTTTTGGTCACATTAAAAAGTCTTGTACGATAAGAATAAGAAAACACTATCTGGGCTTGTACCTACGTCTCATAAGCAAGAGATTTCTTCAGTTTCACTGTTTTAACTTTTATTATACTTGGATACAAAATATTTAAAAAGTTTATTACTCCACTGTCGAAAGACTGTTATTCTAGGAACTTTTACTTCAGATTGAATTCGCGTTTCGCGCTAAACGATAGCCATTTAGCTTGATCATCAAATCGGGACGCGCTATTTTTCAATAAGAACCTGCCAGTTCTATTTTACGGCGTCGGAATATTTCACAAGAGCTATAAAACGAGTGAATGCTCGTATTCTTTTTCTTAATTTTAATAAATTCGATCAAAAACCTGTATTACAATAATTTTGGTAGGTGATCCGTTCCGAAATCTTATCTTCCTACCTACCTACCTACATTAAGATACTAAGCTTTTGCCCGCGACTTCACCCGCGTGAAATTGCGTTTGTCACAGATCGTCATAAATTATAGCCTATGTTATTCTGGGTTATAAACAATAATACTTTAAAGTTTCATGAAAATCAGTTCAGTAGTTTTTGCGTGAAAGAGTAACAAACATCCAGACATCCTGACATCCAAACTTTCGCATTTATAATATTAGTAGGATTAGTAGGATTTGAAGATAACTTTCTGATTCCTTGGAAACCTTTTAGTTATCAATTAATCATTTATTTAATTATGAAATGTTTTATAACTTTTATATTTTACTAAACACACGTTATTAAAATTAGTTACATTGCATTTGTCCTGGCCTAAAAGCTTCACTTGTCTAGTTTTTCTCTAAAGAGCGTCTAAATTGCCTAGCGTAATCACGTAGCATAATTAAGTTAACATTAAAAGCCTGTAGAAAAGTGGCGCACCTTTTGCCTAAGTAGCGGGCCGTGTACGTTAATGCGCTGTTAACGTAAAGCCTAGTTGAAAGCACGCGCGAGAGCGGGCCATGTCTAAATCGATGGTTTTATTACTTTTTTCTAAAACTCAAATGAGACGATCATAACACTTTTCTTATTCCAATCTAGAGGAACATTGACAATCTTTATTAGAGCGTAACTTGTTCCTTGTAAGTTCACTTTAGTATTAAAATACTCGTAGAAACTGTTATTTTTGAACCATTTTTCAAACCTATAATATCCTTACTAAAGAATTCAGTGTACTTATGATTCAAATTACCAATATTCCAGCTTTTTAAGCACTGCCCTAGAAGAATCGTAAAATATTGAGACTTATTCCCATTTGTAACAGTTCAGCTACCAAAAGATAAGTTACCGAGTTTCTTTCGCCACTTCTCAGCACCAGCCCATATCTTGTTTCGATTTGGTGGTAGGGCAAGCTGTATTTGGGACGTGTATAAGCACTCTGAAAAGTACCTAAGTACTGAATAAAAGATGGATTTGATAAAGTTTAACTGTCTTTAATGTTTCTTTCATTAACATTGTTTATTGCCTCGCCTATCGTCATCATTAATCATATCACCTATGCATGTGCCAACTTCTAATATGTAAACCCTCTTCTGTCTTGCCACTGTGGACGCAGACGTTCGAGATTTACCGATGCCTCTACTTGCAGCGAGAACGCGCGGCCCGGCGGCTGGGAGGACTCCGGACAAGTCATTATGGACCTTGCCACCTCTTTGGTAAGTCGCATTTTTGTTTAAATTTAATGAGCAAATTGAAAACCATAACTTCGGGTTGATATAAAAATTCTTCAGTTAGGTGATTTGTCAGAATCGTTTTGTTCGATAGGTGGCAGTTTTACAGGTAGTGTATCGGAGAAGTTTACTAGACTATTTATTATCGAGAAATAGCCGTCTATCACATGTATTGCTGCAAAATTTCAGGTTTCATGTACTTTGGAATTAAACTGTAAAAGCAATAAGTGCGTCTTGTCAGATTTTCTAAGCCTAGATGAATGCATCTGGAAATAATGGCATATCCCCAATATAAGTTTTTAACAGACTGATCCGACATGGGTGTCTAAAGCTCGGTTTCCATCAAAGTGGGAAAGATATGTTTGAATAACTTTCGTTATTTCCACATCACTTCTCCACTCGGCTTCGGTTCAAAAATCTGATTGTTTATTCAAACGCCTCTCTTCTCTGCTTTAGTAGAAACTGGGCCTAGTACGTTTACATAATAAATATCCTATCGATAGAATCTTGTTTTCGGTAATGTTTTTTTTTCCTGAACCACAAGTCTAGTGGACAAGTAATGTTGTGGTGGAAAAATAGTTTTTTTTACAAGTGGGAACATAATTTCGTGTTTGTTTCAGAAGGCCATGGCGATGCCGACCAGCAGCGAGCGTTCGGTGCCGCCGCACACCGCGATCGGCTACGACGCCCTCGACAACACGGTAAGAATTTATTTTCAACAATCTTATAGCGCTTAAACTATTCAGGGATTTAATCAAACTTGTTTTTAAGATGTATGGTGAAGCTCGCTTTCCATCTTCGGCCAGTAGGCCTAAGATGCGCGCCGTAATAACTTTTATCGACGTTAAAATGTATGGGCAAAATCGATAAAATGGCGTGATAACCGCTTATCGCGGTGCGCATCTTAGGCCTACTGATCATCACATGACCATCAGGTGAGATACATGCCAAGAGTTTCCTCGTTGTGGATAAAAAGGATAAGAATAAGAATAAGAATAAATTTATTACTGTATAAAAACTTAGCCTAAACACGTACAAGTTTGATGTTTTACAAGTACAAGGATGTTTTTGTCTTGTTTTCATACTTTGTTTTAGGTAAAATCTGAAACTCCTTGGCTAACCCCCTTCAATAGTTCAGTGCGTCTCTCTCGCTCCTCGCTTCACGCGAGAGGGATGAAGACATTCGAAATTTTGGCTACTTGAAGTGTATCCCCCATCTCACATTCTCGAAGCAACAGTCAAAATTCTAAGGGACGTGAAGGAGTTTACTTTGTTTTTAATTGCACCATTAAGTTAGTATCCATTGTAAGACGTCGGCACTGGATGCACTGCTGAAATTGCCCTAAGAGTCGAATTATTGCAGGTGGACCCGCCGTGGCCGCCGCGCGCGCCTGCCTCGCGCAACGAGAGAAACCTGCCAAGGCGCGCCTCTTTCTGTGAGCATTTTTTTTCTTTAGTTGAATGATTTAGGAATGTATATAGACTGAAGACTGCATCTCACTTAACACCAGGTGCGATTGCGGTCAAATACCTGCCTTGTCTAGCATAAAAAAAAGTAATTTACACCATTACCAGTAGCTTAGGATCGTAACGTTCGTTTCAGCTAAATGACATCCACTGCTGGACAAAGGCCTCCCCCAAAGATTTCCATAAAGACCGGTCCTGCGCTGCCCGCATCCAGGCACTTCCCGCGACCTTCACCAAATCGTCGGACCACCTAGTGTGTGGCCTGCCCACACAACGTCGCCTACTTACATCCCAACAGTAACATTTCTGAAGGGCTCTGTGTTACATATTCCTTGCTCTGAGGACGTCTTACAATTCTCTTTGGCGCACAAGGGATGTAGCAAAGGACTTGGTTAGCAGAAACCATTTCTATTATTCATGATACTAAAGTCAAGAACTAAAGTCGAGCAGATAGAATTTCGTCCAATGACACCAAGCTACCCATCCTTATCACTTGCGCGTAAATTGCTGTCGCGACGAGCGGCCGCAGTGAGTGTGCGAGCGCGACAGCCATATAATTATAACGCGCGAGAGATAAGGATATCTAAAGCCCGGTCTCTGAGCACGTAGAATTTTGTCCAATGACCCCAAGCTACCCATCCTTATCGCTCGCGCGTAATTATGTTGCTGTTGCGCTCGCACACACACTGCGGGCGCTCGTCGCACAGTCGCGACAGCAATATAATTACGCGCGAGCGATATGGATGGGTAGCTTGGGGTCATTGGACGAAATTCATTGGTCACTGGACCGGACTTGTTTGATTATGAAGCCATAATCTACTTTCTTGGTCAGGCGGCGTGTTAGGCGGCTCCGGCGGCGAGCTGGGCGGCGCCACCGGCAGCGGCAAAGCGGCGCGCTGGGCGGGCCGGCTGCCGGCGCGCTGCACCGATCCCAGCGCCGGCTTCTCGCCAAAGGTGTTCCTGGGCGGGCTGCCCTACGACATCACCGAGCACGCGCTCATGTACGCGCTGAGGCAGTTCCATCCCGTCAGGTGAGTGCCACATTTTGCTCGTCTATGGCCCGGTTTCTACCAAAGATGAGAAACTAACCAGATTTCGGCTTTTCCAAAACCTCTCCCCTCAGCTTCGGTTTGGAAAACCGGGCCTTGCATGACTATTTATGTTTGCGTCGAGGCTTGATTGTCGGAACCCGAATCATTGCTCAAAAATTCATGTAGGTACTGGCAGACCGCTGATGCCAATTTTCAAATTTAAAATCAAACCAAATGTACGTCTCTTACTAACCTAAATTTTTTAAGTACTTATTTACTTACACTATGATCTGTATGAGGTCGAAATAAATAAATTTATTATTATTATTTAGTCTCATTCCTTAGGGTCAAGCAGTTTTACACAACTATCTGGATACGTTCATACAAAAGGATTTTCCCGCTAATTCCTGTTCCCCTGGGAATTCCTAAGTATACTATAACCTGCCCAGAAGTATAAAGAATAATTGTACCAAGTTTCGTTAAAATCCGTCGAGTAGTTTTTGTTTCTATAAGGAACATACAGACAAAAATTTTACTGATTGCATTTTTGGCATCAGTATCGATCACTAGTCACCCCCTGATAGTTATTTTGAAAATAATTTCATGTACAGAATTGACCTCTCTACAGATTTATTATAAGTATCGATTTAAAAATAAGAGCCTTTATTTCTGCTAATATTTTACTAGTTTTTTACTCTCCAATCTTTTATTCCAGGGTGGAGTGGCCAGGGCGCGAGGGCGGCNACGACGTTAAAATGTATGGGCAAAATCGATAAAATGGCGTGATAACCGCTTATCGCGGCGCGCATCTTAGGCCTACTGATCATCACATGACCATCAGGTGAGATACAGGCCAAGAGTTTCCTCGTTGTGGATAAAAAGTATGTTTTTGTCTTGTTTTCATACTTTGTTTTAGGTAAAATCTGAAACTCCTTGGCTAACCCTCTTCAATAGTTCAGTGCGTCTCTCTCGCTCCTCGCTTCACGCGAGAGGGATGAAGACATTCGAAATTTTGGCTACTTGAAGTGTATCCCCCATCTCACATTCTCGAAGCAACAGTCAAAATTCTAAGGGACGTGAAGGAGTTTACTTTTGTTTTTAATTGCACCATTAAGTTAGTATCCATTGTAAGACATCGGCACTGGATGCACTGCTGAAATTGCCCTAAGAGTCGTATTGTTGCAGGTGGACCCGCCGTGGCCGCCGCGCGCGCCCGCCTCGCGCAACGAGAGAAACCTGCCCAGACGCGCCTCTTTCTGTGAGCTTTTTTTTCTTTAGTTGAATGATTTAGGAATGTTACACCATTACCAGTAGTTTAGGATCCTAACGTTCATCATCATCATCATTTCAGCCATAGGACGTCCACTGGCATAGGCCTCCCCCAATGCTTTCCATGTTGATAGATTGGTAGCGGCCTGCACCTACAAGGTGGACCGACGACATCGTAAAGGTAGCAGGGAAGCGCTGGACGCAGGCCGCTACCAATTCTAACGTTCGTTTTAGCTAAATGACGTCCACTGCTGGGCAAAGGCCTCCCCCAAAGATTTCCATAAAGACCGGTCGTGCGCTGCCCGCATTCAGGCACTTCCCGCGACCTTCACCAGATCGTCGGACCACCTAGTGGGTGGCCTGCCCATACGTCGCCTAGGATTTACTTGCATCCTAACAGTAATATTAGGTAAAGGTCTCTGTGTTACTTCCTTGCTCTGAGGACGTCTTACAATCCTCTTTGGCGCACAAGGGATGTAGCAAAGGACTTGGTTAGCAGAAACTATTTCTATTCATGATACTAAAGTCCGGTTGCCGAGCAGATAGAATTTCGTCCAATGACCCCAAGCTACCCATCCTTATCGCTCGCGCGTAATTATGTTGCTGTTGCGCTCGCACACACACTGCGGGCGCCCGTCGCACAGTCGCGACAGCAATATAATTACGCGCGAGCGATATGGATGGGTAGCTTGGGGTCATTGGACGAAATTCATTGGTCATTGGACCGGACTTGTTTGATTATGAAGCCATAATCTACTTTCTTGGTCAGGCGGCGTGTTAGGCGGCTCCGGCGGCGAGCTGGGCGGCGCCACCGGCGGAGGCAAGGCGGCGCGCTGGGCGGGCCGGCTGCCGGCGCGCTGCACCGACCCCAGCGCCGGTTTCTCGCCCAAGGTGTTCCTGGGCGGGCTGCCCTACGACATCACTGAGCACGCGCTCATGTACGCGCTGAGGCAGTTCCATCCCGTCAGGTGAGTTCACATTTTACTCGTCTATAGCCCGGGTTCCACCAAAGCGGAGAAACTGAATAACCAGATTTCGGCTTTTCCATAACACCTCTCCGCTAAGCTTCGGTTCAGGAAACCGGGCCTTGCACGACTATTAGCCTCATTCCCGTTTTATTTTATTTAAAAAAGTGGTTGATCGAGCAGGCGTTCTATAAAATTGACGAACTGTTAGGAATTTAATTATTATTGACACTGTTACCCACTATTTATTTTGACATTTAATTGACATTAATTCTATTTGTATTATTAATTTATTTGGACATGTGCGTTTCTTTGAAAATTGAAAATTTGACATGTAATGAACATTATGAATAAATTTCTTATTCTTATTCTGCTCCAATAGGGTCAAGCAGTTTTACACAAATGTCTGGATACGTTGGTCTTTGTAGATGTGCCTAATTCTTAGTTGTAGCTAGATTTTTAAAGAATATTAGTAATTTGTAAATACATACGTACATGGTTAGCTAAATATTATGCTTGTTAAGAGTACCACCACCACGATAGTAGCAGCGGGGATCAGATTACGCAATTCCTTAGCAAATCTAATGGTCAAAAAATTTTTAGGTTTCATTTCAAAATAAGAGCCTTTATTTCTGACTAGCGGCCGCCCGCGACTTTGTACGCGTGGATCCCGTTTTACGCCCTTCATCTATCTTACGCGGTTTAGATTTTTTCATACAAATGTTTGTTCCCGTGGGAATTTTGCAATATCCTGTTGTAACTAAGCTTTAAGTTTACTAAGGTACCTTCATGCCAAATTTCAAGTCCTAACTTAAGCGGTTTAGATTTTTCATACAAAGGGATTTTCCCGCTAATTCCTGTTCCCGTGGGAATTCCTAAGTATACTAAAACCTGCCCAGGAGTATGAAGAATAATTGTACCAAGTTTCGTTAAAATCCGTCGAGTAGTTTGTTTCTATAAGGAACATACAGACAGACAAAAATTTTACTGATTGCATTTTTGGCATCAGTATCGATCACTAGTCACCCCCTGATAGTTATTTTGAATTGACCTCTACAGATTAATTATAAGTATCGATTTAAAAATAAGAGCCTTTATTTCTGCTAATATTTTACTAGTTTTTTACTCTCCAATCTTTTATTCCAGGGTGGAGTGGCCAGGGCGCGAGGGCGGCGGGTCGGGCGGCGGCGCAGGCGGCGGCTCGCCCCGGGGCTTCGCCTACGTCACGCTGGAGAGTGAGCGCCGCGTGCGCGCGTTATTGGAGGCATCGCGCCGCGAGGGCAAGGACTGGTACTATCGCGTCGTCTCGCGCAAGTTCCGGGCCAAAGATGTAAGTAGGCTTGACGTTATAAAATGTCAAACTTAACTCGAAACATCGCTAACCTATACAGGGTGACTTTGTTATCAATATCCAATTTTTTTTTAATAAGCTCGTTAGAACAATTTGACAATACAACTTTATCGTAATTATTTTTAATTGTGGTATTTTTCACAAAAAAAATATTGAAAGTCTAATACGCGGGTGCCCATATCTTAAGTTTTAAAGGTTATTGCTTATTTTCGCTCACCATTATGTCTATTAAGCTTTGCAGTAACTGTCTACATTTTTTCCATGAATGAAGCAAATTTTCCACGTGAGTCAATTTGGAAACCGCGCGCAGCGGATGAAAATAATTAAATATGGAGAAAAAAGTTTTGTTTTCTTTACGTAAATCAATTAAGTTACTGATTCTGAGTCGATCCTGAAAATTTGGATACTGATACAAAAATCACCCTGTATATGGTCTGAGCAAAACATTGCGCATAGACTATTTATTTATTTTATTAAAGATAATAAACAATTGTACGATTCAGATTGTAAGATTAACCAAGTTCCACGTTGGGTGCAAAACTTGTAGTTCGCAAGTTACACTGGGTACCAAATTAGTTGCAAATTAGGCGCCAAATTAGCAGCGCGTTGGGCGCCAAATTAGTTACATGTTGGTCGCCAAATTTTATACAACACATTGGCCGCGAGATTTTATACAAAACGTTGAGCGCCAAAGTTACACGTTGTGCGCCAAATTAGTTACACGTTGTGCGCCAAATTAGTTACATGTTGGGCGCCAAATTAGTTACATGTTGGGCGCCAAACTAGTTACATGTTGGGCGCCAAATTAGTTACGTGTTGGGCACCAAATTTTATCCAACACGCTGGGCGCCAAATTTTACCTAACACGTTGGGCGCCAAATTTTTTACGTGTGCTGCATTTAATTGTCACTGATATTTTATCAAAGTTAATTTCAGTTGGCGTTCAAAATTAAGCGTTTTGAGTGTCGACAAGTTACACATTTCATAACTGCTGTAGTTTGGTATTGTTGTAGCTTAGGATAAAGCAATAAAATGGCAGGGTTTCATGTTACGGGTCTGTTGCGTAAGAACCTTCTAGAGCATGTCTTGTTGGTTGTCCTATTAAATAAATAAATAAATAAAGAATTACATCCTTATTCATAATAATGTAAACAGCTTATTAAGACTATTTTAACTATTACTGTTCTGTCACTTTCTATCAAATGACAGCGCCAAGTAGGAACGAGATAAAACAGTGTAATAGTTAAAATAAGCTGTTTGTATTATTATGAACTAGCTTTCCGCCCGCAGCTTCGCCCGCGTGGAATTGTCTGTCACAGAAAAACTTTATCGCGCGCGTCCCCGTTTCAAAAACCGGGATAAAAACTATCCTACGTCCTTTCCCGGGAGTCAAACTATCTCTATGCCAAATTTCATCAAAATCGGTTCAGTGGTTTAGGCGTGAAAGAGACACAGGCAGACAGACGGACAGGCAGTTACTTTCGCATATACAGGGTGGAATTTTGTAATGCCACCTGGAGGGAAAGTACTCTTAATACTGCAGATAGAAAATTTTACCGAAAGAAAACATTCCTTTATTTTTGAAAAGAAAGGGAACTGCATTCAAAGAATTTTCGAATTTTTTTCGAAAATTCACTATTATACCATGCAATTTTCTGTAACATAATTAAGATAATTTAAGATTTCATGGTTTTCCTTTCATTTGATTTATCAAGTTTGTTAGAGATTTCATCCTTATACTTGACCCTAACGATCGATGTAATAAAAATACAGGATGTAATTTTTAACACATTTTAGTTGGTTCGATTCTCGGGTGTGGCAAGCAAATTTTTGGAAATCTTTAAATGCAGTTTTATTTCTTTTCAAAAATAAAGGAATGTTTTCTTTGAGAAAAAAATTATATCTATAATATTAAGAGTACTTTCCCTCCAGGTGGCATTACAAAATTCCACCCTGTATAATATTGGTATAGAAGCACAGAATAGATAATAGTAGCAACAGAAATTGCACTCCTTTGTGTAGGATCAGATGCCGACATTTTAACGGTAATAATAATAATGCAAAATATCCAACGCACATGGTGCATTCGAAATCGCACCTTACTACTCCGCTCACAAGAGCGCAAATTTTTTGTGTTCAGAATTGATCTACCTCGCAGCTCAAGCGTCAGGGTTGTATAAGCAAAGTAAAATAAATAATAACTTAATTTTAAGAAGCATTTATTGTATTTACGATTGGTAATCTTTAATCTAGTGGTGTTTGTATAATCGTACCATCTCTAAAGTACCTATTAATAAACTTCAGTGTTGCAATAATTCGAAATTGGACAAATAGTTTTAAAAGGTGTAGTGTCGGAAAATAGACACGGTGAAGTAAGTTAATGTTTATATTAGCTAAAATATTTTTTTTGCTACAGTTTTTTTTTATAAGTATTTCAAATTTATTTAAAAAGTGTAGTTTTTTTTAATTATTTAAATTAGTACAGTTAATTATTATTCCTAAATACTACGATTTTACATTAAAGAAGGATAACAGTGCTGTTGGAATAATAAACCTTGATTGTGACGATGATCGACCGAGCGTGTATAGAAATACGCGTGTGCTCACAGGCGCGTGGCGGTCCTGACTGATTTGCAACTTGAAGTTGTCGCGCGCTGTAGGTAATTATCTCGGCCGGCATAGGCGAGTGACGGAGGCCTGATAGAAGTAGGTATAGATAAGGGTGTTACAATTTAAAATTGCGTTCTGTACAGGTGCAGGTGATCCCGTGGGCGGTGTCGGACGCCAACTGGGTGGAGGGCGGCTCAGTGCGGCTGGAGCCGGCGCGCACAGTGTTCGTGGGCGCACTGCACGGCATGCTCAGTGCGTCCGCGCTCGCTACCATCATGAACGACCTGTTCTCGGGAGTTGTTTATGCTGGTGAGTAGTGTTTTGTTCTTTAGCTACTAGTGAACAAATCTTTGCTTGCTATCTGATTCTAAATCAGGCGGCGAACATTTGGGTATAATATAAAGTTGGCTCAGCTTCTCCGCGCTCGCTACTATTAGGAATGATCTGTTCTCGGGAGTTGTTTATGCTGGTGAGTAGTGTTTTGTTCTTTAGCTGCTGGTCAAGATTTTGCCACCAGATTAAAGTTCAAAATCTGGTTCAAAAAATGTTGGCATATACGGTTTGCTCAGTTTCAAGGTAAGGTCATCTCCGCGCTTGCCACCATTATGAACTCTTCTCCTATGTGGATTTATGCCTATCTAAAATTTTTAGGGTTCCGTACCTCAAAAGGAAAAAAACAGTACCCTTATAGATATTTTTCTTTACCACTTGCAACCTGGGATTCGGGCATTTACAGTCAATCGACTACGGTCGAGATCAAAATTATTTTGAAAATAATAATAATAACGCAAGCCTTATAAAGGACCGGGCCACTTTTGACCCGTGAGCTCCAAAGCGTACAAACATAATAATAATATCAATAAGCTGTACTGCTAGAATTTTATACTCGCACTACGTAATGTATTTTTTTTCCTTGAAAGGCTCCTTTCATATCAATACCTAGATTAAATGCATTTTCAATCGCTCAAAAATAAACAGCACCTATCCATATTATTCATTGCTTCATTTGCAAGCGTGTAATACAATACAAGAATCGAAGAATATTCCCCTCTGGTATTAGATGAAATAGCAGCAAAATACTTCCAATCTTCAGCCCTTTTAACGAAGCTTATTCTCCACAGGCATCGACACGGACAAGAACAAGTACCCGATCGGGTCTGGGCGCGTGACGTTCAACAACGTGCGCTCCTACGTGCGTGCTATATCTGCTGCCTACGTCGAGATCTTCACCGACAAGTTCTCTAAGAAGGTAAGATTTATCACTCCTGTAAGAGCTAGATTAAATATTTTGATCTGAACGTCTGCATAATAAGATTGTTGGCAATGAGGGTTTTCGCGAATGAAAGATCCGCTAGATGGCGGGACGTGGATGTGGGGTCTGACTGCTGCGTGATTGGTGGATTTTGACATCTGTCAATGTCATGTCAAAAATAACCAATCATGCAGCATTTGGAACTCGCGTCTACGTATTGCCATCTGGCGGATTTTTCATACGCGAAAACCCTCATTGACATTTTTATTTCCCGACTTCGCCAAGAGGGTTATGTTTTCCGCCATTGCGCGGACAGTGTACAGTATTTATTTTATTTATCTTTATTAAAGAAACTTACAACCTTGTTTGATACATGCAGCTAGTATTGACCGACGATTGACGTTCAGCTTAAAACTTTTTAAAAAGCTCTTACATATTGTTTTGTAGACTTATCATAGCACATTTGAGGAATCGTTCCTGTTGTTTTACCTGCACCTTTAGTCTGTAACTTACGTTACTGATTTACGGCCGANAGTTTCATAATCTTTTCGCTACGACAATATTCACCGGCTACTAATAATTAATTTGTATTTGTTTAGACATGTGGAACTTGTGATTTGCAGGTGCAAGTGGACCCGTACCTGGAGGACTCGATGTGCTCGGTGTGCAACCTGCAGCAGGGGCCCTACTTCTGCCGAGAGCCCATGTGCTTCAGGTACGTCAAAACATTTTCTTATCCTAGTACCTATAGTTCCAATATACTGAACTGTCCTATCCACGACATTGACAGCGGGGCGCCACCGTCAATACCGGATCGCTGGCTCCGATTTTTGCCATGGAAACCATATAGTTGAACGATGGTAGCGCCCCCTGTCATTGAGTTTGGTGGGACAGTTCAGCGTGGGTCATCTATACCTATGTATTCCTTTTATGTCTAGAACTTGGAATTAGCTACTGTAATATTTTTTTTATTAGCTGTAATGCAAGTGACATGATCCAAGCTCGGACTATGTCCATAAAATTTGATACTTCAGAATTTTACCGTGTATTGTAATTTAAACTTTTTGATAATTTGCTGAACTCTTTCCTCCTATTTAATTTATGGAAACCATTTTTAAAGGTAGTCGTCTACCGCTTTTCTAATGTCTCAATTTTGCAATAGAAGAGTGAATGAGTTTCTTACGCTGTTTTTTCTTAGCATTGACCCATTTGTCCCGCAGAAAGTAATAATAAGTCGTTTCAGTCTCATGACGTCCATTGCTAGACAAAGGCCCGGCCCGTGGTCGCTATTCGAGAACTGACGAGACGTGGAAGTGCTTTTTAATAATGAATCTCTTGCGTACAAAAGGTACCCACTGAAAACCAGTGTCTTGGCACTTGGCAGTAAAATGTCAACTGTCAAGATGATGTAGATGACCCACGCTGAACTGTCCCACCAAACTCAATGACAGGGGGGCGCTACCATCGTTCAACTATATGGTTTCCAACATGGCAAAAATTGGAACTAGCGATCCGGTATTGACGGTGGCGCCCCACTGTCAATGTCATGGATAGGACAGTTCAGTATTTTGGAACTATACTGAGTGGGTGACCTCTTTGGCAACATTTTTTTTTCTCTTTTCTCTTCATTGTTTTTGTAGGTACTTTTTAGTTGTCAAATAAATATTTTTTCTTTCTTTGTGGCAGATACTTCTGCCGCTCGTGCTGGGTGTGGCAGCACTCGGGCGACGAGCACAAGCCGCTGATGCGCAACTCAAAGGCAGCGCCGCGTGCGCCCGCGCCGTCACACCACGCGCGCCAGCCCGACTCTGCCTACGGCGGCTCCTACGCGCTGCCTAGCGAGGGTGAGTTAAATCAATCATCATCATCAACAGCCCTTTACAGTCCACTGCTGGACTATGAGCCTCCTCCACTATAGTGGAGGTTTTGCCATCCCCACGCTTGGCAGGCGGTTTGGAGATCGCAGTTTAAAAGATTGATGTTTTTCAGAGAGCGAGAAAATTGTATCAATAGTTTTTTTTAATATCATAAACATAAATAGCTCTACATAATTTTATAATCTCACTGATTTGTTGCAAAATAGCTCTTATATTAGCCACGATAGCCGAACGGTGCACGAGTCTGACTGGCCGACTCGAGATCCGAGGAACGCGGGTTCGAATCCCACCGCTTCTAGACTATTGTGGTGAGCCCACTCGTAACACTATTAGTAATTTGTGCAATACAAATTGCTAATATTTTAAAAAATATATTACAACATAGATGCTACAGTTTTTAGCTTGAATATGTTGCTATGATTTACAGATAATAATTATTATATGGTATATGTTCAAAACTGTAAAAGTAGTTTATTCAACAAGCCTTGTACTTTGAAATCAAAGCTGTTAAGTACCAAACCAATAATTTAGTTTTTCCATTATGTGACGCAGTCTGAACTGACCTCATCTTACAACCACAGATATTATTTACTAGCTTTCTTTGGTAATTTGGCATTCATTCAACAGTTGGCCAAATTAAATCTAGCTATAAATACGACTCTTTAACAATGCTTTTTTTTTCTTCAGGAACCCCATCGCCTGCAACAAGCGGCACGAGTGGCGCGAGCGAGTTAGACGCCGCGCCTCCAGAAGATTCCACGGACGCTGCCTGGCCTCCGCACTAGTTGCAGAACCGCACTAGTGGCGCCGACGCACTAGTCCCAAGCGTTAGCGCGTGAACTAGGAACTGCAGTCTTGTGCTTGCACTGCTAAGGGTTATTTTGCCTGGAGCAAAGGTAAAGTCGAAAATCTAAATATTCTGGTGGACTTCACTTTTTGTTCTCGACTTTACTTCATCTCGAGTAAAGGAATCCTTTAACGTGTTCACGCTGATTTCAGTGTGCCATAAATACAACTGAATGTGCTCTCGGTCATTCGAACGTTGTTCACTTGCGAGCACCGTTACTGACGTAATTTTGACACACAATGAAATCTTCGTTTACTTCTGTAATGCTATGCTTTTATNCAGTATTTTGGAACTATACTGAGTGGGTGACCTCTTTGGCAACATTTTTTTTTCTTTTCTCTTCATTGTTTTTGTTCATTTTTAGTTGTCAAATAAATAACTTTTCTTTCTTTCTTTGTGGCAGGTACTTCTGCCGCTCGTGCTGGGTGTGGCAGCACTCGGGCGACGAGCACAAGCCGCTGATGCGCAACTCAAAGGCAGCGCCGCGTGCGCCCGCGCCGTCACACCACGCGCGCCAGCCCGACTCTGCCTACGGCGGCTCCTATGCGCTGCCTAGCGAGGGTGAGTTGTATCAATAGTTTTTTTTATTAAACATAAACAGTATGCTACAAAACATCACTAGTTTTGTAGCAAAAATAGCTCTACATAATTTTATAATCTCACTGATTTGTAGCAAAATAGCTCTTAATTACAACACTAGCAGTGCCCGCGACTTCGTACGGGTGAAAATCATTTTTGCTCTGCACCTATTACTCGTAACGTGATGGTAGGTATATAGCCTATAGCTATATAATATAAATGGGATATCTAACACTGAAAGAATTTTTCAATTCGGATCGGTAGTTCCTGAGATTAGTGCGTTCAAGTAAACAAACACTCTTCAGCTTTATAATATTAGTATAGAAGTATGATTCCTTAATTTTTGTTTGTTCGAACAGAACGGTTTTTACACAATTTCATCACACAAGACATGTCGTATTCGTGTTGTTTTTTCGCTGCTTAAATGTGTCAACTGTGTGAAGTTTGCACTCGAAGTGGTGTATCAGGAATGTGTGCGTGCCGGCCTGTACGTACAGGCAAGCTGGTGTATCCTAATGTCACAGTATTTTGTTGATGAGAATCCGTCCGACTTTTTTTATAGGTCCATGGGTTTGGTTTAATTAATTATTTTTATATGCATGCTGTGCTTACATCGAGTAGGGTAAATCAGTATGAATTGATTTTACACTCATTACTTACTTTTGCATGATATTTGATTGTACCCAGTTTTGTAAGCCAAATAAAAAAAAAATAAAAAAAAGTATAGATACAGTTTTTAACTTGAATGTTGCTATGATTTACAGAAATATAATAGTGTATGTTCAAAACTGTAAAATAAATTATACCTTGAAATTAAGAGCTGTTTAGTACCCATACCATTTAGTTTTTACATTGTGACTTGGTCAAAACTGACCCCATCTTACAACCACAGATATTATTTACTAGCTTTCTTTAGTTATTTGGCATTAATTCAACAGTTGGTCAAATAAATCGAATAAACTATATAACCAATGCTTTTTTTCTTCAGGAACCCCATCGCCTGCAACAAGCGGCACGAGTGGCGCGAGCGAGTTAGACGCCGCGCCTCCAGAAGATTCCACGGACGCTGCCTGGCCTCCGCACTAGTTGCAGAACCGCATAGTCGCAAGCGTTAGGGCGTGAACTAGGAACTGCAGTCGTGTGCCTTATACTGCTAAGGGTTACTTTGCCTGAAGCAGAGGTAAAGTCGAAAATATAAATATTCTGGTGGACTTCACTTTTTGTGTTCACGCTGATTTCATAGTGTCATAAATACAACTGAATGTGCTCTCGTTCATTCGAACGTTGTTAACTTGCGAGCACTGTTACTGACGTAATTTTGACACAATGAAATCTTCGTTTACTTGTGTAATGCCAAGCCTTTTTGTTTTCGACTTTACTTCATCTCTAGTATAGGAATCCTTTAACGTGTTCACTCTGATTTCATAGTGTCACAAATACAACTGAATGTGCTCTCGTTCATTCGAACGTTGTTCACTTGCGAGCACCGTTACTGACGTAATTTTGACACACAATGAAATCTTGGTTTACTTGTAATGCTAAGCTTTTATATTCAACGAAGCGAATGCCTTCCCGGAATTTCCTAGTCAACATATATCTTTCTAAGACTATAGAAAGAGACTAAATGAAACTTTCGTTGATTACAAAACCTGAGCACGACACATGGCTGCAAAACGACTAGTTGCTAGTTCAATAGTCGCCAATACGGTGATACTTTAACGGGCATTTTGCCCGAGTGGCTGTCCCCACTAGTCGCACTAGTGCTAGTTACTAGTGCCACTAGTTGAGACGAGAGATTTGTTGTCGAGCCGCTATTAAGTTGGGCGCTCCAGCATTTGCTTAGTCGTAAGGTTGATTTAGCCGTCACTGCCTCTGCTGCGAACCTGACCAAATTCTAACACTTCTTTGGTCGTGACATTTACTATAGTCTGGTTCGTGAGCACGTAGAATTTTGTCCAATGACCCCAAGCTACCCATCCTTATTGCTCGCGCGTAATTATGTTGATATCGCGCTCGCACACTCACTGCGGGCGCCCGTCGCACAGTCGCGACAGCCATATAATTACGCGCGAGTGATAAGGATGGGTAGCTAGGGGTCATTAGACAAAATTCTTCGTGCTTACGGACCGGGCTTTAGTAATTTTCTGCCAAGTTATAATTTAAATTCTTCTGTATAAGTTTTTAAGTTCAGAATCCTTTGAAGGTTCGCAGTCGATGCTGGTAACGGTTGTGCCATGTTCTGTCGTTGTGAAGTGTTGTATTTCGTTAGCGAAATTTAAGTATTGTTTTGTATAACTTTTCACGTCTGTAAGCAAATATTTATAGTTAAAAATTTGGGACGCTAAAAGACTGTAAAAGACGTGATTTTGCGCAATGACAGAATATTGAGCAATATTTAAATTATTTAGAATATTTTGATTATGAACTCGTGGCTGCTGTCTTAATTATACATTCCATTTTGAACATTACCCCAATGTATAGTCTAATGAAGTAGCGCCACAATCTTGTTTTGTATACGATAATCACTGGAGTAACTTTATTTTTTGCTAATATATTGTAGATCAATAACTATATCAATGATATGCATTAGGGTGGTCCTTATTTTTCGACTTTTGAATTATCCCCGGGGCACTTTCTCATTCGATTATATACCTCTAAATATGAAATTAGCTTTTTTTGTTTTTTTTTTAGTTAAGATTTAGAGGTCGCTACCAGCTGTCAAAATATTTACAAAAGCTTTGAAAATCTTAAATCATGATTTCATAAATGTTTTATTTAAGTGTTTATATCACATTTTACGTGCAAAATGAACATCGCATAGATAGAATAGACAATCGCTTCTTGTCCCCTTCTCCCCTCAACCCCTCTTCCGTACCGACCATGGTACCGACGCGTCGAGATACTAACAAGTAAACTCTTATATCTTAAAAATAATTGATTCAAATATGTACATTGTACATAATATATTAGTTCATAGCAACAACAATAATTTTGTAATATTTTTATTTGGCTTTGGCTTTAAAAATAAATGAATCTAACAAATACAGATTTTGTTTTTACTTAGAATTCAAACCTTGGTAGCGACCCCTAAATGTCTTTTAAAAATTAAAAAAAAAATAATGAAAGACTTTCATATGGTATATATTCAAATTACGTGGTGCCCCGCAAAATATAAGAAAAAATTTTTTTTTCGTAGGAATAAGGACCACCCTAATATGCATATTACAATTTATCGATTTTATACGAATATTATCATACGCCTTCCGCGTAGTTGTTCAATAGATAAATTTTACATGTGCCTGTACTAGTTAGGTGATTTTAATCGATTTTTACGGTGCCTGTTAGTAGCCCATCGTAGGCTGTCCATCGCGATACTTTTAAACGTTTTAAAGGGCTTTTAAAATGTATAATCATGGTGATTTTTATAGAATTTTAGGGTTTCATAATACATGAAATGTTGATTTTAATCTCCAAAGCTTGTTTGATTTTAAAATATATTGTAAACTGTTATTGGAAAAATAAATTATATAAAAAGTAATCGTATTATTAATTGATAATTCCCATTTCCTTTCAACTCGGTAGGTGTTGAGATTTCAGATTCAAACAAAATCAAGTTTATTTACAATATATTTACTTGCTTATACACAAAAAATATTGCAATCCAGTGCAATCAAACTGTAGATATTTACACAATTTACACTAAAACATAAGTAGGCGTAATCAATTTCTTAGGCTATAATGTAAATAATCGGGCAGTAGGTAAATCTAGACAAAGTAATATTCGTGTCAGATTCAATTTCGTTGGAGTTGCAGACCAAGAACAATAATTTTAGCTTAGCTTGCATAGCTATTCAGTTATCTTAGCTGTTCCGTTTGCATAGTTAGCAGTTTTCACGATGGAAAACTTTGTATCGCCTTCTTGGAGATCGGGAGTTGATAGAAAGAGGCGTATAAGGCCTGGAAGTCCTGGAACGCACTATGCGGTCAGCCGTCCGGTTAAAAATATGTATTGAAACAGCCGCATGAAAGTGCGCATTAAAACTAATTTTCAATACATACTTTTGACTGCGGTTAACCGGACGGCTGACAGCACTCCGGCCAACCGCATAGTGCGATCCTGGCCTAAGGCTGGTTTTAGTGTCACGCGGACTGTCAGTGCGGATCGCTCTGCACAGCCGATCTGTACTTCTAGGGAGCGTTTTAGAGTAATGCGGTCCGGAGGAACCGCTCCGCTCCCTAGCAGTTCATACAGATCGGCTGACGGTCCGCGTGACACTAAAACCAGCCTTAAACTTCTTGAGACTGCTTCACGTTGACACAAAGAGGTGTATAACCTGCGTTAGTCGAAGCTCATGCTCATATCGGAGGTATTGGCAAAGTTACTTGGTCAATGCTCGCCCTTTTATAGAATGCGTGTCGTTTTGAGCCTGTCTGACGCGTTTTTACTCGCGAGTTTCGAATCGCGCGATAGTGAGGTACTAGACGTTCATATATTCTGTCCACATGCAGTCGCGCGATTCACCTAAGAATTACAATCGCGCGATTCAAAACGCGCGTGTAAAAACGCGTCATCTGAAAACTGCCTTTCTTGTGGTGTGGTCACAATCGTGCGTCGATATAGACAGAGTAAATACAAATGAGCAGGTCATCTTCATAGAAACGCACCGAGCGTGGTTTGTATGTGAGCGCGCCAATACGTATGCGGCGCGCACGCACACACTGACAAAATTTAGCGGGGATTAGCGGGGAGTTGCCCCGAATTTTGTCAGCGTGCGCGCCGCATACGTATTGGCGCGCTTACATACAAACCGCGCACGGGCGTTCTATGAAGATGACCTACTCATTTGTATTTACTCTGTCTATATCGACGCACGATTGTGACCTTGTGTGATATAGAGGTGTAAAACTTCTTGAAACTGCCCCACGTTGATACAAAGAGGAGTATAACCTGCGTTAGTCGAAGCTCATGCTCATATCGGACGTGTTGGTGGCGTCTGCGGGCGCGGGCGCGGCATAAAGGTCGGAGACAGACGAATGTAACGCGATATTTATTTAATCTATCGTGTAAGGCCCGAAACTGTGTTAAGCGGGAACCCGCGCGGTTTGACATTGAGCATACATTTTTTTTAAATACCTTCGCGAAGTATAACTTCTGTACGTAGTACCACAGAATAATAATAAGTACTACGTACAGAAGTTTTACTTCGCGAAGGTATTTAAAAAAATGTATGCTCAATGTCATTAACAATATGGTGTAACTTAGTCTGTCTCAAGAGTCAAGCACCATTTTGTTGACAAACGTCAGTGATCGGCACTGCGCCGAAGCTATAGGGCTGACTTCGGTAAAATGATGTGACGTGAGGTGCCAAACTGCGGAAAATGGCGGAGGAAATACATGATTTAGCATGAATTATCATGAATCATATTAACTACTTATTTACCTCTCAGTGTCTTGAGGCAACTTAAAAAAGTACATTCTGTGTTTTTATTATTATTTAGGCAGTTAAATACTGCACAGTATTTGATACACCATTTTCTTTATTTTCTTCCATCATACACAAGAATACGCGTGCGTGAGTCAATGTTCGCTCGTATGTGAGGCCTTGTCGAATAGTTACCTGTAGGTGGGCCATCGTGCGTGTTTTGTTTTCGATGTAAACTCGCGGAGATGAACAGGCCTGGTAGTACTTATTATTCTGTGGTTTCGGGCCTAAAACTTCAAACTGCCTCGCGTTGATAGTAAGAGGAGTATAACCTGCGTTAGTCGAAGCTCATGCTCATATCGGACGTGTTGGTGGCGTCTGCGGGCGCGGGCGCGGGCGTGGCGGGCGCGGGCAGCGATATGTTTACCGCCGGGAACGGGAACTGCTGGATCTCGTCCTCTGGAAACATATACAAGGTGTAAAGGCCGGGTACAGATGAATGTAACGCGATATTTAATCTATCGTGTAAATGTAAGAAATGGGCGGACTTACGCTCGCGTCCGCGTCACACTGAGCTTTTTATACTGTTTTCACACATACATGCATATAACATAACTTAGGCATGGAAGATTGCTGCTATCTGGAAATAGTAATACCTACATTTATTATGCTTTGTTTCGTTTTCAAAATCCTGCTAATAATAAAAATGCGTTTGTGAATATGAATGTTTATTACTCTCTTACGCAAAGCTATAATTTATTACGACAGATCGTTTTAAATAATAGCCTTGCGTAAAAGAATAATACAGATAATTTCACGCAGACAAAACCTAGTCAAAAATCATCGTATATGCCCCTCCTAAGAGAAGCTGCCTTCCACCCCCTGACGCAAACGCTTAGTATGCCTATGATACAGGGTGTATGGCATATTTAGCAGGGTGTATGCACGTTCAAAACTTGCAGAAATATGACCTTAATATTTTATGAGTCTACAATCACATTACCACCCTTTATGTAGGAACGCCTCCAAACATGACGGTCAAATACAGTACCGATCGATTGGCCTACGGCTTATTCATTGTTTTTGGAACACTGTATGTATATTTTATCTCACTCACTCCCACTGAGAACTATAGAGTTCTCACAACCAGTACCCCACTTACCTAAGTTTTCTGTAGAGAGCGTGTCGACTATAGCATCCAACAAAGCCAATGCTACCACGTTGTCGGGGTCTCTCGCCAGGGCTGCGTGCAGCGCGCTCGACGCGTCTATCTCCTGCCCTTGCAGCGCGAGCGCCAGCCCTGGGAAATTATAGGACATCAATAAAAGCAGAGTAAATACAAATGAGTAGGTCATCTTCATAGAAACGCACCGAGCGCGGTTTGTATGTGAGCGCGCCAACACGTATGCGGCGCGCATGCAGACACTGACAAAATTCGGCGCAACCACGACTGGCTCCCCGCTAATCCCCGCTAAATATAGCGTTTCTATGAAGATGACCTACTCATTTGTATTTACTCTGATAAAAGGCTATTTATTAGTACAGTAGGTACATTACATGCTAAGGTTATACGTAAGTGAAAATATTGGAAGCGCTCAAAGCCTTTTAACAAAATTCATACTTGTTAAAACAGTAGTTGACTCGTGTGCCCCAGTGATCCAGGTCACCCACAGTTTTATTTTATTTTTATTTATTTAGGAAAACCAGGGTTTTACAGTGTATAATAATGACAAGGGAAATGCTTTGCGCATACCAACTGGGAGTAAGGACGGCTTATGAGTTTTGTTGTGTGACTCTCCCAGCCAGAAGGGCGGGGGCTTACCAACGGTGTCTGTCGGAGCCCAATGAAATAGAGCCGCGAGCTATCGTCCAACTTGGACATTCATCCGGAACTCTGTTTTAGACAATGGTACGATGCCCATTGACTTCTACTGACTGAGCGCACTTACACGGTCGTAAAGAAAATAGTATTTTATTAACAGTTCTTAGAGTCGTAATTGCTTACAACCTTAGATTAATAAAACCTAGATAGATAGTCGTGCACGAAAGGTGAGGCAGATTTTAGTAAGCCAGAATGGCTTACTCGTAAACGTCACATAAACTGTCAAAGTGAAAAATTGGTAAACACGTCCGACGACTTTTAATTAATTAAGACGGTTTGTGCTGTGAAAGGGTGTCTAAATACATCAGAAAAACTAAAGAAAGTGACCAGTGTTACATTTCATAAGTAAGTACTACGATTCGACGCGTATTTTGCTTGTATTTGGCTTTCAAAAATTAAATACGGGAATGATACCAGTAACAAGAAAATTTATTTCCCAATTGTTCGCGGTACAAATACACTTCCTTTTTTATGAAATCGAGACTTTTCAGTCGATTTATCTTATTGTAATTAGGTAGGTACTTTTAATTCAATAAATAAGTAAGTACATGATGCGTTTTGTTTTTGTTAGTTATAAAATAATTAAAAACGTATTAAAAATTTCCCTACTTTCGGGAAAATCGCCTTCACTGTCTACACTCCCCAACAAAATTGACACTAATGACATAAGATTTTTGCCTCACTCTTGACGAAGCGTTTGTATGAAGACTATCCATCTAGGTTTTATTAATCTAAGCTTACAACTGATTAACTGACATTTCAATCCGGACGAACATGAATGACAGAAATGTCAGTTAATCAGTTGTAAGCAATTACGACTCTAAGAACTGTTAATAAAATACTATTTTCTTTACGGTCGTGTAAGTGCGCTCCGACGCGCGCCGTTAAATGGGCATCGTACCTATCACTCGTTATCGCGCGAGTCTATCCGGCTTCGATGGGACTTCTGTTGTTTTTAATAGAGATTTTCCCCTCGCGGTCCTGATGAAAAAGGAACCCAAGGCTGCATTGCCCACAGGCCAGCCCACTGTTGGGCTACTCACCCAGGCTGGCCAGCGAGGCGCTGCGGGCAGGACGGAGCGCCANAAGCGCCAGCGCGCGGCCGTGCCAGCTTACAGCGTCGTCGATGCGGCCCAGGCGCCGGCTCGTGTGCCCCAGCGCGTCTAGAGTCGCTGCCCAACGACTGCTTAGCTGGAAAAAGAATAAAAAATAACTTTAGTCACACAAAATTTTTTTTTCTGACCAAAGGATGTCCACAACTGGACAAAGGCCTCTAAGGATTTCCATGAAGAATAGTCTTACGCTGCCCACGTCCAGATACTTTCAAGATCATTGGACGACCGATTAGAACTCAAAAATTTCGCAGTATCGCGTGACGCGGCATTGCACCGCTTCTGTCCGCCACAGACGTAAGACGACGAAGTGATACCGTTTCGACGTCGTATCATCGTTGCAGCGCATCGTGTGCTTTGGCTCTCACGGGAGCGACTCAGCGTAGACCCTCGGCTCCTGCAGCTGTCTGCGCGCTAGGCTCACCTGCGCCGGCTCGCGGCCGCCCTGCGCCGCGTGTAGGGCTCGCAGGAACAGCTGGTGGGCGGCGGAGTAGTCTCCCGCGGCTCCCTCGGCTCCTGCAGCTGTCTGCGCGCTAGGCTCACCTGCGCCGGCTCGCGGCCGCCCTGCGCCGCGTGTAGGGCTCGCAGGAACAGCTGGTGGGCGGCGGAGTAGTCCCCCGCGTCTAGCTGGCCTGTTCATCTCCGCGAGTTTACATCGAAAACAAAACACGCACGATGGCCCACCTACAGGATACTATTCGACAAGGCCTCACATACGAGCGAACATTGACTCACGCACGCGTATTCTTGTGTATGATGGAAGAAAATAAAGAAAATGGTGTACTAAATACTGTACAGTATTTAACTGCCTAAATAATAATAAAAACACAGAATGTACATTTTTAAGTTGCCTCAAGACACTGATCCGAACTTCACAATTAGGGTGAAAGCTCACGTTCTTTCCAAACTTACCACATTTCTTCCTGAACGACAGGTTGATTTGAAACTTTGGTCACACATGCCTGAAATGAAGTTGGCTGATCCAAAGTTTAATGTTCCAAACAAAATAGACTTGCTGTTAGGTGCAGAGGTGTATTGTCAGATATTATCTGAGGGACTAGTTAAGGGTCCAATAGGGTGTCCTATAGCTCAAAACACCAGACTCGGCTGGATATTATCTGGTCAAGTATCTGAAAGTAGTAAAACTGAACCAAGCTGTAGAAACATTATAACAACATTACACACTCAAGTTGTTGAAGAAGAGTTTGATCTTAAACGCTTTTGGGAAATAGAATCTGATCAGTGTCTTCTCAATAAACATCAACACACCCCTGAAGAACAAAAATGCGAAGAATTTTTCAAACAAACGACCACAAGAGACCCTTCTGGACGTTATATTGTAAAACTGCCATTTAAAGAAGAAAACCCGAACTGTAAATCAGGCAACTCGCGAGAAATAGCTATAAGCAGATTTTTAATGCAAGAAAGACGATTATCAAAATCACCTAATCTCAAGGATCTCTATTCCGATGTTATTGCAGAATATCTGGAGCTGGGTCACATGGAAAAAGTACCAAACGACGAGATCGACAAATCAGAAAGTGTGTACTTACTTCATCACGCAGTAGTGAAGCTCAACAGAACAACAGGCTCACCTGCGCCGGCTCGCGGCCGCCCTGCGCCGCGTGTAGGGCGCGCAGGAACAGCTGGTGGGCGGCGGAGTAGTCTCCCGCGGCTCCTGCAGCAGGCTCACCTGCGCCGGCTCGCGGCCGCCCTGCGCCGCGTGTAGGGCGCGCAGGAACAGCTGGTGGGCGGCGGAGTAGTCCCCCGCGGCGAAGGCGGCGGCGCCCGCCTCGTGCGCCACGTGCGGCTCATGCGCCAGCGGCACGAGGCGCGCCCAGTGGGCCTTGCCGTCGGAGCGCTCCACCATCTTGTCGAGGGACGCCTGGAAATGTAAGTGGATTTGGAAACTTGTAACAAACAGCATCCTATATTTCTATAACACACAGAGTTGCCAATTAAACTTTACATTTGCCAAAAGGTAAACTGGTCGAGAATGCTTTAGTGCATTAAGTTCGCCTTATGTACAAATTTATTTTGGCACTAAAGTTTAAATAAATAAATAAAAAGAGTTTTCGCAACTACTTCTTAAGGTGACTAACACAAAGACTTGTCTGTCTCTGTCTCGCTTGCGAACTGTCGCTTATTTGTCTAACATTGTCTAAAGTCAAGTAACGTTCGCGGTCTTCCGTCTCGGTCTCGCGTCTCGGTATCCTGTCTCTGTCGTGATGCGAACCGCCTCTTTATTTCACAAGGCATTCACGAACGAGCAGTAAGAGACGAATGCACGCGTATTCTTCACCCATTGTAAAAATGGAAAGAAGAAAAATACGCGTGTGGTGCGCTAAATGGTGACACAATTTGCTGACTGTATTCAGTAGAATTTTTTTTTAATTCCGTTTTGCACTGGACTCATGTTTTACACACATTCTGGTCCTTCGAGCAAGATAAAAGTACTGGTTAGGCGAGTTCACTATTCCCAGTGCCGGGAATAAACCCGAGATTTACCCACTGAGTGAGTGGCAAATTGGCAATGTTGTCAACTCAAATCAAGTTACTGAGAATATTTTCGTTCCAAAGAACATTGTCGATCGAGGAATGTTTCTCAACACGTCACATCAGTTCTTAGGGGCACGGCATCAGCTGACTCACCTGGATGTTTCCAGACAAGCAAGATAGTCTCATTAATTTAAACAGGTTTAACGCGATACGTGGATAGGTAATACTGGATAGTTACCTCGGCGTTGCTATGCAGTGCGGCAGCTCGCGCTAGGAAACGCTCACACATAGCGGAGTTGTTGAGCAGTGAGCATTCTACGCCAACGTAAAGCGGCGGCAGGTGGCAGCCGCCCATCAGCTGACTTGCCTGCGAACACACATGTCAATACAATGAATATATGGGGTATTCGTTTGGTTTCTTTCTAACTTTAATATTCTGGAGTGCTTACAACGATGTCAGCCCGTTAGCGCGCAAACATGGCACTCTAATCTAAAATCTAAAACACAATTTATTAGCTTGATTAAACGATTTAGTAACCGACCCGACTAAATTTTTGGTGTTCCAGTTCACTCGACTAAATTACTCGACTAGTGTGAACCAAGCTTCAAGCGTAATAGTAACGTGTGTGGTAATGGGTGGTAACGCGCGTGGTAAAGGATGGTAGCGCACGTGGTAATGGATGGTAGCGCGCGTGGTAATGGGTGGTAACGCGGGTGGTAATGGGTGGTAACGCGCGTGGTAATGGATGGTAACGTGCGTGGTAATGGGTTGTAACGCGCGTAGTAATGGGTGGTAACCCGTGGGGTAATGGGTGGTAACGCGCGTGGTAATGGGTGGTAACGCGCATGGTAATGGGTGGTAACGTGTGTGGTAATGGGTGGTAACGCGCGTGGTAATGGGTGGTAACGCGCGTGGTAATGGGGGGTTACGCACGTGGNTAACGGGTGGTAAAGCGCGTGATAATGGTGGTAACGCGCGTGGTAATGGGTAGTAACGCACGTGGTAATGGGTAGTAACGCGCGTGGTAATGGGTGGTAACGCGCGTGGTAATGGGTGGTAACGCGCGTGGTAATGGGTGGAAACGCGCGTGGTAATGGGTGGTAACGCGCGTTGTAATGGATGGTAACTCGATGGTAATGGGTGGTAACGCGCGTGGTAATGGGTGGTAACGCGCGTTGTAATGGATGGTAACTCGATGGTAATGGGTGGTAACGCGCGTGGTAATGGGTGGTAACGCGTCGGTGAGTAATTATTATTTATTTATTAAATATATTTAACCGGTACATCTTTGATTAAATAGTGTCTTAAATCCTCTTGAGGTTTGTCCACACACAGGTGCTTATGTACTTAATGGAGGAAGTCCACACCTAATTTGTAACCCTAAGATTGCAGCGAATAAATGTTTTATTTTATTTATTTACCAGCGGCCGCCCGCGACTTCGTACGCGTGGATCCTGTTTTACCCCCTTCATCTATCTTACGCGGTTTAGATTTTTTCATACAAATGTTTTTTCCCGCTAACTCCCGTTCCCGTTCGAATTTCGGGAATTCCTTTCTTAGTGCACCTCTGCGGAGTCTGCGGTACCTAAGCTACGTCCCTTCCAAATTTCAAGTGCCTACGTTTAGCCGTTTAGGCTGTGCGTTGATATGCCAGTGAGTCAGTTTCTTCTTTTATACAGTTAGGTAAATGGGTATATGAGCCGACACTAGCCCATGTTAACATGGGCATATAAATGGTATGGTGAAGTCAGAAATTTTATATCATCATTTTTTTTTAATTTTCATGCAAAATAAATTTTATAAAATCCGATTTGTATAAAAATTAAAATAATTAAAATGAAGATATCAAATTTCTGACTTCACCATACCATTTACATGCCCATGTTAACATGGGCTAGTGTCGGCTCATATACCCATTTACCTAACACCCTGTATATTTAGATTTTTATTTATTGAAGAGTGCGAAGTACCTTGAAGTAAGCGGCCATGGCCTGGTCGTGCTCGGAGTCGGCGGCGAAGGAGTGTCCGTAGGCCAGCCACGCGCAGCCCGCACCTGCCTCCAGCCCTTTGGCCTTGCTCAGGTAGCGACGCGCGAATTCGTTCTTGCCTGCAAAATAATATTAAATTAACATATTCAATGGATAATAATAATCGGGACTATTCCCACCTCTCGTTCCCACCACTGCAACTCCTGTGTAGCCAGGATCTACAGCTTGACCGCCATAAAAACCCAACCAATGAAGGTCAAGTTTGTCCCGGGGAAAGTTAAACTGTCATTGGACCCGCAACGAAATTAATCAGAAGAACATAGGAGGAGTTCGAAATTAAGGTTCGACTTCCCTCCATTGCAAAGCGGATGACAGGTGACAAAAAAAGGTTTAAAACCTTTAAGAAAAGGTTATGCACCACGGACAATAAATAAAAATTAAGGGGGCCTATCTTATCAATGGATAATAATAGACACGAGTCTAGTTGATTGTAGACTGGCGATCCCAAACTTTTTAGTCTCATGAACTACTTCTGGGTTTTGTGGTTTTTAGTAGACCCCCGGATTTAAAGATTGTTATGAGGGTTCTTATGTCTTGGGGGGGAGGGAGGATAGTAAAACTTAGGGGAATTATTCGAAGCTCTTTCCTTGATTAGATACGAAGTGTGGACTTTCCCACAGCACCAAGGGTCCAAAATATCCAGCAGTTTGAGAGCGAATAATTCCAAGCTCTTCTGAACTTCATTATGCCTAAATCTTTGGGCAATTGTAGCCTCCTAAAACTTACCTATAAGATAATAACAACACCCAACAGCGAACCACGATAACTACCTGTTAGGTAGGGTACGCCAAAGTATGCGCAAACGCAAACAATTCCGAGCTTTTCTTTAACTCCACTAGACACGCCGCGCGGACCTCCCCGCAGCGCCAGGGGTCCACAGTATCCAGCAACTTGAGAGCGAAAAATCTGAGCTATTCTTAGATCTATTAATGCCTAAATCAAACTCTAGTTGTCTAAAAGACACTCACCAATAAGATAATAGTAGCACCCAACAGCGAACCAAGATATCCAGCTGTTAGGGTACGCATCCACCAGAGTATGTGCGAAGGCAAACAGTTCTGAACTCTTCTTTAACTCCACTAGGCACGCCGCCCGGACCTCCCCGCAACACCAGGGGTCCACAGTATCCAACAACTTGAGGGCCGCGGCCCACTCGCAGCGCGCGGCATATTGCCGCCTCACTAACCAGGAGTCCACAGTATCCAGTAGTTTGAGAGCGAATAATTCCAAGATCTTCTGGAGCTTAAATCAAGCTATTGTTACCTAAAAGCACTCACCAATAAGATAATAGTAGCATCCGACCGCGAACCAAGATATCCAGCTGTTAGGGTACGCGTCCACCAGAGTATGCGCAAACGCAAACAACTCCGAGCTCTTCTTCAACTCCACTAGGCATGCGGCCCGGACCTCCCCGCAGCACCAGGGGTCCACAGTATCCAACAACTTGAGGGCCGCGGCCCACTCGCAGCCGGCGGCCAGCCGCCGCGCGGCATATTGCCGCCTCTTTGACCAGGGGTCCACAGTATCCAGTAGTTGAGAGCGATAATTCCAAGGTCTTCTGAAGATTAAATCAAGCTATTGTTATCTAAAATACTCACCAATAAGATAATAATAGCATCCAACAGCGAACCACGATATCCAGCTGTTAGGGTACGCATCCACCAAAGTGTGCGCGAATGCAAACAGTTCCGAACTCTTCTTTAACTCCACTAGGCACGCCGCTCGGACCTCTCCACAGCACCAGGGGTCCACAGTATCCAACAATTTAAGGGCCGCGGCCCACTCGCAGCCGGCGGCTAACCGCCGCGCGCGGCAAATTGCCGCCTCTGAGGTGCGCAGGCGGCAAGTCTCTACTTCTGTCACCATCTATGGTAAATACAATATTTGTTAGTGGCACGAAGTGGCAAGCACGACAAACTTTCAGTGGTATATGATCTCTAATAAATTCGACTTTTTTGTGAGTATTTTATTTGAACTGTAAAACAATGAAAAGGGTTTTTGACCATTTTTGTAAAAATCTGGCAGTGACGCCCAAGTGGTGTCTTGATTAAATAAAAAAGTTATACAGGAAAAAACCTATGAAAAAGAGAGAGATGGCCGAGGGCCATTTTATATTAAAGTTTTCTAGTTAAGGGTAATTCGGGTAATTAGCATAGTATCACGGCTATACCCTACGGCGAGACAACTCAACGCAGTTAAGAGCGTTTACGCCGTTTGGCGCAAAAACAGTACTTTTTCAACTCGTTACAATCATTAACCAGTAATACTACAAATATGTTATAGGCATAAATAGTTAAGCAATTTCGTCGTCTAAATAGTTAATTGAGAAAATATTGCGATTAGTATAGTATTTAAGAATTCTATCAAGATAAGTCCACACAGGTTTTGTAAATTTCCACTTTAGTGTCAGTTTACAAGCTGAAATTTTTATAAAAATACTGTGAAAACGATTTAACAAACATTTATATCCTATAGCATAGATCCTTGGGCAAATAGTTATCTGAGAAAATTTTTAGATTTAAGCATTTTACAAGGTTCTCCTACGGATCTCCTCATTTCTGATTCGATCACGCAGGGAAACTCCGAGCATAGCACGCTCCATCGCTCTTTGGGTGACCTTGAGCCTTCTTATGAGGCCCATAGTAAGCGACCACGTCTCAGAGCCATACACCATCACTGGCAACACACACTGGTCAAATACTTTTGACTTGAGACACTGCGGTATTTCGGGCGTGAGAATTTCGCGAAGCTTCCCGAACGCTGCCCAGCCGAGTTGGATTCGACGACGCGCGTGGTAATGAGTGGAAACGCGCTTGGTAATGGGTGGTAATGGGTGGTTTGCTGGTATCGCGCGTGGTAATGGGTGGTAACGTGTCGATGGCCGCGACGTACTGATTGAATTGGCAGTGGTATTCGTTAACTATACATAGCTGTAGCGCCTCGTAGCACGCGCCCGCCCTAGACACTCACCCTGGGCGGGCGGGAGCGCGTGCCGCTCCAGCAGCAGCTCCAGCGCCTCGTAGCACGCACAGTCCGCCCTCAGCGCCGCGCACAGCGCCGCCGCGCCCGCCTCCCGTCGCTCCAAAGCCCATAACGCTCGTGCCTGCCACACTAGAACTCCTGCTAGCGCCCTCTGTAAGAATTGTAAATAGGGTGTGACATGAGCTGGATTCACTATAGGAACCCTTCCTACTAGAAAAAGGAAGATATTTCCTGTCATAACTTACTAAAGATAATTTTATAGATGATAATTTAATGGTCAAAATTTTTGATGTGATTTGATTTGAAAAACGAAAACCATGCAGTTTTTGCTAAAATACTGACGCAAAAGAGGTTAGAAACCCCTTCCAGAATCATCATAGTTATCTAGACTGAAACCTAGCAAAATCTTGTATCAACAATGCATTTATTGGAAAACAACATACAGTAATTTCATGTGGAATATCCAAGAAAAAACATGCTATTATTAATAAGACTTACATTGTGAGTCTGGTCGGTCGTCCGTGGCTCGAGCAGCGCTGGGTCGCACTCCTCCATCATGGTGAGAGCTGTGGCGGGCTCACGTGCAGAGAGGTACGCTCGCATCGCCACACCCAAGCACAGCAGGTGCCTCCTGCAATGTTTAAATGTTGACTTGTACGAGTAGTAGGATATTTTCCTAAAAAATTGACACTTTGAGCTACAATGTGTTTCAAATAGACTTTAGGAAATAATCTATTTAACAAATCAAATCATGTCTTTATTTGCATGTCAAAAGGTAATAGACACAGTGCTATGTTTCAAATATAAAAAAAAATTGAATTTATTTATATTATTTGAGAAAATAATATTGCTGAATATGCAGCCACTCATTTGTGTTACCCATCACTTAAGTACCTGTGTAATTCTCTCGAGGTAACCGCATGTGCAGCTCTGTGCAGTTCTCCTCGGGAGAGCATGACGCTGGCCAGCAGCCAGATATCATCACCGCTGGGAGACCCATTGCCACTGCCCGCTGCTGCCGCTGCATCAGCCCAGAATAGTGCACTGGTCCATTGTCCCTAGGCAGGAAAAAATTGTTAATTTTACCCAGAAAACATGACACAGTGCCAGTTTAACTTTATCCTAAAATTAGAGTAAAGTAACGATACAAATACAAAAAATGCAGTACGATATCAAGTTATCTAACATTGTAAACGATAGATACTTACCAATTCTGAGTATTGTTTCACCAAAGACCGCATGAAATCTATGTTCAAGCATTCTATGCTCTGACCCGTTGATTCTGCCTTTGCCATTGCATAAAATAAGCGCTGTTGGTAATTATGTATTTATAAACAAAAAGAAGTAATTATTTGGAACGAACAAAAACTATGAATGGTTTAAATATTAATTTAAAAACAGGATTTTTTGCATTTTCTTCAAACGAAAACAACACAATTCGCGCCGTCAATCACAGGCATTATTTGAGCGTTTGTTGACTAGACCATAGAGAAAAGTAATACATAGGNCATCCACAGGCTTTCCCTGGTCAAGAGATCTCACCAAATCCTCTACAAGGGTTACTAGGTTGGTGGAAGTTGATCTTGCCTTCACAAAGCCATGCTGATGCGGAGAAACCAATTGGCGGAAATGCCAGGAAATCAAGGGGCTTACCATCGATTCAAACACTTTGGCAAATGTAGGAAGAATAGAAATTGGCCTGTAGTTATCAACATGACCCAGATGACCAGACTTATGTAAAGGTAGAACCAATGATGTCTTCCAATTCGATGGGAATGTGCCGGTACTCAATGATTTGTTGAATATGCGTGATAATGGATATGCAAGAACATCGGCACACCTTACCACAAACACCGACGGCAGTCCGTCTTCACCCGCTCCCTTATGCAAGTCCAGTCTCTTCAAAACTCGATAAACTTGATCCCTGGTAAAGACGACAGAAGCGAGACAGACGTTACCAGAGTGATCCGATGTCGAGGCATTAGCAGCTCGGGGAGCATCTCGATTATACACAGACTCAAAATGGGAAGCAAATAGATTGCAAATTTCCCTGCCCTCAGTCGCCGCAACATCCCCGAGAGACATTTCCGCTGGGTACATACTTTTACCCTTCCTTTTTTGCTTGATAAAGGACCATAGAAATTTAGGATTAGAAGTTAATGTCTGTTCCAGGTTACTCAGGTGTTTATTGTATGCAGATTTTTGTAGTTGGTAGCATCTATGCCTTAACAGCTCAAACTCTAAAATATCACGTGGATTTTTGTTATACTTGCGCACTTTTAGTCTGCATTTGTGTTTTTCTTTTAATGATTTGATAAGGCTCGGCGTGAACCAGGGCGGGAACTTATAGTTTGGTGGTTTAGACTTCGGGACATGCTTCTCGATTACATTGCGAAGGATGGCATGGAATTTGGTCGACATCAGATCAACTCCAAGGTCGTCCGGTAATACGTCGTTCCATGATATCTTCTGTAGCGCAGCAACTATCTTAACGTAATCAGCCTTGAAGAAACAGAACTTTACGTCACTATTCGGCAAAAGAGTTACAGGGTCAGCACTAGGGACTATGAATTGAAGCGGTGGATGCAACGGATCCACTGATGTTAAAGGATCTGAATTTAGGTCCAATTCCGTAATGGCAATTGAACAAAGTACCAGGTCTAGTATTTTACCCTTCACATTTAAAACACAATTATATTGAATTCAATAAATAAGTAAGTACATGATGCGTTTTGTTTTTGTTAGTTATAAAATAATTAAAAACGTATTAAAAATTTCCCTACTTTCGGGAAAATCGCCTTCACTGTCTACACTCCCCAACAAAATTGACACTAATGACATAAGATTTTTGCCTCACTCTTGACGAAGCGTTTGTATGAAGACTATCCATCTAGGTTTTATTAATCTAAGCTTACAACTGATTAACTGACATTTCAATCCGGACGAACATGAATGACAGAAATGTCAGTTAATCAGTTGTAAGCAATTACGACTCTAAGAACTGTTAATAAAATACTATTTTCTTTACGGTCGTGTAAGTGCGCTCCGACGCGCGCCGTTAAATGGGCATCGTACCTATCACTCGTTATCGCGCGAGTCTATCCGGCTTCGATGGGACTTCTGTTGTTTTTAATAGAGATTTTCCCCTCGCGGTCCTGATGAAAAAGGAACCCAAGGCTGCATTGCCCACAGGCCAGCCCACTGTTGGGCTACTCACCCAGGCTGGCCAGCGAGGCGCTGCGGGCAGGACGGAGCGCCAGCGCGCGTCCGTGCCAGCTGACGGCGTCGTCGATGCGGCCCAGGCGCCGGCTCGTGTGCCCCAGCGCGTCTAGAGTCGCTGCCCAACGGCTGCTTAGCTGGGAAAGAGACATCGTCACAATGAGGGCTATCGTTTTTATACTTAACAGTTGGCACCCCTGGCGATTGACAGGACCTTACTTTACAGTGGCGCCATCTTGATGAGTGCAAATGCGATAGTCATCCTACCACTTTCGCGCTCACCAGTTGGTGCCACTGTCTTCGCTACTAGCAAGTGACAGGACCTTACTCTACAGTGGCGCTAACTGGTGAGCGCTAAAACGATAGCCCTCATTATTATTACTGGCTACCATGTACCTAATTTTGAGTTTCCGATATTTCGGCACTGTTGCAAGCGCCATGGTCACGGAGTAACTGAAGGAACTTGCGGTAATAATAATTATGATGTTAACCATGAAAGTTTAAAACAAGATATCGTCACACATCTTTCGTTTCAGTCAAATGACGTCTACTGCTGGACAAAGGCCGCCCCCAAGGATTTCCACAACGATTGTTCGTGCGCTGTCCGCATTCAGGTTCTTCCCGTGACCTTCTTCACCAGATCGTCGGTCTACCTAGTGGGGGCCGGCACACGCTACGTTTTCCGGCTCGTAGTCGGTACTCGAAAACTTCGTCTCTATGAGCTATCTGCCCCGCCCACTGTTAATCGATTTTAGCAATTTTGCGAGCTTCTTCTTCTTCTTGTCGTGTCGACAACAAACCTACACAGCGTCGGCCCAAAAATCCGCCACAAGAAAGTCGTTATCAGTAGCCTTAATTCTTCCTGCGTGCAGTTGTTTGGGCACACAGGTGCTTCGTCGACTGGGAAGCAAAACCACACCTGCACTTCAAGTTTGACCCATCCAAGAATCTCCACCTGAACAGATTGTTCTTACTACGGTCGACCTGCGTCCGAAGTCTATTTAAAGACTTCCAAGTAGGCTAAAAACGGGACTATTCCCACCTCTCGTTCCCACCACTGCAACTGCTGTGTAGCCAGGATCTACAGCTTGACCGCCAAAAAAACCCAACCAATGAAGTTCGAGTTTGTCCCGGTCATCGCATGAAAACACTTGTAAATTAAATTATTTAGTGCGATGGCCAAGTCAATAATTTATGTAAAACGTTAAAGATTTCCTGGCCTGGACTTGGTATTACATGGATCTCACAACTTTTTACCGTAGAACAACTGAGTTGCGAGACTTGGTTTTTTTGACAAGTATTGTTTTTGATGGGATTTTTCCTTGTCCCGACAAGATCGGTGTAATAAATTGCGGAAACAGATGTATGTTGTATTGAATTAAGCATATCACGTATCACCAAGTAGGCCAGGGGAGCTCATGTCATTTTGCGAGCTATGTCGATCACATTAGGCGCGCCCAGCTCGCCTTCCTGCTCCAGGAGTAGTCTCCCGCGGCTCCCTCGGCTCGTGCAGCAGGCGCGCCCAGCTCGCCTCGCTGTCTGCGCGCTAGCAGGCCTGTTCATCTCCGCGAGTTTACATCGAAAACAAAATACGCACGATGGCCCACCTACAGGATACTATTCGACAAGGCCTCACATACGAGCGAACATTGACTCACGCACGCGTATTCTTGTGTATGATGGAAGAAACCTACAGGATACTATTCGACAAGGCCTCACATACGAGCGAACATTGACTCACGCACGCGTATTCTTGTGTATGATGGAAGAAAATAAAGAAAATGGTGTACTAAATACTGTGCAGTATTTAACTGCCTAAATAATAATAAAAACACAGAATGTACTTTTTTTAAGTTGCCTCAAGACACTGAGAGGTAAATAAGTAGTTAATATTATTCATGATTTCATGCTAAATCATGTATTTCCTCCGCCATTTTCCGCAGTTTGGCACCTCACGTCACATCATTTTACCGAAGTCGGCCCTATAGCTTCGGCGCAGTGCCGATCACTGACGTTTGTCAACAAAATGGTGCTTGACTCTTGAGACAGGCTAAATTACACCATATTGTTAATGTCATTGAGCATAATTTTTTTTAAATACCTTCGCGAAGTAAAACTTCTGTACGTAGTACTTATTATTACCTGCGCGGGCTCGCGGCCGCCCTGCGCCGCGTGCAGGGCTCGCAGGAACAGCTGGTGGGCGGCGGAGTAGTCCCCCGCGGCGAAGGCGGCGGCGCCCGCCTCGTGCGCCACGTGCGGCTCGTGCGCCAGCGGCACGAGGCGCGCCCAGTGGGCCTTGCCGTCGGAGCGCTCCACCATCTTGTCTAGAGACGCCTGGAAATGTAAGTAGAATTGGAAACTTGTAACAAACAGCATTCTATATTTCTACTAGCGGCCGCCCGCGACTTCGTACGCGTGGATCCCGTTTTACCCCCTTTTCCCGAATTTTCTTTGCTATAAACCTCACGGAGCCCGAGACCTTTCCAACGAATACAAAACCGTGGAAATCGGTTCGTGCGTTCTGGAGTTATAGCGTCAGGGAGGAAAACCCGACTTATTTTTATATAGTAGATAACACACACAGAGTTGCCAATTAAACTTTACATTTGCCAAAAGGTAAACTGGTCGAGAATGCTTTAGTGTATTAAGTTCGCCTTATATACAAATTTATTTTGGCATTAAAGTTTAAATAAATAAAGAGAGTTTTCACAACTACTTCTTAAGGTGACTAAGACAAAGACTTGTCTGTCTCTGTCTCGCTTGCGAACTGTCGCTTATTGTCTAACATTGTCTAAAGTCAAGTAACGTTCGCGGTCTCCCGTCTCGGTCTCGCGTCTCGGTCTCGCGTCTCGGTCTCCTGTCTCTGTCGCGATGCGAACCGCCGCTTTATTTCACAAGGCATTCACGAACGAGCAGTAAGTGACGAATGCACGCGTATTCTTCACCCATTGTAATGGAAAGAAGAAACATAACGCGTGTGATGCGCTAAATGGTGACACAATTTGCTGACTGTATTGAGTAGAATTTTTTTTTAATTCCGTGGTTTTGCACTGGACTCATGTTTTTACAAACATTCTGGTCCTTCGAGCAAGATAAAAGTACTGGTTATGCGGGTCCACTATTCCCAGTGCCGGGAATATACCCGAAATTATATAATTATATGTTCGTTGCAAAAAACATTGTCGACCGAAAATGTTTCTCAACACGTCACATCAGTTCTTGGGGGCACGGCATCAGCTGACAAACCTGGATGTTTCCAGACAAGCAAGATAGTCTCATTAATTTAAACAGGTTTTAACGCGATACTCGGATAGGTAATACTGGATAGTTCCTGGAACACTTACCTCGGCGTTGCTATGCAGTGCGGCGGCGCGCGCTAGAAAACGCTCACACATAGCGGAGTTGTTGAGCAGTGAGCATTCTACGCCAACGTAAAGCGGCGGCAGGTGGCAGCCGCCCATCAATTGACTTGCCTGCGAATATACAAAAAGTCACAAATATACTCAACGTCAAATAAATCGCACCTTCCGCGACGCGAACTTTAAAGAGTTTCTTCTGACATAATCATGGTGCCCCAACAATATTGGTGTTATTTGAAAGCCCAATAAATATCCTTAAAGAAAAATACATTTCATTTCTAAATAAATGATTAACATATACCATAAATGTGACTTGAAAAATGACCTCACTTTGGGCTCACCTGTGGGATCAATTAGACCAATTTTTATGGTTATAAAACTAAATAATGACCTCACGTGTCCTCCTTTAACAGATGGATAGCGATTAATCCCAACTTAACAGTTTTATAGCCATAAAAGTTGGCTCAAGCGTAACTACCTATTTTTTGAAGAAGTGACTCTGGATCCTTCTAAAGACACATTTTTGGGGTAAAAGACTTTCCTTTAATGAAATTAAGCTTAGAACTAGGCTTTCAAATGGTGCCAATGTTGGTGGGAAGTGGGGATGCATACTTTTGAAAAGTGCTTGTTGCGGGAGGTGCGATTTATTTGATGCCGAGTGTATTTATTTGTGGAACAGGTAACAACAAGTAGGTGTTAGCAGGCCTATTCATCTCCCCGAGTAGGCATCGAAAACAAAACACGCGCGACGACCACGCCGGCATGGCTAATCCGCGAGGAATTCACGAGGGAGCACTGATTAGGTTTGGTGTATTTTTAGGTTTGGACATAGGACTTTAATGCGCGTGGTAATGAGTGGTAACGCGCGTGGTAATGGGTGGTAACGCGCGTGGTAATGGGTGATAACGCGCGTGGTAATGGGTGGTAACGCACGTGGTAATTAATGGATGTATCGCGCGAGGTAATGGGTGGTAACGCGCGTGGTAGTGGATGGTAACGCGTGTGGTAGTGGATGGTAACGCGCGTGGTAATGGGTGGTAACGCGCGGGGTAAGACCCATCGCCCACGGCAATTTTTTGTAGTGATGCTGTTTTTTAGTGTTGCATGTTTCGTAAACGAACGAAAGTGCGCCAGTCGCATTTGCATCGCGATACAGAAGTGATGCCAACGCGCTACAGCCGCGCGACTGTATCGATACAAACGTGCGACCGTGTCGGAACGACATCGGGGAGAGAACGGAAGAAGGATTACTAAATCGCGTTTGCATCGTGACAGAAGCGCGACAGTATTTTATTTATTTATTTAAAACTTATATGCACATAGAACGGTGTACATAAGGCGGACTTAATGCCTTTCGGCATTTTCTGCCAGTCAACCATCTAAAAATCAGTATCACGTTTGCATTGCGACTGAATCAATGTGAACGCGCGACAGTATCGCTACTACATCGCTACAAAAATTCGTGGGCGAGGGGCCCACGAATTTTTGTAGCGTGATGTGATGTGATGAGTGGTATCGCGTCGGTGGCCGACGTACCTTGAAGTAGGCGGCCATGGCCTGATCGTGCTCGGAGTCGGCGGCGAAGGAGTGCCCGTAGGCCAGCCACGCGCAGCCCGCGCCCGCCTCCAGCCCTTTGGCCTTGCTCAGGTAGCGACGCGCGAACTCGTTCTTGCCTGCAAAATAATATTAAATTAACATATTCAATGGATAATAATAATCGGGACTATTCCCACCTCTCGTTCCCACCACTGCAACTCCTGTGTAGCCAGGATCTACAGCTTGACCGCCATAAAAACCCAACCAATGAAGGTCAAGTTTGTCCCGGGGAAAGTTAAACTGTCATTGGACCCGCAACGAAATTAATCAGAAGAACATAGGAGGAGTTCGAAATTAAGGTTCGACTTCCCTCCATTGCAAAGCGGATGACAGGTGACAAAAAAAGGTTTAAAACCTTTAAGAAAAGGTTATGCACCACGGACAATAAATAAAAATTAAGGGGGCCTATCTTATCAATGGATAATAATAGACACAAGTCTAGTTGATTGTAGACTGGTGATCCCTAACTTTTTAGTCTCATGAACTACTTCTGGGTTTTGTGGCTTTTAGTAGACCCCTGGATTTAAAGAGATCTTATTTCATGGGGGGAGTATAGTAAAACTTAGGGGAACTATTCGAAGCTCTTTCCTAGGTTCAGTACAACGCGTGGACTTTCACCAAGGGTCCTGAGTATCCAGCAGTTTGAGAGAGAATTTGACCACAATAGTGGTCTCGAAAAAACTCACCAATAAGATAATAGTAGCATCCAACAGCGAACCAAGATATCCAGCTGTTAGGGTACGCATCCACCAGAGTATGTGCGAATGCGAACAGTTCCGAGCTTTTCTTTAACTCCACTAGGCACGCGGCCCGGACTTCGCCACAGCACCAGGGGTCCACAGTATCCAGTAACTTGAGGGCCGCGGCCCACTCGCAGCCGGCGGCTAACCGCCGCGCGCGGCAAATTGCCGCCTCTGAGGTGCGGAGGCGACAGGTTTCCACTTCTGACACCATCTATTGTAAATAAAATATTTGTTAGTGGCACGAAGTGGCAAGCACGACAAACTTTCAGTGGTATATGCTCTCTAATATATTCGACTTTTTTGTGAGTATTTTATTTTAAATGTAGCAGAATAGAATACATTTGTCACCGTAGGGGTTGGTGACGGGTCGCGTCTTCCCGCGGGTGTCGTAAGAGGCGAATTAGGGACTACACATCAAACAGAGAACGGGCAGCAGCGCTCCCTGAAAAACATCAATCTTTTAAACTGCGATCTCCAACCCGCCTGCCAAGCGTGGGGATTATGGCAAAACCCTCCACTATAGTAGAGGAGGTTCATAGTCCAGCAGTGGACTGTAAAGGGCTGTTGATGATATTTTTTTATGCATAACAAGGCAGGTATTTGACCACAATCGCACCTGATGTTAAGTGGGATGCGGTCTAGGATGGTACATATCTAATAATGATGTTAAGGGTAACTCAGGTAATTAGCACAGTATCACAGCTATACCCTACGGCGAGACAACTAAACGCAGTTAACTCGACCCCATGACAAATTCAACTGCATAGAGTCTAAATTAAGTTATGGGTCAAGTTGTCGTAAATTCAACCAGCACTCACCGGGCAGGTGGGTTCTGGCGACGGCTCAATCGCGGGCGCGGCGTATCTGTTGAGTCGCTCGCGGTACGCGGCTCGCACCAGCGCCGCCTCGGGGCCGCTCAGCTGAGACGACAGCGACAACGATTCTATCAGCTCCGTCTCTGGAAACAAAATATAGTTCTTTGTCATCAACGTTATCCCTCTCTAATACCAGAGGCAAATGGAGGATTTGGCATACGCTGACCAGACAAATTTGAAGTAGCATAGAGGCATATTGAATTGGTAATGCGCGTGGTAATGGGTGGTAACGCGCGTGGTAATGGGTGGTAACGCGCGTGGTAATGGGTGATGACGCGCGTTGTAATGAGTGGTAACGCGCGTGGTAATAGGTGGTAATACGCGTGGTAATGGGTGGTTTGATAGTATCGCGCGTGGTAATGGGTGGTGACGCGCGTGGTAATGGGTGGTGACGCGCGTGGTAATGAGTGGTAACGCGCGTGGTAATGGGTGGTAATACGCGTGGTAATGGGTGGTTTGGTGGTATCGCGCGTGGTAATGGGTGGTAACGTGTCGGTGGCCGCGACGTACTGATTGAATGAGGATCATTTCGATTTTTAGTTGTGAATGCAGATTTATAGGGCTAAGAAATCCTCAATACACAGTCCAAAAATTTTTGTTCTATGACAAAAATTGACGAAGTTATGGCCAAATTACTAAAAAAGTTCACTGACCTGAAGCTCACTGACGGGGACGATGACGTCACTATATCCGATCCGAACGCTGCCGGCGTACTGCGTGGATAGAAAATATTTTTTTCTAGCCAAACTGTCCAGCGCCTCGTAGCACGTAGTCCGCCCGCAGCGCCGCCCTGCCGCCCGGCCCCGCCCTAGACACTCACCCTGGGCGGGCGGGAGCGCGTGCCGCTCCAGCAGCAGCTCCAGCGCCTCGTAGCACGCACAGTCCGCCCTCAGCGCAGCGCACAGCGCCGCCGCGCCTGCCTCCCGTCGCTCCAAAGCCCATAATGCACGTGCTTGCCACACTAGAACTCCTGCTAGCGCCCTCTGTAAGAATTGTAAATAGGATGTGACATGAGCTGGATTCACTATAGGAACCCTTCCTACTAGAAAAAGGAAGATATTTCCTGTCATAACTTACTAAAGCTAATTTTATAGATGATAATTTACTGGTCAAAAATTTTGATACGCTTTCAAAACGAAAATCATGCAGTTTTTGCTAAAATATTGACTCAAAAGAAGTTAGAAATCCCTTGCAGAATCATTATTGTAATCACGACTGAATCCTAGCAAAATTTTGTATCAACAATGCATTTATTGGAAAACAACATACAGTAATTTCATGTGGAATATCCAAGAAAACACATGCTTTCATAAATAAAACTTACATTGTGAGTCTGATCGGTTGTCCGTGGCTCGAGCAGCGCTGGGTCGCACTCCTCCATCATGGTAAGAGCTGTGGCCGGCTCACGTGCAGAGAGGTACGCTCGCATTGCCACCCCCAGACACAAGAGATGCCTCCTGCAATGTTTAAAGTTGAATTCAAAGTTATACTTGGATGAGTAGTGATATATTTTCTCAGTAAATTAACACTTTTTGAGCTACAATGTGTTTCAAATAAAAATAATATATCTAACAAATCAAATCAATTAGTCATTTATTTGTATACTAGCTGACCCGGCGAACTTTGTTCCGCCTTAATGGCAATAAATAACGGGATAAAAAGTATCCTATGTCCTTCTCCTGGCTCTAAACTACCTCCCTGACAATTTTCAGATAAATCGGTTCAGCCGTTCTTGAGTTATAAGCGAAGTAACTAACACGACTTTCTTTTATATATATAGATATAAGTACCTGTGTAATCCTCTCGAGGTAACCGCATGTGCAGCTCTGTGCAGTTCTCCTCGGGAGAGCATGACGCTGGCCAGCAGCCAGATATCATCACCACTGGGAGACCCATTGCCACTGCCCGCTGCTGCCGCTGCATCAGCCCAGAATAATGCACTGGTCCATTGTCCCTAGGCAGGAAAAAATAGTTAATTTTACCCAGAAAACATGACAGTGCCAGTTTAACTTTATCCTAAAATTAGAGTAAAATTACGATACAAATACAAAAAATGCAGTACGATTTCAAGTTATCTAACATTGTAAACGATAGATACTTACCAATTCTGAGTATTGTTTCACCAAAGACCGCATGAAATCTATGTTCAAGCATTCTATGCTCTGACCCGTTGATTCTGCCTTTGCCATTGCATAAAATAAGTACTGTTGGTAATTATGTATTTATAAACAAAAAGAAGTAATTATTTGGAGCGAACAAAAACTATAAATGGTTTAAATAATTAATTTAATAACAGGATTTTTTGCATTTTCTTCAAACGAAAACAACACAATTCGCGCCGTCAATCACAGGTATTATTTGACCGTTTGTTGACTAGGACTAGGCTGTCAGTAATGTCAAATATTTATTTACAATTATTTTTTATTCACAATTTAGATTTTTATAGGTAATCAACACAATTTATAAAAAAGAACAATCAATTCCGTAATTTGTTATTATAGTTTAAATTTTTAGTTTATTAAATCTTCTTTTGAATGTATTGGTAAATAATCCAAATGCAGAGACGTTAAAATAATCATGACAGATTTGTTGAGTTAAGTTTGGTTTTAAGTTTTTTATGCAAAAACATTTAAAATCCCTACATTTGTTAATTTAATGCAAGATTCATTTAAATCCGTTAAACATTAGTATCCTATTAATTGTTGATAATTTCCAAGAAATATAAATATATAAAAAAATTGAAAATTGTTTAATAATAATTTAAGTTTTGTTAGCTGTATCGTCATCCATCCATGCTGTCAACTGACAGTTTGAATTTGATGACGGAAAGAAAAAGGTTATAAACAGAATAGGAGGGTATTTTATAATTGCGCTCAAATAAATGGTATTTATAAATCGTGAATCCTACAAATAGTGAATTTATATTGTATAATAGTGAAAGTGTAAATTATAGTAATTTGTTTTGTGTAGAGTCTGATACCTCAAACGCAACGTGTCCTAGGTTAGGCCGTTAGCGAAACATGTTAGTACAATACTTAGAATAACATGACTGAAAGGAAAATGTGCAAGTTCTACAATTTAAACGTGCCTGAACGACGAATGGGAGAGGGTGGCGTGGGGGGTGGCGCCGCTCAGAATCATGGGAATCACGAAGATGATGATAGGAATCCAGACGACCCAATACCACCTTTTGTGCCTCCACACGAACACAAACTGGAGTACAGCTATTGGATGTGGTTCTCGCGGCGGCCTCCCGCCCGCGAACTCTCCGCCTCCACCACTGGTTATGGGCAGGTTTGTTGACAATCATCTAACTTTGAAACCAACTTGTTGTGTGCATCTATTGCACCTACTGTAAGTATTGAATCCTNATACTTTGTTGGGGGCCACGTCAGTCATTTAAAATAGGAAGTAACGCATTAAACGTGCCAGGCGGCCTACTGCGGTCGTTTGATTTAGATGCTTCAGTGTCAGGCTCCAGTGACTGACATGGCCCGAATAGGTTGCATGTTTGTCAGTCACCGGTGACTGTCATGGCAGCCTACGTGTTAAGTACTTCAGAATATGAAAAATTGTTATAGTAAATCATTGTTAAAAAATGGGTAAATTGTTAACTGTAACACAACAAAAATGTCAGTTGTTGGTAGTTTTAATGATATTTTCTAAAACTTTACTTTTAATCATTTAACTATCCAGTCTGTTCTTTTCTCTGTTAATAACTAGTATTTTTGTATTATTAGACCAAATTCTTATTAGTTAAAGTAAAAGTTTACCAATAAAGTTTCAAAAACATAACCTCCAAGTCGTAACTTAATTCTTCTAAAGACAACTAAATCCCCACGAATAGTAAATAACATTAAGAAAATATTATGTTTTATGTATTCTTTAGTTTTTATAGACCAGAAGATCTGAAGAATTTTATGTATCAGTTGACCTACTTTTAGTTATGGCTTATTAATACATCTAAACTGTACCAATGTATGAGAGATTTATAGTTCTTCTATTTTTAGTTATATTGTATTTTTGTATTACTATTATTTGACAATACTTTACTTTTTTAATTTTTAATTGCCTCAATATGAAAATTATGTTTATTTTCTGTATTTTTAATTCTGATATTGCCTCTTTATGTATTGCAATAAGAATAAAAAACTTCTATGTATTTGTTTGTGGGACCAACTGACAAAAATGAACTGGCATGGAAAATGATAAAGGGATAAACATTGTATTTTTTTATAACTGAGAAATGTTACTTCAATTTTCTCACTAATAACAGTATCACTTGACTTTTAAAATTAAGTTATTAAAACATAACAGTCTATTTTGTTAGCAAATGAATTTCAATATCTTCTGTCTCTTTTAAATTATTCTTCATCTAACAATTTTAACAATACTCTAACATTTAAATTGTTAGAAATTTATTTCAGGTAAGTTAGTTGTCTACTAATATTATGTGAAACACTTTTACACAAAAACAAAATCCATATTTTGTTCAAGTTTGACTGTATTACTCAAACTTTACTTCATTATACCTAGGTACCGAGTTATTAAATAAATCTTCCATTGCCCTCAGTGTCACAAAATTGTTTTCTTTGGGTTGGTTAGGTTAGGCAGCATTTATGGTAATGCTGTACCTTTAGAAACTGTAATGCATTTTGCATAACAATTGACACATCATAATACATATTATGCAATGTAGTATCCCTACATTGACACGGCATACAAGTAGTCTTAGCTCTTCAGCTGACTGTAACAAACTCCCTCTATGTCTCTTAGTCATTACTGAGTGGGCGCAATTCTTTATCATTTGCCTGGATGTCATGTTTATTATTTTTTACAAGTTTACAATAAGCATAAAATAAAAAAGTTTTTGTTAATTTCATAAGTTCTTCATTAACTCATTTAGCTATTCATATTAATGTCATTTGTTACTTCTGTTTCTAATTTCATTGCAATGTGTTCCAGGCACTTCGCCTGGTGGGTCGCGTGGGCAGCGTGGAGCAGTGGTGGGGGCTGTATTCGCACCTGGCGCGGCCGGCCGAGCTGCCGCCGTTGTCCGACCTCCACCTGTTCAAGCTCGGCATCAAGCCCATGTGGGAAGACCCAGCCAATGTCAACGGGGGCAAGTGGGTGGGTACTATCGGTTGCAATGAAAAGTAAATGTGAATGTAAAACTGTGAGCTCCGTCAGTTTATAAAATAACGCGTGAGATTGTAAACTAACAGGGGGTTAGGTTAGATTGTAATCTAACTACGTCAGATTATAATCTGACGGAATTCACAGTTTTACGGTGATATATCTGAGCGTAACTACTCGCACCTGACGCGGTGCTACACATTGTCTATCGCATTTGCACGCAACAGAATGTCACCACTAGTTTAATAAAAAGATAGCCCTCATTAAACTATTTGAGAAACAGGTCCAGAAAAGCTTGTACAGTCCTTACTGATGATGCATTTTCTCTACTCTAAGGCAAGCAATGATCGGAGCGTGACGGAACGTCCTATGTGGACCCTGCTATCAGTCCCGGATTTATATTTTTATAAGTTTAGACCATTTTATTTCCACCATTCTTAAAATTATAATTCAATTTTAACGTTATTCTGTGAAATTGAGTGAGCGCTCTATGAAATCTGCTGCCCCTAGACTGCGGCCTATACGGCCTATTGACAAATCCAANAATCCAAGATTGTCTTCTATAAGACGTTTGATAACGTGTATCGTCTATCACAGGTGGTGAGGCTGCGTAAGGCGCAGACGGGCCGCGCGTGGGAGGACCTGTGCATGGCGATGCTGGGCGAGCAGTTCATGGTGGGCGCCGAGCTCTGCGGCGTCGTGCTGTCCGTGCGCTTCCAGGTAGGAGGGGTTCTGCAAGGGACGATTCGCGTACCAGTGTTAAATTCAAATTCAAATAATTTATTTGTGAAACACAGGTAAAGAGTATGATGAACAAACAATGATGTGTTCAAGCCGTGATCAGCCTTGTCGGCATACAAATGCTAAGATTAAATGAAGAAGAATTCTATTGAAGGATTTTGACTAACAGCTTTAATATTCATTGAATCCTGTCTTGTTTTACCCTGCACCACGGTCTATTAAATGAACAAAAGGATAAGTTCCATTGGTTCAACAATGATTGACTCAGAACAGAATGCCAATCAAAGGTATAACTAGAAAGACTACACAAGCCTTTGTGTTGTAAATTATCATTATAATAATTAATAAACACAACCAGGTGTTGTGAAAATCATTGAGGAGGCGATTGTTGAGTGAGTTTAATTCTGTTATTCTGGGCCAAGATAAATATGCCAATGGTCAACATGATGATTGGAATCAAGTTCATATTTCTCAATATTTAACTGCTATTCTTCATTTCATGAATAGGCAAATTTATTAGTTAAACATTTAACACTGCAGTACACGCGCCCCTTTTTTTACACGAATACACGCGCGGCCTACTCTGGTAAGCCAATTTAAAATCACTTTAAATCAGTTTGTAAGCAATTTATGAATAGAACTATTATGTAAATGATAAAAGTGTTTATTATAGTTATTTTATAAACAAAGTTTCTTTATATAACTATTTGGGATCAAACATTATAAACAGATTTAAAAGTTGTAAATTTTTTGGACCAAAATTGCACTCTGAGACCAATGTTAACAAAAAAAAATCGACTGAAAAAATATGATTAGTTTTTTATCTGTCATAGTATTCATGACTTCCTACTGCCTGGTACATGGTGTAAATCCATTTGTTGCAAGTCTTTCATAAATTAATTTTTTTATCGAGTGATTTCGGGCTTTTGAGTAGATCCGCAGTTTTGACGGCCAATTTTAGGAAAGTGCGCAGACTCTAGCGACCCAAGTTTTACTGGCTTACTGACAAATTTAGTAAACGAGGCTTTCCTGGAATGCCAGCTCTCTGGCGCAAGTTTTCAAAAAGTTATAGCGTAAAATGTTACCCTGGTCTACTATAGTAGTCCGCGCGTGTACTCTAGTGTTAAATTCACATTTTCAATACAATTTCACAAAAAGTAAATCTAATCTAACCTCTAATTTGTAATGTTCCAGGAGGACCACCTAGCCGTGTGGCACCGGACGGCGGCCGACACGGCGGCGGCGGGCCGCGTGCGAGACGCGCTCCGCCGCATTCTGCAGCTGCCGCTATCCGTGCCGATCGAGTACAAGGCGCACGGCGACTGTCTCCGCGCCACCGCCGACCGCGAGCAAAACTCGCACGCGCCGCTGCATAACTCGCACAACAACCACGAGCGCTCGTAGCGCCACGCCCGGCCCCCCCGCGGCCCCCCGACCCGCGGGTGACCCCCCGTCGCCTTGGTTGCGATTTTTTACCCGCTTCAGACGACTGAGGGTAGTTGACACCGTAACCAATAGTTCTGAAACTTAAATGGCAAACATCAGAAGTAATAACCAATTGACAGCGTCCTCCTGTAAATGACATTTCAGTGTTTTCAAACGTGACAAAATTCGGAACTAATAACCCGGTTTTCTCTCCCTCTATTGCATTCTTGTCAATGTTACAGCAGTGTTGGACAACTATACAAAACTTTAAAAAACAGTGCATCAAACCCTGAAAAGCGTTTTCAATGCTGTGTGATATGAATTTTAATTCAATTTAATTCGCGAACTGCTGACGTCGTAATCCGTTTTGCCATAGATGCGTTTTGGCAGCTCAAAAAATTATTTCAATTGACTAGCGTGTCAACTACTATCAGACAACGCCAATCAGTAAACCTAAACATTCTTTGTCTATCCAAAATATCTTTTATGAAAATTCTCATATGAAATCTTTCTTTTTTCTCATTTCATAAGCGCATTTCAAGACTGTACCTGTGTTATGTGCGAAGTTGTTTTAAAACGTTAGTGTTGGTTGTGAATATAGTATGAACAACCGCTAAGACATACCAAGGCGGCGTTTAGGGCGCCTTCAATTAGTCGTGAATAAGAACGCTGCAAAAACGCTTAAGACGTGCTTCTTACGAGTCAGTTATGCGATGAATTTTGTTGAAAAAACCTTTACTCGTCTATCAATATTTTTCACTAGTTGTGACTGCCAGTCGAGCACGTGTATTGCAATAATAGTTTTAAAGCAGCGCTCGATCACCCCCTAATTTGAAGGCGTCCTTATGTCACGTTACCCGTGTGGTCACCCTATTGCCGTGCCCCTTCCAGTGTGAAACAGGCCGAATGTCAAACCCGACAGATCCTATTTCCCGGTTCGTGCCTCAATATATTCCGTAATTCCATTCAAGTATTACGTTTGCGAGATATTATTTTAATCTCCCAGGGCAACGGTTTTCTCGAGAAAACTAAGGCCGCTTTTCAAATATGTAGTATAAATTAATGAACTGAATGTAGAAAATGATTAAAAATATACAAATGGGCCCCCGAATAGGGTTCCCGATTTATTTAAAAATGTGTTGTCAAATAATTTCATGTATTCCTTATTTTTTTATTCGCCCCCAATGTACTGCAACGTAATATTTGAAAGGCTGTTCGATCCGAACTCACTACCGACGGTTTTTCATTGTAGATAGTAAAACTTGTTACTGTATGTTGTTAAAGTCACTCGCAGCGAATGATTAAGGGTTAAACATTTATTCTAAAACGAACCGTATTAAAATAGCCCTAAGTTGTAATTTGAGGTAGATACATTCGTGTAATTTTCCTAAAGATGTCGAAGTGTAAATTAGTTTAGGTTTTTTGTCACATCTTCCAGTGCCGTGAGTTGCGTTAGCTAGTCAGGTGGCGGGCCCGGGCCACCCGTCGGTACGTTCGGCGAGTGACGTCACGTCTCGCGAGTCGCGGCGCCGCGTTGTAATTATACGTTATACGTCAGCACCGGCCGCCACTGCCGGCAAACATCCCGTCATGTACAGTAAAAGAACTGCATACAAATAAAGAATCAGACTTTGTATACTTTCAATATGGTTTTCTTTCTTTGTTAAAATTTGCACCCTTGTACAAGTACAGATAAAATTATAAAAACAAGTCACTAGATTTTAATTAGAAGTCAGCCTCCTCTATAAGCCGCTATTGGCCATTGTTCGACATTAGCTGTCAAAACTTATGAACGTACCTATTTGCCTTTTTCACCAGTTGGCGCCACTGGCGACTAAGGCACACTGTACATTATATGTATTCCTGATTGTAATATTGTGTAAATGTGCCTATAAGAAGGGATTAGCTTGATAAATAATGAAACCACACTTTGTCTAGAAAATATATTTTAATACGTACATCAAATTTTCAACAGACATTTTGTTAGGATAAAAAAAGGATAATTGTTTTTTGACTACACACAAAATTCATTGAACGTAAGTTGTGAATTCTAAGGGGACTATTAGCTACAAAATTTAAAGGTCGGCTACAATGTACAGTATAATACAATACAGCTGTGGACACACGAGAGGATCGGCAAACGAATATTAGGCCATAATATTTCATACACTATCTTACGCCTTGCCATCTTGTATAGAGTGCATATTATCTACAATCAAATTGCTTTATTTCCTTTACTCATAAAATCCTTATACACAACAAACCAACTTATACAATGATTCAATATTTCTCATTGTCAACAACACTATGTAAAATCAACAATTTAGTACAATTAACGACTAAAAAAGGCACAATAATATTTGCTGTTTCACTTACTATACTAAAACAAACTCAATCATAAACTTCAAGGCAAACTAAGCGTACTGTGTCGATACAATAAACTTTGTTCTATCTTTAACAATTTCTTATTTCCAAATGTGATCTTGGTTCATGTGTCCACAGCTTAAGACTGACATCCAGACAAAAAGTCCTAATACTAGCTTATATCTAGATTTATTTACATTTGGCAACTTCTTAGTCTATGAAGGGTGATATGCACTCGGCATAGGTAAATCAAGTTCATTCTGATTCCCCATTGATATTTCCAATGTTTGATATAACACTACAGATCGCAATGTTCCATTGATATAATAATATGAATTCATTTCAAATGATTTATAGTTTTGTTAATTTTTTTCATGAAGATGGGAATGTTGTCCATCCCATTTAGTAAGATGTAGCTATAGAGATCTTTTTAATGGAAATATGAATGCGACTGATTTAATGTGCTAATAGTGAAATACCTACATTTTTTAAACTAGCACATCTTTTTCATTTCACTGTCAAGATGATGCAAAAATGATTTTTCTTTACAAAATTCTACCTGAAAGTTATAATATTCTTTTTTTTTTAAGAATGGAAAGAGTAAGAATGATATCAGTTGATAATGAACCACGGCACAGAGCCCAAATATAGAACTGGGTCTTATTGATTATGTTATTCACTTAAATGTCTAACTTTTCAAAATTTAGACTAGAAACCCCATGAAAGAATCGCCTTATCAACAAGTATTTCTTTAAAGGCGAATATTGAATCTTTAAATAACTTTATCTACATAGAAAAAGTTCGACATGTCGTTTTATTCTTCAAGGTAAAGTTATCCAAAGATAGAAAAGTTGGCCACCTTTGATTCAAATGCATCGTAAGAATAATTACAATAATGTGAAAAGCGATGCAACGATGCATACATAATGTACTTTAAGTTAACCTCTTCTGGCTAAAAAAGCAGCTTTTTTCTTAGTTCACTAGCAGACAGTGCGTTAAGTTTTTTGGATAGCACAGACGAGCGAAAGCAATAATTTTTAAGGTGCTCTCTAGTCTTTTTCATAGATTTTTACCGTCGCCTAAGCATGCTAAGCTGCACTAGTTTACATTATTTTGATAATATAATCCCTTATAACATGACATATTACTGGGATTGAGGAAATTTTAAAGCCAAAGCATGTGCTGCGTAAACTTACAAATAATTCCATGAGATTGTGGCGGCTGCTCAGATTGTAGATCACATAGTTAGACTATGGCACGGAATTGATTGCCTCGATTACTCTAAAACTATACACAGCCGTAAGATAGAAGAGTGTAGATATTTACGGTCTTTTTTTTAGTAAATTAAAAAGCTTTGATTGTGTCTTTTTTCGTTCATTTCATATTACATCAATTTTGTCTTTACAACGCATGAGTAAAATATGAAAGAAAATTATCCTTATAAGAACTATTGGTTTCATAAACACATAGGTAACTTCCCGTGTTCTCTGAATAAAAGTAATCTGTACGACTCTGTTAAAAAGGCATAACAATAGTATTTTATTTTTATTACACACGTCTATCTTACGACTGCGCACATCACCGACACTTTACATTAAGCTTAAAGATATCTTAAAAAAGGACAAACACTTATATTACCCTACATTCATTGCTTCAATTTCATCGTTAATTAGCACTTGATTTTTAGAAAGAATATAGCAAGAACAGAGTAAAATTAAATTACAAAAACTGGCTTTTCGATGGGTTATTACACCGATTGTGAGAGTTGTTGAATAGTAGGTAATATTATAAGTTCAGTAAGTAGTGGAGCTTTAAGACATTGCCCATAATATCAGCAAAATACAACATTGACATTTCAGCTGAATTATCCCTAATATCGAGTCTCTGTTGCTCGTCTTTCGGAGTGAGAGGGATTGATAACCGAAAATACAGAAAAAGAGTTAACGAGTTACCCCGCTGCATAAAATATCAAATCGTATGTTTATTAAGTGCATATTTTACAATCGGTGTTCGAAAAGCCAGAGTCGACCAATTAAATTAATGCCAGTCTTCCTAAAGGGTCCTCACTATTGAAACATTTCGGCAAGATAACTATAATGTAAGTATCCCAAAAGGTATTTACAAGATTTTGAATAACATTTGTGAACTAAATAGGACCCCTGTAAATGAACACTAACAATAACGTTAACATATAACTTAACATTAAGCTGGATTAAGAGCTGCAAAAAATAGTAAATTTTAGTACTTACAGGTAAATACATTATCAAAATATTAATTAATAAAAAATAATTGATTTACGTTATGTAATTGAGAAAAAATACTATTAAAAAATAGCTCAAAATAATTATACTAATTTTATGATACATAAAGGGTAAAGTCAATTTAGTTAAAATATAAAATGAATTCTTCTTTTAAAAGTATGCAATCAGCTAGAGAAAATAAAAAAAATAAGTTTAAGGTAAAATTTTCAAATTATTAAGATTTATTTAGTACATAAGCCCTCAATGTAACTGTTTGTTGTCCCAAATAAAGAGAGAAAAAAATGTCATTATTTTTGCTTGATCATTGACATTCCATAGTCTCTAACTGATGTTACAAAGTTAGAATTCTCGCATCGCTGATTACATACTTTCAATCATATGATTTTATATTCGTCCTGTGTATTAAAAAAACAATATTTTACAGTCAACTATTCACAGAGCGCGTCTTTAATTTATTTCTATACATTTTCTTGTACTTCGGTATACATTCTCCTTTCTAATAAAAGTTGTTTAGCGGGTAAACAGATGAACGATACTTTCTCTCTTTCTCTCATTTGAAATTTGACAACCGTCAGAAAAAACAAAGGACAAACTATTCACATGCCAAACGACAATTTATTAGTCAGGTTTTTATTTAAATAAAATAATATGAAGGCACCGAAATGAGCTCCTTACATTAATATAGGTTTCAAACCATGTAGGCTCGAATCATTTAAAAACTATAGTTATTCAAGATAATCTGTTTATTGTGCTTGAATTTGAATAAACATCTGTTATATTTTGGCTAAATATATTTATGTATATATGTATTTCAATTGTACTCGAATAAGGAGCATCACATGGTGTAACATATTGAAAAATATAATATTTATGATGACAAACCTCTACGTTTGTCTTTCTCTCTCTGTCTTTATATTTAAACTCTTTACGCACACAACCGCGATCTAAATCGTATGAGCATTTGCAGGGATTTTTATTGAACATATATTATTTTATAGTATAGTAGAAAAGTAGTATGATTTATTTTATATTTAAGTAGTAATTTCTATGCTTAAGTCAAAAGTGCATGCCTTAAATAAATTATTATGATTGTTATATTATTAACTAGCTTTCCGCCCGCGGCTTCGCCCGCGTGGAATTTTGTCTGTCACAGAAAAACTTTATCGCGCGCGTCCCTGTTTCAAAAACCGGGATAAAAACTATCCTATGTTCTTTCCCGGGACTCAAACTATCTCTATGCCAAATTTCATCAAAATCGGTTGCGAGGTTTAAGCGGGAAAGCGTAACAGACAGACAGACAGAGTTACTTTCGCATTTATAATATTAGTTGGGATTATAATGACGAAGGCGCGAAAAATAAATAAATAAATATATTATGGTAGAGACCAATAAAAGTAGAAAAGAATGATTTCTGGTATTGAAATTACAGCATCATAAAAATACCGTTTCTTCCTTCAACGTCAAATGATAGTTACGTTCGACTGGATTATTGTCGCGAATATATTTCATTATAATTTATAATAATCCACGCCCGAATGAATTTCTTGGCTGAGTGCGCCAGACGGAGTCGGTCAAGCACCTCCACAATTTACTCCGAATCGAAACATGTTTTAACAGCGGCATGCCGTGATCGTTAGCTGTAAAGCTCAGTGCAGCACGAAGCCACATATTTTTACGGTCATCCACATGAATTTTGTCAGATATCTATTATATTTTGCCAGTAATTTACTTCGAGGCAGGCAATGGATACTAAGAAATTAAAATAACTGATTTAACGATAAAATATGCCCTATTACTTACAAGCTTTCTCGTCTAAGAATATTGTCGGTTATAAAGTACACTCAACATCAAATAAACCGCACCTTCCGCGACGCGAACTTTATAGATTTTCTTCTGACACAATCATGGTACCCCAATAATATTGGTGTTATTTGAAAGCCCAATAAATATCCTTAAAGAAAAACACATTTAATTTCTTAATAAATTATTAACATATACCATAAATGTGACATGAAAAAAGACCTCACTTTGGGCCTCACCTCTGGGATCAATTAGACCAAATTTTATGGTTATAAAACCAAATAATGATCACACGTGTCCTCTTTAACAGATGGATAGCGATTAATCCCAACTTAACAGTTTTATAACCATAAAAGTTGGTTTAAGCGTGACTACCTATTTTTTGAAGAAGTGACTCTGGATCCTTCTAAAGACACATTTTTGGGGTAAAAACGTTTCCTCTAAGCAAATGAAGATTAGAACTAGGCTTTCAAATGGAACCAATGTTGGTGGGAAGTGGGGATGCATACGTTTGAAAAGTGCTTGTTCAGGGAGGTGCGATTTATTTGATGCCGAGTGTAGATGGATTTATCGCTTAATAATGTTCGAACACGATATATTTGCTTTAAATCGTTCATCAATCAAGGTTAGATATGAAAAAGCTCGGCTAGTTTGCGTGATATTATACTTTACAAAAAAGTGCCTCATTTATTCCTCTCTCTAATAACATTGGGCGTTTCATTTCATATATTCAGTAGTACGTGACCTAAACTTAACTCTTGCAGACATGTCTATTTCAGAGTTATTTATCTGTGAGAAACTGTTTTAAAAAGCTTAATTTTTAGAAATTATTACCCATCACGGATTTTGCTAGAAGTTAAGATAAAAATCCCCAAAAATGCTCAACACGTAGACATACAATAGGAAACTATAGAAGACCCGCTCGTGGAAGCATTTGCGCGAGAAATGAGTGTTGGTTTATTGTCTTATTATTTTAAAAGAGGATAGGTTCGGCTCAAATAAATATAGATTTAACAATCAAGTGACATGGGAATTTTCTCTGATGAAATGCAACATAAGGTAGGTTGTCTTTGCGCGGATGACATGCAACATAGAGTTGTGTCTGCGTGGGAGATGTGCAACTTAGGATATCTCTGCGCGGTAAAATATTATAAGTAAGATTGTCTCTGCGCGTGTGACACATACAAATTAGGGTTGTCTCTGCGCAAACATATTGCAAATAGAGATATCTCTGCGCGGATGACATGAACATAGGGTTGTCTCTGCGCGGGTGAAATTTAAAGAAGGATTGTCTCTGAGCGGATGACATGCAACAACATTTTATCTCTGGGTAAATGACAATATAGGGTTGCTATATAATATTTTAAACTATTATGTTGCATTTTTTATATTTTATTTACCGTTAAAATAGATATTGTTGCAATAAATCCCGTGAAGTGATAATTTTATAATTTTAATATAGGGTTGTCTCTGCGCAGATGATACAAACATAAAACAATCTACGCGGGTATCACGTAACCTAAAGATCTACGTACCGTCCCATCCCTACAGCTCGATGAGCGGCAGGTCGGCGGCCGGTCAGCAGGGCTGCGCGGCGAGGTCGTGGATGAGCAGCGGCGCCGTGTCAGGGCTGCGACGCGACGGCCGCGTGGCGGTCACCCGCTCCACGACGCACGACGCCGATAGCCGGGCTTCGGCGTCGTGGTCCCAGCACTCTTCCATCGTGTCGCATAGGACGGATAGACCCTGGAATCGATGATGCAGGTCAATAATTGAGATTGTGATTGTAAGCTCTGGTTTGGTAAGGTTTTGAATGTTATTGGACCTTAAGATAAGTAGAGATGGGTAGTGGGTAAAAACCCATTACACCCGATTGGGTTAAAACCGGGTGATTTGGGTAAAAACCCGGTTTTTACCCATTATCACCCATTCTGGTGGGTGAAAACAAAAATAGCGTTTTTTTTAAAGTGAGAAGTGGTATTTGTTGCTAAGGGGGCGTTCTAGTGTTACGTAATGCAATCTGGGGGGAGAGGAGGTCTTGAAAAACGTTACAATGCGTTACAGTGGCGGAAGGGCGGTTCGATTTCAAGTTTTTAAGCAGAAGTACTTTGTAGTTGGTGTTGTTATTTGTAACTTTATACCGTAATGTCATCAAAGAGAGAGTAAATCGGTTCAACGATTCTTGAAATAACACCATTTTATAAAATAATTGGTCACATCATCATAACGTGATCAATTTTACGATTTGGCCACGATATAAATGCATATTAGTGTTAAATTTGACTTATTACTTATTAATCAATAAACTTAAATGAGAAAAATTCAATAAAAATTAAGAAAAGATACCAATTGAAATAATTATAAAATTATTTGTTTTCACCCGGTGTAAACACCCACGGGTGGAATGAAACGGGTTTTTATTGGGTTTTTACCCTCATGTGGGTTTTTACCCGGGTGGAAACCCATCTCTAAAGATAAGGGTGTAAGATTGAAATAAAAGTTGAAACTGAATTCTCAGATTTTAAGGCCACATAGGCTTGTATGCATTACCGGGTGATTTGGATTTTTATTTGATTACTATGTAGATGAGGCAACGCAGAAATGTCTCGTATGGCTTACCGGGTGGTCCCGAGGGTAGTCTCACCTCCTCTACCAGAGGCAGCCGGTACTGCGACAAGCCGTCCAATGAAAAATATACCTTATTCAAATGATATAAGGTCTAGTTTGCCTTACCGGGTGGTCCCGCCAATGCGGCTGTATGTGCGGGCGCAGTTTCCTCTGCACTACTGCTTCCTGCATCTCCTCAAGGGTCGGGTGTGAGCCCACCTCCTCTTCGAGAGGCAGCCGGTACTGCGACGAGCCGTCCAAAGGAAAATATACCTTATGTCAACGACATAAGGGCTCGTATGCCTTACCGGGTGGTTTAGGACTACGTAGATGGCGCAGCGCAGAAATCTCTAAAGGAAAGTATACCTTATTCACATGATATAAGGTCTAGTTTTCCTTACTGGGTGGTCTCGCCAGTGCGGCTGTATGTGGGGGCGCAGTTTCCGCTGCACTACTGCCTCTTGCATCTCCTCAAGGGTCGGGTGCGAGCCCACCTCCTCTTCGAGAGGCAGCCGGTACTTCGACGAGCCGTCCAAAGGAAAGTATACCTTATGTCAACGACATAAGGGCTCGTATGCCTTACCGGGTGGTTTGGGACTACGTAGATGGCGCAGCGCAGAAATCTCTAAAGGAAAGTATACCTTATTCACATGATATAAGGTCTAGTTTTCCTTACCGGGTGGTCCCGCCAGTGCGGCTGTATGTGCGGGCGCAGTTTCCTCTGCACTACTGCTTCCTGCATCTCCTCAAGGGTCGGGTGCGAGCCCACCTCCTCTTCTAGAGGCAGCCGGTACTGCGACGAGCCGTCCGCGCCGCCATCTTTGCATCTATGGGCATTTTGGAGCTTATTAATTTCTAATTTCATAAAGTCGTACTGCTACCTCTTTGTACAGTCAATAGTAAAATTGTAAACTGGTTAAACAATTTTGTTGCAAAATTTCACCTATTATAACTACAATACGAGGGCGNGTGGGAGTTCGATGATACGACTAGAAAAATCTAAACTCATAGAAATTAAAATATCTTCGAAATCCCAGCTGGATTATCCCTAATATCAATCTGTCTCTGCCGCTCGTCTTTCGGAGTGAGAGGGATTGATAACCGAAAATACAGAAAAGGAGTTAACCGAGTAACCCTACTGCACACATTATCAAATTATTATTAAGTGCATATTACAATCGGTGTTCGAAAAGCCAGAGTCGACCAATTAAATTAATGCCAGTCTTCCTAAAGGGTCCTCACTATTGAAACATTTCGGCAAGATAACTATAATGTAAGTATCCCAAAAGGTATTTACAAGATTTTGATTAACATTTGCGAACTAAATAGGACCCCTAATGTAAATGAACACTAACAATAACGTTAACATATAACTTAACATTAAGCTGCATTAAGAGCTGCAAAAAATAGTAAATTTTAGTACTTACAGGTAAATACATTATCAAAATATTAATTAATAAAAAATAATTGATTTACGTTATGTAATTGAGAAAAAATACTATTAAAAAATAGCTCAAAATAATTATACTAATTTTATGATACATAAAGGGTAAAGTCAATTTAGTTAAAATATAAAATTAATTCTTCTTTTAAAAGTATGCAATCAGCTAGAGAAAATAAAAGTTTAAGGTCATATTTTTTGCTTGACAAGTATCATTCCATAGTCTCTAACCGATGTTACAAAGTTAGAATCACTGATTACATACTTTCAATCATACGATTTTATATTCGTCTTGTGTAATAAAAAAAAACAAATTTTACAGTCAACTATTCACAGAGCGCGTCTTTAATTTATTTCTATACATTTTCTTGTACTTCGGTATACATTCTCCTTTCTAATAAAAGTTGTTTAGCGGGTAAACAGATGAACGATACTTTCTCTCTTTCTCTCATTTGAAATTTGACAACCGTCAGAAAAAACAAAGGACAAACTATTCACATGCCAAACGACAATTTATTAGTCAGGTTTTTATTTAAATAAAATAATATGAAGGCACCGAAATGAGCTCCTTACATTAATATAGGTTTCAAACCATGTAGGCTCGAATCATTTAAAAACTATAGTTATTCAAGATAATCTGTTTATGTGCTTGAATTTGAATAAACATCTGTTATATTTTGGCTAAATATATTTATATATTTCAATTGTACTCGAATAAGGAGCATCACATGGTGTAACATATTGAAAAATATAATATTTATGATGACAAACCTCTACGTTTGTCTTTCTCTCTCTGTCTTTATATTTAAACTCTTTACGCACACAACCGCGATCTAAATCGTATGAGCATTTTCAGGGATTTTTATTGAACCTATATTATTTTATAGTATAGTAGAAAAGTAGTATGATTTATTTTTTATTTAAGTAATAATTTCTATGCTTAAGTCAAAAGTGCATGCCTTAAATATTTTATTTATTATAATGACGAAGGCGCGAAAAATAAATATATTAAGGTAGGGACGAATAAAAGTAGAAAAGAAGAATGATTTCTGGTATTTAAATTACAGCATCATAAAAAGAACGTTTCTTACTTCAACGTCAAATGATAGTTACGTTCGACTGGATTATTGTCGCGAATATATTTCATTATAATTTATAATAATCCACGCCCGAATGAATTTCTTGGCTGAGTGCGCCAGACGGAGTCGGTCAAGCACCTCCACAATTTACTCCGAATCGAAACATGTTTTAACTGCGGCATGCCGTGATCGTTAGCTGTAAAGCTCAGTGCAGCACGAAGCCACATATTTTTTACGGTCATCCACATGAATTTTGTCAGATATATATTATACTTTGGCAGTAATTTACTTCGAGGCAGGCAATGGATACTAAGAAATTAAAATAACTGATTTAACAATAAAATATGCCCTATTACTTACAAGCTTTCTCGTCTAAGAATATTGTCGGTTATAAAGTAGATGTATTTATCGTTTAATAATGTTCGAACACGATATATTTGCTTTAAATCGTTCATCAATCAAGGTTAGATATGAAAAAGCTCGGCTATAGTTTGCGTGATATTATACTTTGCAAAAAGAGTGCCTCATTTATTCCTCTCTCTAATAACATTGGGCGTTTCATTTCATATATTCAGTAGTGCGTGACCTAAACTTAACTCTTGCAGACATGTCTATTTCAGAGTTATTTATCGATATTGAGGGTGAAACTGTTTTAAAATGCTTATTATTACCTATCACGGACTTTGCTAGAAGTTATGATAAAAATCCCCAAAAATGCTCAACACGTAGACATACAATAGGAAACTACAGAAGACCCGCTCGTGGAAGCATTTGCGCGAGAAATGAGTGTTGGTTTATTGTCGTATTATTTTAAAAGAGGATAGGTTTGGCTCGAATAAATATAGATTTAACTATCAACAGTGACATGGTAATTTTCTCTGATGAAATGCAACATAAGGTAGGTTGTCTTTGCGCGAATGACATGCAATATAGGGTTGTCTGCGTGGGAGATGTGCAACTTAGGATATCTCTGCGCGGATGACATAAAGTAAGATTGTCTCTGCGCGGATGACATTTAAAGTAAGATTGTCTCTGCGCGGGTGACACATACAAATTAAGGTTGTCTCTGCGCAAACATCTTGCAAATAGGGATATCTCTGCGCGGATGACATGAATATAGGGTTGTCTCTGCGCGGGTGACATCTAAAAAAGGATTGTCTCTGAGCGGATGACATGCAACAAAGTTTTGTTCTGGATGGATGATAACAGGGTTGTCTCTGCGCAGATAACATCAACAAAAACCTACGCGGGTATCACGTAACCTAAAGATCTACGTACCGCCTCATCCCTACAGCTCGATGAGCGGCAGGTCGGCGGCCGGTCAGCAGGGCTGCGCGGCGAGGTCGTGGATGAGCAGCGGCGCGGTGTCAGGGCTGCGACGCGACGGCCGCGTGGCGGTCACCCGCTCCACGACGCACGACGCCGATAGCCGGGCTTCGGCGTCGTGGTCCCAGCACTCTTCCATCGTGTCGCATAGGACGGATAGACCCTGGAAACGATGTTGCGGGTCAATGATTGAGCTGGCGATTGTTAGATCCGGAATTTTTATCTCTGTCTCTGATGACATCACCAGTCAATTGGCATTCTTTTTTGGGGCTGTCAAAATTAAAGTACCAAAAGTAATGACTCATTATCATCGGGTATCGCCTTCAGGATATGATGGCCTGTCGTACTGGACTAATAACAGAGTACAATACATATTATGCGACAAGCTTTGCTAAGTTTAGGTGATAACACAGCGTAGAAATGTCCAAACGAAAGTATACCTTATGTAAGCGATATAAAGTATCTTATGCCTTACCGGGTGGTCCCGCTAGTACAGCTGTATGTGCGGGGGCAGTTTCCTCTGCACTATCTCCTCCAGTGTAGGATGAGAGCCAACCTCCTCTTCTAAAAGCAGCCGGTACTGCGACGAGCCGTCCAAAGGAAAATATACCTTACGTAAATGACATAAGGGCTCGTATGTCTTACCAGGTGGTTTAGGACTATGTAGATGGCGCAGCGCAGAAATCTCTAAAGGAAAGTATACCTTCTTCACATTGTATAAGGTCTAGTTTTCCTTACCGGGTGGTCCCGCCAATGCGGCTGTATGTGGGGGCGCAGTTTCCTCTGCACTACTGCCTCTTGCATCTCCTCAAGGGTCGGGTGAGAGCCAACCTCCTCTTCTAAAGGCAGCCGGTACTGCGACGAGCCGTCCGCGCCGCCATCTTTGCATCTATGGGCATTTTGGTGCTTATTAGTTTTCAAATATGTACTTCGAAAGCGCATCTCTAGCTCTTTGTAGTCATGTACCTAATGTGAACTGGCAAACAGGCAATACAATTTTGTTGAAAAATCTCACCTATTACTTGTATAACTATTTAATACATAAACTACAATGACTTGATGTGAGGTGTTGTCATTTAATACATAATTTTCTTATTTATATATTTTTATTAAATAAGTTGTGAGAGTCGTTTCATAATACCGGCCGATGTCTAGCTAGGTATTACACGAGCAAAGTCGTACGAAAAGACAGTTATAGCCTGACCAGGAACATAAAAACCCTGGCATAGAGGCGCGTCAATTGCATTTGATAGTGCAACACTGAGTACAGTCGTACCTGTGTTAAATGAATAGGCTAACTTTATGTATCAGGATTCAGGATTACGGGCTAATTTGATATTTTCATAAATTAACGAAAAAATATTATTATAGGTAACCTGGTTTAAATAAATTAAATGAAACCATCAATCGAGTTAGTATGATTTATTTTATTATTCATCAATAATCAAATTCAGAACTTGAATATTCAACTGCAATGTCTGCTCATGAACGCTTCAAACTCGGTACTTCTNTGCTTAAAACCAAGGAGTTTGCAATTAAAAATATTTTAATGTGATAGGAACAGTGGAAATATACCATTCCCGATACTTTTAGTGCAGCCCTCGTATTACTTGATTTGCAGCTGTTGTCTACATAACTTTTTATTTGCATTTTTTCTTAAATAAATTGTGAGTCGTTTCATAATACAGGCCGATGTCTACTACACGAGGATAAACGTAGGAAAAGACAGTTAAGTAATAAAAAAAATATGTCAAATTAGACTGACTAATGTAAAACTAAGTAGGTAATTAATTAAAATGTTACTCATCACGTTAAAACAGTTATAATTAGCAATAAAATACTATAAATATTTACTTGATTACATTTAAATGAGTTTGGCCTTAATAAACAAACGTGAAAAATCCGCATCATCGAAAATAACTGCATTCGATTCAATGTCAAATCGACGAAACCCGATCAGGCGCCGTATGCGCAGCCATAATAGGCTCACATTGAGTGGGTTCGCTATCACGACGCACTAAGGTGCATATTGGTTTGATCGCAGAATGTGCATATAAAGGCTCAAGAGTTTGATTGCATAATTTGTATAGGTGTACCAGAATCTCATGGCAAATGGGGAAAATAAACTTTGTTGAGTGCAATACTGGGGAAATTGGATTAAACGATCTTGATACTGTTTAATTTTTATTTATGACTAATATTGATGAAAATGAAGTACGAATGCCTACCTATACATTTTAGGTATGTGTATGAAGAATGTTGTTATACATCGGGTTTTTAACATAGGAACATGTCTTGAAAAATAAGTAAACCGTATATTACAGTACCTAAATAATTTTATTAAGTATCATTTTATTAACTTATCACTTCATTCAGAACTAGAAAACGATTCTAAAAAAATAAAACAATGCTCCAACCAAACTGGATTCAATTTATTAATTGAATCAACTGAAGCTCTTTTTTGATTAATCGCTTCATTACCAATATTTAAACCAATTATTTTTAGGAGAGCACGATACTTCTTATTAAGTTATCTTATCTATTACGTATCGACAAAAACCAAGTTATGGTAACGCTATAGCGATTACACGACAGATAACTATGTAAAACCGTTTATTATCTCCCGCCGTCACACTCGGCGGCGCCGGCGCAACGCGTCGCAATCAAAATTCAGACACGATTTTAAGCATGCATAGAATGGATTTAACTTACTGAATACATTTGAGTTATTGTTATTTGATTTTGTAATTGAATGCGCTATTTAAATCAATACAACATAAACATAGAATAACAGGAAAATATAAAATAATTGACTAATCATAAATTAATTTGCTGTTACAAATACCTATTTTAATGACAAACAACATAATGATAAAATTAAAATTGTAACATAATTAGAATTTAATGCAAACCCTGAAGAAATGTAATGTACTCACTTTACCTAGCCTAAGATACATTTTTGAAGCTTGTAAGTTTGTAAAAATACACCCTGAAAAATTATTAGACGCAATAAGCGCTATCAAAACATGCTTTAAAGTACCTACTTATTACTAAGCTCAAATTCGCGCCACACTCAATGTAGATAAAAATGTATAATCACATCCGAATGATAATATTGTGTAATAATAAATGTTCTGTTTTTGTCTAAATAATAATGACGATGATTTTACTATCTATCTGGATTGTATACTATAATATTTATTTTAATTATTTCATGTTATTTAACATTGGACTGATAGAAATATTTTTTAATGTGGTGTCGCATTATGTAACCACTGTTTTCTGTCAACCCTTGAAAATGGAAAAAGAAAACTGTTGCTTACCTTGACGCGATCTCCCACAGAACAAGGGCGCATGCATACATGTCTATCCTCAAGAATGCGTCTTTTGTGAAGTTGATCGCACCATCCAAGACTTCAGGGGCCATGTATCTTCTCGTGCCAACTTGTCCATGTGCGTCTCCACAGCCCCTTCCAGCTACGAAGACAAGAGCCAAGCCAAAGTCGGCTATGCAAGCGCTCATGTCAGATTTGAGAAGGACATTCTTGGATTTAAAGTCTCGGTGAGCCACCGCTGGTTTCCCGCCGCCTTCCTCGTGCAAGTGAGACAGCCCGCGCGCCACGCACACAGCTACGCGCCAGGCCTCCGCCCATGTGAGCGTGTGGGCTTTCAAGTAATCACAAAGTGAGCCCTGCCAGACAAAATTGTTACTTTGAAACTCCTTCAATGACATGTTTCCTACTACAAGCAACACAGTTAAGATAATAGCTGTCTAGGAAGCCAAGAGGAAATGGGCAATAGAGGTTTTTTTATTTATGGCATTCGTCTTGCTCAGAGGCAATAAGGGCCCCAATGTTCAGACATAATATGCTTCTAAATTGATCTGTTTATCCTATTAGAATAATTTACTTTTGTAAGCAACAATAGGACATTATAAGTAGTTAAGAATGTGTCACACAAAATATGGTACATACCTTCTCATGGAATGCAGTAATGAGCCAGTATTCAGCCTGAAGATTATCCCCTTTCTTGTCAACACCAATGAAGTGAAGTATATCTGGATGATCCATGCGTGCCAGTCGGTATATTTCTTGTTCAGCCGACCATGACTGTTTGTCTTGCAACGGAAACACTTTCACTGCCACATCAAGGGGACCTAGCTTCGCCCTCCAGACTGCACCAAAACGTCCACGGGCCCGAACCTCACACAATGACACCTGTCCAACCAATCCCCCACTTTCATTCTCCATGCCACCACCTGCAGAGGGTGGTCTCGATAATGAAGCTTCACCATTAGCGAGCTCAGCAAATGAGCTGCCCTTACGCCGTCTATACAAGAAGTAGCATGCTACTAGTATGGCAAACAGCAAGAATAATGGCGTCAATGTGTATGCAATGACAGCTTTCGTGTCATCCTCAGGATCTGGTACTGGTGATGCTGGTATTTTTTCAGGTGGAGCATCAGTTTGCGACATGACTACTTCCAGGCCAGGGAATGTAGCGTTTTGATTACACATGTCACCTTCACAGCAGCAATGGAGCAGCGGGAGTTTGGTGTTGTGCAGTCTACAGAGGTGACTTCGGTCGGTACAGGAGACTGTGTCAAGGAAACATCCTTTGAACTTGGGGTAGGCAGTGTTAGTGATGTTGTCATATTGCCATAGAACGAAGCAGTGGCTGCTTTTGTCTGTTTCGGTTGGTTGGCATTCTTCTACAGTGGGAGCAACTGGTGTGCAAAATGAGTCCATTGATGGGTCACATGGCGGTTTGGTGTCATTGTAAAATTCACAGAACCGTGTGGACACACCACCTTCTTTAGGTCTTGGAGGAAGGTTCTCATCTGTTGGAGGTGCTGCCAATGCTATGCCGATAATACCTTAAAAAAATTGCATGCATTTAAAAAATTTTAGCGGATGATGGAGGATAATGTTAACATCCCATTTAATGCCTATTGGTATAACTAGAACCTAGGTACCATTATTTAACTCATGAATAAATGTTGATACATTTATTGTTATTTATTTACTAGAAAAAACAGAACAACAACAAATTGTTTTTATGGAGGTAATGTTATAGAACTACAAGTAAATCAAGTAAACTGGATTTTAGACATAAAAACTTTCATTATGAATCAGAAACATCCCTATTCAGCAGTTTGATATTCAAAGTAGAGAATGTTTGGCTCCAGAAGTCACTTACCAGCTAAAAACAACAAGTTGTGCAAGCATATCCTCCTGGAAATCACAAAAATCATGGCGCAGGCGAAAGCTCGTTCTTTCGGGATACTTCAATGTTATTTTTATACGCGTTCTCGACATGAAATGCCTATTCTATTTAGGAAATTCCGATATATGTACATGCCAGACAAACAACGCATATACGATATTATCAATAAAAATACAATCTCACAAGTACAACATCACCAAATCACATAGACTAAAGTAATACACAATATAATTCAGTCCAATCCGTTTTAATTACACCAATTTATTTATATTTCTGAAAATAAAAGTCCCCATGTAATCACATCACATTCCCAAGCTTTGATTTTTTTTAGTTTTTGTTTTTTTTTTCCAAGCGAATGTCAAGCAAGAGCAGNCAAAAAGAGAGGTAGGGCCACAGAGAGCGAGATAGATATAAGTAGGTATTTGACTCAAGTTTTTGTTCCAACTTTGCCCTCCATTTTTATCTTTAGCTTCATGATGTCAAGCAAGAGCAGTGATTTTCTCAAGTATGGCTTGGTTTGTTATTTGAACGTCTCAAGATTGTTTTTGTAATCGATTTATCGTCTCCGAGGACATCTCCCTTTTTTGTTAGCACTAAAATGCCGCTTGGAAAAAAATATTATGATTTTTCCTTTTACCCTTGATAGGGACTCTTTCAACCCTTCAATGGCAGTTTTGATGAAGAAAGTAAGTATAAAACCATTAAACTGCTTATAAATATATTAGTAATTTTGGTAGTCGCTTGATAACTATTCAGATATTGATACTGCAATAATTTTAATGTTTCAGCTCATATAATAAGTATTATGTTCATTAGAATACATTCCTTTCATCAGAAATACTTACTTATAATTAGAGATGGGTTTCCACCCGGGTAAAAACCCACATGAGGGTAAAAACCCCAAAGAGGATGCCAAAGATGTTCGAGGAGTGTGCCTCTCTACACAACTCCTGGGAGGTTATTCAATCATAATAACGCCACTTCAATACTTCACACACACTTTATTATTAAAATATTATCAAAATCTATTACATATTAAATATTAAAACATTTACAACTGACTCTATCAAAATTCAATAATACAATAATACAATGTCACATTTTCTTGCTTGTCTACACCTGTCATTATTTTCAAACTTTATTCTAATGCTGTTTACTTTTAAAATAAAACCTGCCAGCAACATGTCATCTCATGATAAAATTCTATATCCTAACAAAAGATGCCAAACTCTCTCTTTGATGACATTACGGTATAAAGTTACAAATAACAACACCAACTAGTCCAACTACAAAGTACTTCTGCTTAAAAACTTGAAATCGAACCGCCCTTCCGCCACTGTAATGCATTGTAACGTTTTTCAAGACCTCCTCTCCCCCCAGATTGCATTACGTAACACTAGAACGCCCCCTTAGCAACAAATACCACTTCTCACTTTAAAAAAACGCTATTTTTGTTTTCACCCACCAGAACCCACCACTGGGTAAAAACCGGGTTTTTACCCAAATCACCCAGTTTTAACCCAATCGAGTGAAATGGGTTTTTACCCACTACCCATCTCTACTTATAATACAGGCTATTTTAACCTTTTCAGCGCCACGGGGCCCGGGGCCCACGGGTCTTCTATAAAAGACAAAGTTTTCCGTGGCGTGCGTACCCTCCACTCTACGCCACGTTTTTTTTTTGTAGAAGACAATAACATCTTATCAAAACATTCCTTGAATAAATACTTTAGACCTTATATGCTTTCATTCATTTGTGCGTATTTTTACGATTGCCTATAACCCTAAACTTACATACATTTATACTTTGATAGGGGCCTTTATTTTCAAAACAGAAAATAATTTTTCTTACTGTTTCAAGCGCCCATATTCTAGTTTGGCGCCTGGCCTGGGATCGCGCCGCTTTTGATATGGGTTAGCGGCTAACAGGTTAATGATCATAACTTTGGCAGGAAGCGGTTGGTCCAACATTAGTTAACTTCTCCATGAATAAAGGTAAAGGCGACTCGTTCTTGCGTCATCAAATAAAACGTTCAAATAACAACTGTCAAAATATATTGACATTGACGTTTAGTAGTGCCCACTGCAAAAGTCAAACTATTTTTGTTTATTTTCTTCATTTCAAGATGAAATTGTGATTTTCGTGAAGAAAATAATTGTTTTGATAATGAAAAATGTCCTTTTTCTATTTGAATGCAGTGAAAGGCGATATACCAGTACATTTATTAGAAGAAATTGCTTTGGAAAGATTGCGTTATTTGCAAGCGATTTTGAAGAACGACCAAATAACCTATTACAATGAATATTTGATCGAAGGAAGCATTTACGATAATATAGGACATTTCGTGCTGTGTATTGTTTGTATCATGTGTAAGGAAACCGAGTTTACTCGTTTCCTTTTGAAGTCTGAACAAGAGTTGTTTAGACGTCGTTTATCAGCTATTTCTGCTTATGATTTGCGTAGTTTTTCAAAAAAACTACTCAGGAGTATACGAAAACAAGAGTCTACGCCGGTGTACATAGATGCCCTCAAAAAATTATGTGAACACATGACAGTAAAAGATTTGGCGCAGCATGTTTGTTCACCAACACACAGTGTACAGTGCTCAGTACACAAAATTAGTCTCCCTTTTAGACATTGTCTTTCATTTATAGCTAAAAGACAAGTGGAACTTCAAAATGGCATAGCTTTTATCACTTGTGGAAGATGGAAACAATTTTTGATATTATTATTTTGTACTAATTTAAATGAAAGACTGTTTAAAACTAAGATAGGAGCTCTAGAAATTGATCCAAGAATATCTGAACTAATGTTAAAAGTCAAGAGAGAAATAAGGCCTTTGTTAAGTAGCAAATATGATACAAATGTTTTACTTAGTAAGAATGTTGACAGTGTATCATCACTGTTCCCTCCTTGCATGTTGAACTTGCATCAGTGTTTACGTAAGAAACATAGACTGTCCCACATGCAGAGATTCCACTATAGTTTGTTTTTGAAAGACATTGGAATGCCTATAGATGAAGCTGTAGACTTTTGGAGGTCAGAATACAGGCAGAGTCCAAATGGAAATCATAGTTGCTGCCACAACTGGGAGAAAGATGAGAAGAAATATTTATATGGGATAAGACACATGTATGGTCTGGAGGGCTGTAGAAAGAACTACAACTCGGTCAATTGTAGAATAATACAAGGTGTGGACAATGCTTGTTCTGAAGGAGGCTGCCCATTCAAAGTATTTGAGTCAAGTAGAATGGCCCAGATTTTAGACATTTCGGACCATGATCCTGTGTTAACACAAATAAATGAGCTCAAAAGAAAACAACAATATTCATCTGCTTGTATTCTTTATTTGAGAAACAAGTGTATGAACACATCTGCCAACTGTGATATTCAAAATGCCAGCTTTAACTTTACACCTGTCAAGTATTATAATATTAATGCACTTAATAAAAATAACTGTTTATAACTGTGACTAAAAATATTTATGAAATATAAACTTGTTAAGTTTTCTATAAGTACCTTGTTTTTATTTCTGCATCATTTATGACAACATGCAAACATAATTGTTTTTATCAAAATGTTTCATAGAGATTTTAATTGCCAATTTACCTATAATAAGTTTTTAAAGCGACGCAATAACGATAAGACGGTGAAGGTGTCGGACTGGCCGACTCGTGATACGAGGAACGCGGGTTCGATTCCCGCCGCCGCTCGACTATCATGGTGAACCTACTCGGAACAAGCATAATACGGAATAGACCCATATGGAAGCTAAATATTAATTAGCTTACCACGAGGGGTTAACGGGATTATTAGTAATCTGTTGATTATTCAAGGTGTGATTTATTTATTGGTTATCAAAGGATCGGTGTTTCTTTACGAGATCGAATCAGAAATGAGATCCGCAAACGAACTAAAGTCAGACACAGCCCGTCGGATTAGCAAGCTGAAGTGGCAATGGGCAGGGCACATAGTACGCAGAACTGACGGCCGATGGGGCAGCAAGGTTCTGGAGTGGAGGCTGCGTACCGGAAAACGCAGCGTGGGATGTCCACCCACAAGGTGGACCGACGAAATCTTAAGGAAGACGCAGGCAGCTACCAACCGGGCAACATGGAAAGCATTGGGGGAGGCCTATATTCAGCAGTGTACGTCCTATGGCTGAGATGATGATGATGATGATGATCAAAGGATACTAAAATAATAGTTTAACTTAAGTCCACTTTCATTATCCAGGTCATCTTATCCATGGGTGATCAAAGGACACCAAATTATCGCCTGGGGTTCACTTCGATCACCTGGGTGATCAAAGTAGGGTGACGGCACCAATCATGGACATGTTAAGCGCACTAAATTAGAATTTCGTTTAAAAATGGGATGTTTTTTGACGATACAAAAGTGGTGATTTTTTTTCGGCACTCAAATACATGAGGAACGTTTAAACAAAACCAGAAATCCTGTATGTTTAATAGATAATTAATAAAAAATATATAAAGTGAAATTTACGAAATCACCATTGATGGACATCAAAAATTCAGTAATGGACACCCAGTCATGGACATGGACCCAATTATGAACATCCATTAATGGACACTTTTGTATTGAACACATAAATGAAACAAATAATGTCACAAATCAACTTTTATTAATGCTATTTGAACTTTCAACATGATCAGTCTTAGATTTCCAAGTTATGCTATCAGACTTTCAATCAACCATCTAGTTTTCAGTTATTTATTAAACATTAATTGTGGCTTTGCCTCTTTGCCAGTAGCTGCAGCTTAGAATTGATAACATAATAATCAACTGAGATCTCTTTTTCTTCTATTGGACTCTTAGGTAATATAAAATATAAAAAACGAACAAAAATATTTACTTTTTCTCCTAGTATAACTTCGACAAAAAAAGGCATTTATTCTTCAATGTAAAAAGACTAATTTGCAATTACGTTGTTTATAAAAGTCAGTTATTTAGCTTAATAGCTGTATTTCCCGAACACTATAATCCGGGCCTTTTCAAAGCGAGAGTGAAGAGGCACTTACAGGGCAGATATTATGTACCATCCTAGACAGCATCTCACTTAACACCAGGCAGGTGCCAGTGCGGTCAAATACCTCCCTTGTAAAAAATCTTATTAGGTATGATTACCATAAACTTTTAAGCAACTGATTTATATTTATTTAATGTAACACATAAACACTGTACAGTGGCGGACGTAATGCCACTGATTGAGACGGCTCTTCGTCAATAAGTCCGCCATTTAGTGCAGTTCTATAGGTACCTACTTATTCAATGAATGTTCGAAACTTACCTAAATCTCTACGTACAAGTGAGCAAGGTTCAAATTTAAGTATCGAAGATAAGTGGTAGGTATGCACCGCAATTTGGTGCAATCAATCTAAACGTTACTAAGGTTTCTACACTAGACACTTATTGCTCCATGCTGAATTATAAATGCCCTGTAATTTAGAACCATATTGACCAGACTTCAATCGATTGATGTATGTGAAGTAACTTCATTTTGAGATATTAAAATTGTTGACTACTAAGACATCACTTATTTTGATTCGTCGGCGTAGCGTGCGGTGTATTGTTTGTTTACAACCCACGCGTCATTCCTAGGTTCGATCGTTTAGGCTGACGCCAAACTAATAAATAATAAATTAATTTTAGCTGCTTTAACAACACATTAACTTACCTTATAACAAACATAATAATATATTTTTCATGTTGCTTAAAGACTGCGTAAGCCATACATTATTTATGTAGTAACTAAGTAAGTACACGTAATGTAACATTTTGTCATAATACTGTGAAATCTACGTTATTTAATTTTATGCGCCAAAGTCTCAAAAACATTGAACAACAAGACGTGTGACTGTGACATGGCACGACCCTAGTGCATGATGCGTGAATGCGATTATGAACGCTGGCGCAAGGTCAAGATCAAGGCGAAAGAAACTAATTTCGTTTGCAAGGATCACGTGCCAAAGTCCCATCTGATAGGCAATGGGCTTGGGCAATATCGTAAGAGATTAATGATATGATAAAATGTATTAATTAAGGAATTATGTGATACAAATTGATTGAACTGTGTCAGTTTAAAAACTAATTTACAATCAAAGAGATGTTTACTCAATTAAATCGTAGGTCGTAAAAAGATGTGAGAAGTGTTTATTTTATTTACATAGGAAAACAAACACACATAAAAATAACACATATTCTATCTGATAAAAAGCCACCAAATGCAAATATATGTTTTCCCAAACAATAGCTGTTAGTCGAACGAACGAAACCATAAAGGGTTTTCGTGATTGCCAAAGTCTCCTGACTCGGGCGGGACTATTATGTTTGCATTTCGTAGCATAATGACATGTTTGGTATTCGTAGACGGCACTGCTACGACATCTACGACGATCGACGATACCTACTAGGTACGAGATTTTTTTCGTAGCAGGACCACAGAGTGGGCCCCGGCTAGCGATAACAAATATTTATGTAAAACTTAATGATTAATGTAATTAATTACTAACTTCCTTGTCAATATAACACATTAATACAAATACAGACGTTAAATCCTGTTAAATTAAATTCGATTAAATTAATTAGCTGGGTCAGCTCTAACACATAGAAATCGATAGTCGTATAGTAGGCATCAAACATTCAATATGAGAAAATATGAACAAGTCCAGCCTACTACACCTTGGGACTTTTTTTTAGTTTTATCAAGTAATTAAATGTAGAGAAGAGATATTTTATGAACCGAAATCCATGTTCTTGTGCATCTCTACTATGCTCTCTATTTATATTTTTCTGTTATTTGTACAAGAAGATATCTACCTAGGCACTTATCTCTACCTATATGAGAGTAGTGACACCTCACCGTGAGCCGTAGTTTCGGCAATTCGGCTCTGGGCGCGGGCGGGCGCGGCGTAATCGCTATCACTCACTGATAACGGCAGNTGTCAAGTATTATAATATTAATGCACTTAATAAAAATAACTGTTTATAACTAACTGTGACTAAAAGTATTTATGAAATATAAACTTGTTAAGTTTTCTATAAGTACCTTGTTTTTATTTCTGCATCATTTATGACAACATGCAAACATAATTGTTTTTATCAAAATGTTTCATAGAGATTTTAATTGCCAATTTACCTACAATAAGTTTTTAAAGCGACACAATGACGATAAAACGGTGAAGGTGTCGGACTGGCCGACTCGTGATACGAGGAACGCAGATTCGATTCCCGCCGCCGCTCGACTATCATGGTGAACCTACTCGGAACAAGCATAATATGGAATAGACCCATATGGAAGCTAAATATTAATTAGCTTACCACGAGGGGTTAACGGGATTATTAGTAATCTGTTGATTATTCAAGGAGGTGTGATTTATTTATTGGTTATCAAAGGATCGGTATTTCTTTACGAGATCAAATCAGAAATGAGGAGATCCGCAAACGAACTAAAGTCTGACACAGCCCGACGGATTAGCAAGCTGAAGTGGCACTGGGCAGGGCACATACAACTATAGTCTCGTATAGGGAGAGAGGGCGCCACGCGCAACGTAAACATGGGCTCCGCGTTAATTAAAGTCGTAAAAATAGTAAATCAGTGAAAACTACAAAAAATTCTAACAACTTTTATAGACAAAGTGCTAAATATTACGTGTGAGTGTTTGCAAAGTGATCAGACTTGTTTAAAAGTGAATAAGTAACCGAACAATCCTGCAGTGAATAAGTGACGAAAACTTTATAAATGCCTCTTTTTTTGGAAATCTTCGAGTTAAAATAGTGAAAAACGATAATTATAAACTAACACAAAGTACTAAACATAGTTATAAAAGTGCTAAAGTGAAAAAACATCTATAACGTCTTTTGCTATTTTAAAAGTTCTATGAAAAGTTGTACATAATTGTGAATGAGGATCAGTACTGTTGTAGAAAATTCAATAAAACTAGTATCTACGTTAATCTTTAAGACATAAGAAAGATATATCTTTTTGAATTATCCAAATCGGACCATTACTTACGAAGATATTAAGTAATAAACATAGGCCGTTTTTGCCGCTAAAAGTCAACGTACGCAAGGCCGCGTGACGTCATTATATCCGAATCGAGCGCAGCCGGCGTACTAATNTCTAAAACTGATAATTTGGCTAGAAAAAAATATTTTCTATCCACGCAGTACGCCGGCAGCGTTCGGATCGGATATAATGACGTCATCGTCCCCGCGCCGGGCGGTCAGTGAACTTTTTTAGTAATTTGGCCATAACTTCGTCATTTTTTGTCGTAGAACAAAAATTTTTGCACTGTGTATTAAGGATTTCTTAGCCCTATAAATCTGCATTCACAGCTAAAAATCGAAATGATCCTCATTGTACTGTTTAACGCCATCTATGCGTTTATTGGTGAACTATCTGATAGAACTAGAACTACGACAGCGAAACTCTAACGAGTAAACT